GATAAGAGCATGGATTCTGGAAGCAGTGCTGACTGGACACTAGGTACTTTAGTGTCTAAAAAAAATAGAAAGGAAAGAAAATAGTGTGACTATTCTTTTTTTTCTTCCGAGATATGAAAATTACAATATGTCTGTAGTCCAGAAAATAGACGCATGAGCTATCAATTATCCCATGTTGCAGCATTCACTGAAAAAGACCTTCACACAATGGGCGGCTGTATCCTTTGAAAGAAAGAAGCTACTTGTGCATACAGGACAACCAAATATCCAAGTATTTTGGCTTCCATCACAGCCGAGTTATTAATATTGCTGCAATTACCAATCTGAAACTAGCAGAAGTGATTTTCTGGCACACCAAGTCGAACCATGTAATATGGCTCGGCTGCTTGAATGTTACAGTAGTATTATTGTCATTTCCTGCAAACTGTGGCCTCCTCTGCTCTGTTAACAGGTGGAGTTTGGAGACATCTAGTGGTGGTGGACACACAGAACCTCTGGACCTCAACATTGGAGGGTTTATTGCTAACAGCTCTGCAGCTGATGGCACAAAATTACAGCCTCAATTAGAGACAATTCTGAAAAAAAACATAGGGGCAATTTCATTGCCTAGGGATTATTGATAGGTTATGCTTCTCAGAGTGTCGATCTGTGAACATCTATTTTCTGGACTACAGACATGTTGTAATTTCATTGCCCCTGGTGTTATCTTTCCACAGGAAAATCAGAAAATATGTTATTTCTAAATGTAACTGTTATATCTTTGAAACTTGAACTACCACCACTGTCTTCCACTGCAGTGTGTATTTGTTTTTTTCCCCTAATAGTTACCTTTGAAGCTAACACACTTTACACATATTTTGTCTCTTATGTAATTTAATCAACAGAAATTTCTATCTATGCTGATTTATGGAGTGCGAAAGAAAAGCAAAAATCTTTTCAGTAATAATCCTTAAATCAAAAATGAAACCAGAACCTTGAACATCACCACAGTTTTGAAATTTGTGTTAGTTTGACATCTGTTCAGAATTGTAATATTTCAATCGGCCTTGAGAGTTCTGTGATGATTCTGATAATCCAAGAAGAATCTTCTCACTCACCCAGTTTTATCTAAACTTTCTAAAATATGCTGAAGGCTATGCTGGATGACTTGGACATCAGAATCATGACTGAGCATTGCAGAATTTATCGGTAAGCCACAGCAGAATTCTTACTTTCCAAAATACCCAGCTACAGATAGTATTCATCAACATTCGATTCTTTGAGAAGGTGATGCCAAAATGATGTAAGAATGTAAAAAGTTGGATCCAATTCAGAAAAATGTGCTGACTTGTTGGCTGTCGTTGTAATTATCCATGTTATTGTGGAATGGGTCCATTTCATTGGCAGAGAAAGTTATTACGTAGAGAGTCTATCACTGTGTGTTTGCAAATCCTTGGAAAGGTCTACTCCCAGGCAGACTGTGCTGTTTTGTGATAAGACTGCTCATTTAGGCCATGGACCCTGATAAGCTATGAGGTTATAACAACCCTTATCTCCTGAAGGCCAGTTTGAAACCCTCTCTGAAAGGATGGTCCTGAAGGTCTGTCTGAAGGCATCAAAGTAAAGGGACTGGATTTGTAACCCATCCGACTTAAAAAGCTTTGATGATGGATCCTGATTATCGTTTTTCCAAAGCCCATGCTTCAAAACATACATATTAATCACTCGAAATGTAAGAAGCCAGATAAATGAATATCAGACATATTGGATCTAATTCTAACTAATTAAGAAGTATATTTCAACAGGAATCTTTACAAATGAGAACCATTACGGGGGGTTATTCTGCAGTGTTAACATTACTGCGTTGTCCTGAAGCCTCATGGTCATCAGATACACCAAACACATTCCACACTAATGGGAATTTAACCACACAGACCTCTATTTGTATCCTGCATTTAAATTGTTTATTTCCGGTCCTAAAATGTATGAGGGAGATTAAGAGCTACAGAAGTTTTCCACAGTTCAAAAGAAGCAATCGGAAAACCTGCAGAGAGCGGTGGAACTTAAGCATCCAGAGTGACGAGCAAAGCTTACCACAACACGAGATAGCATCACCCAAAGACTTTTGGGTGATGTTTACATCTTCTCTGTGGGATTTATGTGGCCATCAACAACAGTAAACAGCTGATTCTGGACAAGACTAAATGTTGTCTGAAGAAAGCTAAGAGAGGAAAATTAAACTTGACTGGCTTGAAAAAATCTGAACTGCAAATGATGTGTAGTCCTTAAAAGATGTAAAAGACAGAGGATCAGTAAGGATTTTTTTATGTTAAGATGTTCTATTCATTGGACATTATGTGATACATAATATTTGGACCAGGCATAGATTTTAAATGTTTTGGGTGGGGAGAGCTTTGGTCTCAAACCAGAACTGGACACGATTGCCTGCTTTGGTCAGTATTGCGAAATAGAAATAGAATAGAAATAGAAAAAAATATATACTGCAACCATAAGTATTTTGATCCTCTCGTTGATTCACTGATCATTTTGTTCATATTTGATTGAGTGTACACTGTTCTTTTAGATCAAAAAGAAACATTAACCAAGCCAACACAGGCATAACCTTCTCTCGACATCTACTGCATGAAACACTATTTCAAATTATTACTAATTATTACAAATGTTCCCCCCCCCCCAAAAAAAGAACAAAAAATACTGACCCTAATCTGATATCTTAATACATATAAAAAGATACATTCTTATTTGGTCGTATTGTTTATTTGTCACTGGGTTACACTGGTCTGTTGTTTTTTTTAACAATTGTTCAAGTACAGAGACATTCAAATGTTTTATATACTTTATAAACAACTTTATATCTATAACATTTCAAACAACTCACTAAGCTATATACAATACATGTAGTTACTTCTGTAGTTAATGTATCGCTGAGGTAATGGTTTAGGCACATTTTTTTAATATCTTTCCTAAATTTAGCTTTTCTTGCTCTCTGCCTATGGTTGGAAGATATTCAGATAAAGCCTTCCTAACTAGAGTTGATAAAGGGAAAAAAAACACTACAGATATTTAGCTCAACTTACCATTTACCACACATTTCTACCCAGTTTGATGTTACTGACTAGCTTGTAGAGGTTTCAGAGTCAATATCACAGGTTTGTTTGGCAGGAGAATGAGCTCAAAGGTACTCTGCACCTCCACATGGCGTTGCTTCTCCACTCTGAAGTTCTCCAGCATCTACAGAAGGAAAAACATGGTGCAAGCGTTTAACGCGATGTGCAACTCCGCTACAAGGTGTGGTGGAAGTTTTTGTGATGGGAATCTCACATGGATGAGGAAGATTTGCATCTCTGTCTCAGCTATTCTGCGTCCCAAACACTGACGGGGACCAAAGCCAAAGCCCAGGCTTTTGAAGTAGTGTGTCTCAGACCTTAGCCAGCGAGCGGGCTGATACTGCTCCGGACGGAAGAAAACTTTGGGGTCTCTGCCCATGGCATACAGTCCTAACTGAACCAAGGTCTAAGCATAAGCACGCACACACACACACAAAGAACAGTGAAATCAGAAACAAACACAATTCTCCAATAACTGATAACATTATTACATCAGAATTGCAAGTTATTAGTTAGTTTCACCAAATAAAGGAAATCATTCGCATGTTCGACTGGTCTTACCCCGGCTGGGATGTGGTAGTTTTGAATAATGATATCCTCTGCAGTGTATCTTTGCAAGCTCACTGCCACTGGGTGCAACCTGAGTAAGATCATTTTCATTAAAGGAACTGAAACAACAGTGTGATTAACAAAGCTTTTTTATCTCAAATAAAAAAGAAATTTACTTTTCTGTAGAAAACGTGTACTAATGCTATTTCGCTCAAAGCTGAAAAATGAAAATTTCACTTCTGATGCTGTGTTGCTTTCTTCTGAAAAGTACGACATGTTTTTTCACACTTTTCACCTCAGTGTTTCCTTCAGAGCCCCTTTGACCAGAGGAATCCGCTTCAGCATCTCCTGCATGTCCCCCTGGGTGGCAGCCCGAGCTGCAGCCACCTCTGCCCTGAGCTCTTCCTGAAGACTGGGATGCCTGGCTAATTCATACAACGTCCACAGGAGCGTTATAGATGTCTAGGCGACACAAAGTGGCTTTAATTATGTGAAAGAACTCCACCCAAATCTTTGTAACTGTTTTTTTTCTTTCTTACTGTGTCAACTCCTCCGGCCATTAGCTCAGTGATACTGGCCTTGATGTCTTCAATGGAGAGCTTGTCCAGCATGAGCAGGCTAGCAAGGACTCCCGGGTACTTTTTGGAAGTTCCTGTTTCCTGACGCAGCTGCCTGTAGATGTTCTGAATGCAGCGATCCGCTGAGGCACCAACCGAAACCAAAAAATGTTGGAATGTGATCAGAGAACTTTAATAGCTGCTGTAAAACTACAGTTACAGTGTTGACCCTGGCTGTCATGCCATGTCTCACCTTGGTTAAATATGCCGTCCCACGCTGATACGTGGTCCCTCCACACCTTTGCTCCAATCTGCCGCAGCAGGGCAGGAGGTATGTACAGCATGGGCGAGGTAGTCTTGAACATGAGGGTGATGCAGTCAATAAAGTGTTGAGCTTCAGGGTCAATGTAATCCAACATCAAGCCCAGGCGCTCCCCATACAGCACCGAGCTCACCGCTGTAGGATGAAACAACGGCAAACAATTCATGACGAAAACAGTTATTCCCTACGAGAGGGAGATGAATGAGACGAAGGACAAGTCTTACACTCAAGTGCATATTTGAATAGTTCTTGGGAAAGGTCTGCGGTCCATTTGTTTTGGCCACTTCTCTCTATCTTTCTGTGAACCCTGGCCACAAAGTCCTGCCCCACGTCATCCAGCAGAGGCACAAAGTTCTCCAACATCCTCAGCGAAATCACTTCCTTATTGAGAATCACACGGTTTGATCTCCAGTCTTCTCCATTCCTACGTGAAGATTACATGTTCATTTCAAACACTGAGAGACGGCTTCATAAGAAAATCACAAATGACACATGTAGGGGAGGACAACAAATGTACGTACTTCAACAGAACTCCATATTTGCGATTTCTGTAGTCTCGGTATGATGTCCATGCTTCAACCTTGAGCCTTTTAGGATAATGACCCTCTGCTTTGAACAGGATAGCAGCATCCTCTGGTTTGATGATATTCACGCTTTCATAATAACCTATTTTCTCTCTGGCGTCCCATAAAGAAAAAGGAGGAGTGAACATGAAGTATCAGCTGCCTGCTCTGATTGAGAGACCTTGTGAAGTGCAAGTCATGATAAGTGATGATTTTTTCCCCCCTTCTTTGGTGACGTCATTCAAAGATATTCATGTTTTGTCTCATCAGCAGACTCATACCATCATATTTCTTTTATGTGTATCAAACTGTCTTGCTTCCATTACCTGTAAATGGGTCCAAAGGTGTTGAAGTTCTGTACCATGATGCGGTGTAGGTTTCTGAAGCCATCCATTTTCCAGAAGTTGTACAAGTTAACCACCCCATTCTTCCACAGTCCGGGAATCTCATTAAAAGGCCGGACGATGCTGCCGCTCTCCGAGTAGGACTGTCGGATCACCGGCACGCTGCTGCTGCTGCTGCAGCGCACGCCTGAGGCCAGCTCCTCTGCCCACGCCAGCGCCAGCTTCGCAGGGCTGCGCCACACACTCCACCTGGCCATCTCGACGAAAGAGTGCTCACTCTGCTCTACCCTTCCCAGCTACTCTGGCGGTTCCAGGGACATGTGGAGCAAAAGAGGGAGGCAGGAGGCTGGTCTACAGAGTCAGCCCCCCTTGCCGTGCCGATCAAGGCTCTCCAGCCCAGCCGAATACATCACTGTAGAAAATGTCTGATTGTGACACAGCTGAGCCGTTTTTTGACTACCTAAAACATTAATGAAGCCTTGAAAGCTTTTTTTCTATGATCAGAGTGTCAGAGTCCATTAAAATTAGGCCTACTGCTAGCTGCGGCAGGTTTGTAAACAGATATTTACTTAGATGTATTTTTTCTCAAGAAAAGGCCATGACACAAATTAAAGTTTAAATACAACTGCATTTATTATATATACAGTATATCAACAATAAAATGTGCAGTCAAAATGAGAGATTCATTCACTGGAAATGCAAACTGACTATGCGTGGCCTTTTTTCATTAGCTTTATGAGTTCTTGCAGCTTCATGGCTGTCTGGATGTCGCCCTCGATTTTCAGTCTGCCGCTGGTGTAAGCAGCAAGTGGCTGCAGCTCACCCTGGAACATGGCCAGGAGGTCACAGTCACTCATGCTGAGGGTCACATCTGGCTCTCGACACGAGGATCCCGATCCAGCTTCTCCGCTACCTACAAAACACAGAAGGACACATGCTTACTGCAGCCACTGCTGAACCGCCAAATTATCAAGACCAGAATGGAACCAACTATGGAATTATATTTCATTACTTTAATGGAAATGAGACTTGGGTTGTTGTTTTTTTAACCATGGAGCTGGTGTGTACCATCACTGTTGTCCAAACAAAATAACCTGTCAGTGAAGGCTCTGCTGTTTTTAAGCTTTAAGAGGCCAGTGAATGCAAATTGGCTGTAAAGCTGCATTTCATAATCATACAAGATTGCTTTGTTCCTCTAAATAGTGTATATATACAGACTCTCAGACATCACCTTTGTAAAACTCTGAATAATTTCCTGCAGGTTCCAAGAAGATATCCTCACTTTAATCACATAACATTTTAAGTGTGCTCAGACTTTAAAGTTTCCCAGTTGAAACTGTGGTGTTTTTTCTACATTTGCTGTTACATTTTTAGTCTGGAAATAAATCTGATAAATAAAAAAAAAATAAAAAAAAAAAAATCCCCATCCATCACCTTGGCTCAGATCCACATAGTATCTGTCATGCTGTCCAGCTGCTGAGCTGACTTCAAACTGGAAACAGGCTCCGACCTGACTGACCAAAGACTCAGAGAGCAGCATCTGGACTCCTCTTAGCAGCTCCTCAATAGAACCTGGAGGAGTGACGACAGAGTCGGAGCCTCTGCTGAACTCATCTGTAAATGTTATGTTGTCCTCTGGAGAGAAGGGGACACACGTTTGAAAATACAATACTGTTCGGGTCATATGATACAAAAAGCTGTGAGTGCTTGCTCTTACTCTGGTGGGTCTGTGAAATGCCACTGGGGTTCAGAAAATGCATGGCCAACTGCTGAATGGAGCCAGTGAGGCCTTCAAGTCCAGGCACAGAAGGAGGCATAATGAGAGGCGAAGCATGGTCCCCTTCTGGGGCTTTCAGGAGAGAACCAAGGGTAAGTTCTATCCTATCCACCTCAAGCCCCCAGGGACGGGTCATCTCATTAATGTCCATCTGTACAGAAGGGTGATAAACATCAGTACGTGAACGTAAGCTGCCAGTGACACCATAAAAAGTCAGCAGAGGACAGCTCGAGCATGGCCTCACCCCGAGGTATTCCCCAAGTTTCACTCTCTCAGTTTGGATTGCCCTGACAGTCTTCTTGGCCAGGCTGTGGGTCAACGCGTTCTGAGCAGTCATCCTGGTGGAGGCATTCAGGTCCTGGACCGACACCACTGACATGACCGGGTTCCAGATCCTAAACTGGATGTCTGCTCCCACCAACAACATGCCATCATCCTGAGTGGTTACCTATCGAGGCAGATTTAATGTTGAAAAATTAAAGCTGGGCTCATTTTAGATTCCCTTTGACAAAAGAATAAGGAAAAGTAAACATCTAATATATGGGTAAAAATGTTTTTGGAGATATCAAGATATAAAGCAGCCAATACGCACAATAAACACTAATATAGCAAAGACTAATTATATGATCTGAGAAAAACAGTAGATTTAATACAGAATTTGCTATCTGATTAATTTATTTGTGGTTTTCAGAAGTAACGAAAACAATAACTGAGCCATAGTGAATATTAAATATTAAGTAGTCAGAATAACTGTCACGTAACTAAAGTTTGCAGTTCATTTTTAAAACATTTAATAATTTTGGAAACAGACTAAACTCCTTCGGTTTGGAAGTGAGTGCTGCCACCTGCAGGACAAACCGTTATGTGCAAAAATAAATTGTGTCATAGTTTTATTTCATAATATAGTTTTATTTCATAATATAGTTTACAGCTTTGTTTTTTTGAGAGAAAACAGATTTTTCTTAAACTTCAGAACATTTTTTGGATTAATCATTTGTTTAACATTGTTAAGTTTATTGAATCAGACCACCATAGAGAAATGGATTCAGAGGCACTGACAAAAAGTGCATTCCACAGGAGTAAATGTTATCCTCATTATACTTTTTGTAAATGTGTGAGAAAATGTCTAACACCTATTAATAGTGAGCCAGAGGAAAGTTTACCTGGCAAGGGGGGATGTTGAAAGCGCGGGTGCGGAGGTCGACTCTCTGCCACTGGTCAATGAGGGGCAGCACGAGGACGATACCAGGACCCTTTGGAGGACAGACCCGACCCAAACGAAAAACTACTATCCTCTCGTAGTTCGGCACTGTCTGTGTGTAAAATAAGCAACAGGTTAATTGTGTTTATTTTCAGAGAAGACAGAGGGCCTGAGCTTGACACCAGCTTACCTTCAGTACAAACCATCCGGACACTGGAAAGCTTATAAATGTGCAGATGTAAACCAAGAAAATAACGATCAAGTTACAAATCCAGGACAGCCATCCTTGGGAGGCATCTTGGAGAGAGTCACAAAAATAAGTTAATTTAAATCAACAGTCTGACTATAAGAAATATGACCAGATTGTAAGGGGGTTATAGATACTTCTTTATGGTTCTGGCATTTTAAGGGATTTTTTGTGTGGTCTTGCTCCAATTAGCTTGTATCTATACCTCATCTAAAAGAACAGATGAAGTCTGTCATATTTTACAGGAATTCACAGGTTAAATAAACTAAACTTGATAAATTAACTAAGCACGTTAACAACACACCTCCTTGCTTGTGTTAGGCAGTAACCCACCAGTGAAGTCGTTAGCAGACACATTTGGGATGTAGTCAAATGAAAGCCCCTTGTGGAAGCTGGAAACCTTAAAGCTGTCAGAGTCCACAAACAGGCCAGGAGTCCTCGGGGTGGTGGAGTCTCTTTGCGGCAGAGGCTGATAGGACCCGCTAAACATTGCACCGTGAAACAGAGCGCTGGAAGCACACGGGCGAAATCGTGTGCCTGTGGGAAACAATTTCAAGAGATGAGCACGAATCGATATCTAGCAAACCTGCCTTAGTTCCGTGTTTTGCTGGTGTTCTTCTTCTTGTGACTTCTTCTTGATTCTATGGGTGCATTAGAATAAACGTTCTGTTTGCATTGCCGCCATCTACTGGTGGGGAATGGGACTCAAATTTTTTCTTGTGACCACAGGGAGCTCTTTAGTCGTAAGCGCGCTCATTACCGCCATCTAACGCTAACATAGCGAAACTGCAGTTTAAACTTCCGAAGCCAGGTTTTCCGTCACATACTCACTATATGCATGTATTGTCAAAACTAAAAAACCTCGTAGCTTGTTCTTTCATTTAAAGAACATTTTGAAAACATGGAAAACAACACTGACTGATAAGTTTTTTGAGTATCAGTGGTTTTAAACAGACCTTTGCCACTTCTATAGCCTACTGTACATTTTCAACATTTTACTTGCTTCCTTGATACTAATTGAAGAAGGAGTAAAATTACAAGAGATTATTATAGTTTTGAAAAAATGACAAAATCACAATTTTTACGTAAAGGAAATACATTCTTTTAATCCTTCTTTTTCACATGGAATTTTTAAAACAGTCCTACAGGGAATTATTTCCAAAGTTTGTTAATAAAACTGAATCAATCAAAAATACAAATGTATTGAAACAAAGTAAACCTGAGACAAAGCTGTAATGAATCCAAAACCCTTTTCTCATGTTTTGACATGGGACAGTGATGAAATCACTGGTCAACAGAACCCAACATCACTACTGTTGCCTCTGTAAACAGTCGACATTTCAGCAATGGAAAGACTATTTACAGATTGTCGCTTGTGAAATTGCCATACTCAGAAATCTACAGACAGGAAGCTATCGTTCGTTTTTTTTTTTTTTCAGTTTTTAAACATATCACAGAGCAGCTTTTCCATCGGTGTGCTGCCAATCATCCTGTGAAAGAACAGCTGCTCTATTTTCCCAGAGCTCAGAAATTGAAGGGACGGCAGCAGCAGCAGCAGTCTCCCAAACCTTGTTGGACAAAAACAGAGAAGCATGAGCTCCATCTCTCCACTACACATGGGAAAGCTCATAACACGTATTCATATGTTCTAATATCTTAAATTATACTCAGTCCTGTGAGAAAAGCTACAGTTAGGTCACCTGGCACTCTGGCCGGGGTACACCGAATGGACGTGCTGACCCAACAGCACTTGGGACTGGTCCTGCAGATTCTCCACGTGTTCTGGGTCTTTGAGGTTGCGAGTTTCTGCATCAGGCAGTCAAACTGTAAGCATCACTCACGTGAGCTGATCAAAAACTTAAAAGTGTGGCTTTGTGAATGATTTCTTACCTGGCTTGAACAAGACAATGGCTTTAAGACAGGCAAACTCAGTCGGGTCAACAACCAGCGCCTTAAAGCGACTGAAAACCTCCTCCAGAACCTGCAGCTCAGCCGTGGGAGGGTTGAATTTGCCCTGCTGCGTGGGAGAAAGCTCTGGCAGGGACAGAAGAGGACAGCTGTCCATTGGCAGGGACCACTGGATGGCACACAGAAGGAACATCTCACTCCAGGCTTCCTCGAGCAGAACGACCTGATAATATTCCAGAATTAGTCACCGGGGTTATTTGTGCATTTCACCACAAAAAATGCGCAGAGTAACGTAGTGTTTAAGTAGGCCTCACCTGGTCTCGAAACGGCAGGTGAGCAAAAACTGGCAGATTTTTCGCCCACTTGACTGACATAAATAGAAGCCGTGCTGATGTTTCGTATATATTCTCAGAAGAGCTGAAGGTGTATGGAAACATGCGGCAATCAGGGGGAGAGCGATCCCTCTCTGAATCATTTGTTGTCACATCAATATTCTCCTCCACTGGACATTAAAAACAGAATCAGGGAGTTAAAACCGCCGGTCAGTATGGTAAAGCATGGAAATCAGGACGTCCAAATCCATCTTGTTCACACATTTTCCTTCTGTTGCATGATCTTACCATCCTCTGGCTCCAGCTTTGCACAGGTCTCTGCAGTCAGCAGGCTGACCATAAAGCGGTGGCTGTTGTTAGGGTTGCTGCCGGCCTGAGTGGCAGCCGAACCAGTGGAAGATGGAGTTATCAGAGGTCTACAGATGACAGATGAATATGTGTCTGAGAGCGTGAGGTCCTGCGTGGTAGCCAGGTGCTCAGTTTTGCTGTCCATTTTTACAGAATCTATGCTGACGTGTGCTGTGCTTCGAGGCTGTCGCTCATTCTGCACAGCTGCCCAAGAGAAGAATGAAGGACATATAAACTGAAGACCACAATTCTAAGTCTTTCACTGGTAAATATGGATATATTCAGATGGCAAAGTTAGCAACTTTCTCACCATCTTTGTTCATGCCGGCCAGGAGACATTTCTTTAGTCGACAAGCTTGGCACTGGTTTCGATGTGCCTTGTCAATAGGACACCTGCCATTTCCAGCCTGGCACCTGTGAAGTAAAAAAACAAAACCCATCATGGTGGGAATCGTCTTTTTCTCTTATTTACTCTTTGACAATTGATTCGCGTACAGCTGTTGCTCACCTGTAGATGAGTCTTCGTCGCACGCTGCGTTTGAAGAAGCCACTGCAACCGTTGCAAGCATATATGCCGTAGTGTTTACCGCTGCTTGAGTCAGAGCACACTTTACAAAGCCGGCCTTGGGTAAGAGCTTTAAGTGGGCTTTTATCTATTAAAACCGAAACAACAAAATGATTACTCAAAACTTTACCCACAAATGCATGAAGAAATTTCAAATTTCCTCCCATCATTTGGCACCGTTTAGAATCACAGTGTACACAGACTGACCGGTATAGCTGTCAATGACTCACCTGCTTGGTTTCCATCTGTGCTCTGCTGCGTGAGGCTGTTGGAGTTGCCAGATGAAAACATGTCCATTTTGATCACTTGGTTTTCCGTTTGCATGCTGTGTCTCAATACTTCAATTCAGCTGTCTCCAGATGCTATAAAATGATTTCCAGAAGAGTTTCTTCTTTTATATGAAGTTCTGCTGGAGTTGTTTCTGCCCGTGTTAAAATACATGAACAGGGGAATGAGCTTAAAAACAAAAAAATCCTTTTTTTCCCAGCTCACTCGGGTCGAATGGTGTTAAAATCCTCGACGATGAGTAAAATCTAGTGGTGGTCTCCTTGTACCGGTTGTATCTGGTGTGATGCGGGGTCAGCAGGGTTTAAACTCGTCTTCTTTCTCTCAGTCTGCGGAGTGAGTGTGAGAGCTTGAGTTGTCTGGGGGCTTTCTGGAGGAAGACAAGAAGATTAGCACCAGGCGCTGTGTAAGCAAATGCTGATTTGTCATCCTCTTAATCTTTACTGTCTATAGGGGTAAATCAATCAGTCACACCATGTTCGGACACCAACTTTAATCAACAAAGTAAACGGCAAAAGGTGCATCTGTCTTTATGCGACCTCACCCGGGGTGAAGTCAGAAAATATTCTGCCATGCACTTAGCTACATCATGAATTAGTTAGCAGCAGTTCGGTTGTGCCTTCAAAACAGGAAAAACTTGCTTTTGATGTGTAAAAATAAGTTATTCTTGCGCCAATGAAATGAAAAGCTTTTGATGGAAAATAACATTTCTGGATGGCTTTATTTTTTAAGATATGCGACAAAACAGGAGGGCAACAACTCAGAAATCCGGATGTTAAGTTAACGAGAGGGAGGTGTCTTTTAAGACTGTCCTAGTGAAATGCTGGCAAGGTGTTTTCCAAGCAAGTTGTGAGAGACCTGAAACAGGGAGAGAGCCTGTTGGTTAATCTCTTCTTCATGTAAAAATATGAATGGATTTTGTGGCTTTTCTTGAATGTTTCCTTAAATTTGTAAAACACCTTATCATTATTAATGTTATACATATAGGTTCCACTCTTGATAGCATGTTTCTAACCTTCCTGCAGCGACATCAAAAGAGGGCTCTTGCAAAGCTCGGAGATTCCCTGAGAGCCATATTGGCCCTGTCAGTGACACTTATGGCCTCAGGAAAAAAGAGCCACCCCCAAATCAGCAAAGTGGCTTAGCCCACCATGAAATGTGGACTCCTTCTTGGACAGGGATCACAAGAGAGGGCGATGAGAAGAAAAACAATTAGTCTAGTGACTGAATGAAGGGGCAACAAGATGACCCTTAATTCCATTCTTGAGCCATATGGTTGATGCTCTTTGGAGCCTCAGTATACCTCATTAGTGAACTGAGTACAATTTAGTGTTTAACAAATTCTTTTTTTAAAACTTTGCCTTAAGTAATTATAAAGAAATGTAAAAAGAATAATAAAAGATAATAAAAACTCAACTGCACTCTGTTTTCTTTTCTGAACATTGGATTTAGCTGGTCTTGTACCTTTAAATTAGATCCAAAGTCACAAAGATTTAGTAATTGCTCTGTCCACCACCTCACTTTTATCATTCCTATCATTTGGAATCTAGATTTTAGGATTCTCCCATTACAAAACAGAGCTCTCTTTGTTGGGTTACACTGGTATATGAGCGGATTACAAACTTGGATTTATTTTACCCACTGTTCTGTATCGAGGGCAATGTACTCACAAACAATGTTGTTTGAATTAAAACTCAAATTGTTGTACTCCGGTTTTACTAAATTGTGTCTAAACTTTGCTGTTAAACAATCTAACTGAGATTGATAGAATTCTACAAAATATCCAGATTAGATTGCAAAACTAATTTGTGTTAAAAGGAGTGTCATCACAGTGGAGTTTTATCTGTGACCTAAATTGAGCTGAGCATGAACACTTATTTGTGTCTCTATGAGACATGTGAAACCTTCCAGGCTGTTCTGGTCCATCTGAATGCCCAACCCAACCAGCAGTTGGCACCTCTAAGATGCTGCTGCCATCAGCAAAGCACTGCTTGGAGGTTTTACCTGCCCGGGATAAGTGTCACATTCCTTCACACCTGAGCCTTGTGATTGTTGTGCAGATACAGGTCAACCTTTAGTAGCATGCTTCCATTAGCCCAGTGATTATGTATTTAGTGGAAACTTTATGATGACAGAGCCCTGCTGAACACGCGTCACCGATAAAACCCTAGCTCAGTTGTCTGGCATCTCAGACTGGTCAGGTGTTCCTTATGCTGATCGTAAAATGCACGGATCCTTCATGTTTTACACATGTAAGAGTATTAGCATTTTTCACAATCCGCATAAATATACTTTACCTGTATTCAGCTGTATTTAGTTTTCAGCTGTAGTGTGCATGAAACGACTTTAATGTTCTCGAGACAGGATGCCATTGCACTATAGTTTGGCAATTTTTTGCAACATTTTAAGCAGTTTTTTTGTATAACTTGTATAAACTTGTATAAACTCTGTACACAGCAATAGGTAGCTGTTGTTGAATTTAATGGTTATGTTTGAAAGAATGTTAAAAGAATATTCAGAACTTATTTTAAAGCCCATAAGATGTTAATTTAACTTCCTGAAACAAAAACAAAAATAATATACATTCAAGATATTAATCTCTCTTTCCTGGTTACAGTGCTTTTAGCATGTCTGCATGTCATCAAGTGGCTGCAGAGATTGGTTTACCAAGCTCACTAAATTAATCTTCATTATGTTCAGATCAGCATTTCCACTGGTCCGCCCCCCCCTCCACCTCAAGTCAGATGATGAAGAAGGATTGAGGTGTCAGCACTATGGCTACCGGGGATTGCCCCGCCTTGCCATCTGCTGCCATGACTCAAAATGAGTGCATCATTGTCTCTGTCCATATCAAAGTCACGTCAGTTCAACACAGCGGGTGAATGAACATCAGCGCCAGTTACAGAAAGACCTATGACACTGCAGAAGTCTGAATAAAATGTCATTTGTTTGCTTTTTTAATTCTAACTTCAGACAAAGCAAAAGTTTTAAATAAAAAGTAATCTTGCTTGTCACATTATTTGATATTACTATGATTTTTTCCCGGGCACACGGCAAAACAGCGAAAGGGAGGCTAAATGTGTTTTAAAACTCAAAACACCGACACAACCTCTTATTGAAATATTGACATCATAAAAGCAAACACAGAAGCATAGATAAAACCATGAAGCCGTCATCAACACTGGTTGGTCTCTAGAGGGAGACAGACTCCCTGTGACTCAGAAATGCTTCTGAACAAAGGCTTACAAATCCCAACAAAGTTGTGATAGTGAATATCTTTCACAGCCACAGCCATTAACGATTAAAAGGTTCTCCTTATCGAAACTCATAATGATGGGAGGAAGTGTGAAACATTTAGACTATGACGTGTTTTAGCAGCTTAGTGACACATGTCAAATGGACCTGGATGCCATTTCACCTCCATAATGCACTGAATAAATCCATTTTTCTGTCATTCCCACTCCTGCATAGGTTATGCCATGATATTTTTGTCTTGTGAATTAAGACTTAAGTTAATATTCTGTATAACCTCCTAAAGAATGGTCCAATTCATTACATCTGAAGTTGCAACAAAGCCAAATGTCACTGTCATTTCAGCAATCTAGAAACTATATAGTAAATTAAACACTAATAGAAAGTGGACACATACATTGAACTGACATGCATAGAAAGACAGAGCAGCACGTGTGCAAACATCTCCAGATAATGGAACAAAAACAGTGCAGCAGAAAACAATAGCACTGATATATCTATCATCCTTATATCACCAATGACCTCTAAAGATTTAACACATTCATGTTCTCAAGAGCTTTTTCTTAATAAAATTAACTATCTGTGTATTTACTATCAAGCTTATCCGTTCAAAGAACAAACCTGGGCTTGTAACAGATTCATGGGTGCGTATCAAACGTGCGTTATTCAGGGAATAATTATTCTATTTTAGATGCATTATATATGGGAATGGATTTTCAAAAAATTTGCAATAAGTGTGAAGAGGTTAAATTAGTAACTACATGTGGTGTTGTCCAGTCAGAGAGGAAAAATTCTCCATTTGAAACTGAACTGAGTGAAATTAATCTCAATAGAATGTATATCCGGAAACCGGAAAACTCTTAGTCATATGTGTTAAAAGACCTGAGAATAAGTCGGTGACTTAAAGATAAAAACCATCACAGGTCATCACAGATATAGAATTTTATTACATTTCAGTCCAGTCAAGGGTACAAACTACAGCATACTGGTAGAGAAACTCATCCACTTTGTTATATGGTTATGGGGCTGATACTGCTTTAGTTTGTTAAAAACAAATATATAAAATATTAAAGATAAGAAATGAATAAACTATTGTTTTAAAAAATCACTTAAAAGAATAAAATCTTGATAATAAGTCCCTGAGAAAGCTTTTCAATATATACAGAGTTTACTATAAAGTAGAAAAACAAAATACTAAATAATTCACACCACTTTGAAAGCCCAGTATCAGATTTCTTTTCTTTGTAATAGACTCTGTTTGAATGCTCAAACAAGACTCCTTAAACACCTTGGTACTCGTGTCTGCAGTGTCCGACATTGAGAGGCTCTGCTTGGATTCCTCGCCTAAAGGGAAGAAAGACACAGGTTTAAGCATATAACAAGGAGACATAATGAGGATTGCACTAGACTGTTCAAAGGTTAAAAATGATAAAGATACCGCAGGAGCTTGCACCGAAAGTCAAGCAGTCGAGGGAGGGCGTTTTCCACACTGGAAGTCTGCTTCTCATCACTCCACAGCCTCTCTGCTGCAGCACTGGCTCTCGGCCTGTGATTTTCAATGAAACCATTCATATAATCTCCAAGATGATGTTGCTGTACAAACTCAATTTGGAATTCTGAATCAAATATTTCAGATGCTTTGTTGATCTCATACCAGAGTCGTGGAGACAGATTTGTGGCATCTACATATTCCCCCCACAAGCAGACTTCACCCCCTATCACCAACCTCTTCTGCTCCTCAGAACCTGTAGAGACATGGGACGGAAGAGCTCTGTTTGCATTAAAACAATTGATTATAAATTTAGGGATGGCCCTATGATTGTACTCAAATTTGTCAGACCACTTCAGGTTGGAAACTGACAATGAGGACATTTAGCATTAGCCCCCAAGGTCAGACAAGTATTTATGGTAGTCCTGATCATAATAAAATAATTATTGATTGGTTAGTAAAACTAAACTATAGTTAATCTAAGTGTAGAAAACGTACCTAACTCAAATGTTGAATCAGTAATGTTTTCACACAGAACAGAATAGAAGTTAAGTTAGAACTGTCCAAAGTCTGTAATTTACACACAGTTTTCCATTCATCTTAATCTGTATCACATCTCTTCAAGGACCATGTTCTACCTGCATATTATGGTTAAAAAGAAGCACAGTAGAATTTCAGCCATTTTAGTAGCCATGGCACGCAAGTGTTTTATTCTCTGACCTGAGAAGGCAAGGGGCCACACATTGTAGTAGCGAGCCCAGTTGTGTGTGGGTCCTGGTAGGTCCAGATACCACGGAGAGGCCAGAATCACCCTGAGCCCTGCTTTAACCACCCTGCGTACTTCACACAGGTAGCAGCCCTGTTTCCACACCTCCACCACTGACAAAGAACTGCGCTGCAACACAGAATTACAGACCAGAAGACTCACATTCACTCAGAGTGATATGTTACAGGCTCACAACTCAGTCTTTTACATTCTTGATCTGTTGAATTAAACAACTATATTGCTTTAAAATTTAATAAAATTTTATCTAAATGATATTTAAGTACATCATGGTAGATCTGTAAGTTTGACGTGAACATGGCACTTACTCGTTCATTGTAGTCAAAAACATCCTGCCACACAATTGATGTTTTGTTGAGAGCTGTTGTGATATTCACAATTCTGGAAAAAAAAAGATGCATGCTGTTATGTCCACATTTATATTTCCTTCTCCTACAGTGTGTCCTTCCCTTATAACCTACTTCTCGATGTAAAATGCCTGCAGTTTTGCAAAGTCATCTCCAAATCCCATTTTTTGCATGAATGCTCGGATGTAAGGGTTAGATCTCCTACAGAAACAAAACGTTGGGGGTTATTTACCTACATGCAAATGCTCTAAGGGTTTACTTACATTTTTAGTAAGTTAAATGTTCCTTCAAGTAAAGATAAGCCTGATGTTTTTACATAATTCTTTTTTTTCATCCTCTCCCCCGTTTTTCAGCCTTGACTAGCCTACCAGCAGGAAAAGTCAACCTCATCCCCTCCTAAGTGGAAATAAGATCCAGGAAACACAGACGACACTTCCTTAAACAGTGATTCCATGAACTGGTAGGTGGAGGCTAATGCTGGATTAATGGGACCAAACGTCCCTGAAGCAATGCCCCTTCTGTAGCACGGAGTCAGCAGGTCCAACTGCCCTAGGAAAGAAAGAAAGAAAGAAAGAAATATAAAAATAAATTAGAATTATATTACACTTCTGCAAAGTCTGTGGAACTGGGCTGATGCCTAGTTTTCCATATTTAGTTCAACTGAGATTATATTATTGTATGATTAATATAATTTTTGCAATGAACACCAATAGCAACAACTGGATCCACAATGGCATGATGTTCACAATTGGAAACTGGTTCATCCTCTACTGGTTGTCCTTGACTGGAGTCCATCTCTGTGCCTAATTAAACCCAGTGAAAGGGAACACAGCTGTCTGTATAAGATCCCAAAGCTGACAGCTGACAAGTCTGAAGAACTGCAGAAAGACCTGGAAGGAAGGATTGTTATAAGCATGGACTTTGGGGAGGGAAAAAAATATTCTGGAGCTTTTGCAGTAGCAAAAAAATAAACATCTTTCATGTATGAAGCTATTCCCTACAAAAAGGCACATTGCAACTGACTGGGAGTTTACCAAAAGATATCTGAATAATTCACTGGCAATAAAAAGCTACATTTATATTTATATAAGGATCGAATCATATGGCCAGAATTTCTGATAGTTAATAAACATAAAGAGCCTTCAATCATCATTACAAGAAAGATGTTTTTCTGTCACAGGGACTGCTATGGAAGAGGGAAAGATGGATGCGGTAAAATACAAATACATGCAAAATGTTGGTCTAGTCAGGTCAAAATTTAAGCGATTAACCAGGAGCACACCAACAAGAGCATACAAGAGCCATTCCAGTTTAATCTAAGTCAAAGCGCAGGGGCTGTCCTTCCAAAGACTGGGTTGGGCCCTGTATTATAGTACTCTCCTTTTAACCTGGTTCAGCTTTGAGGAGACAGAAAAAAATAGTAAAACCATCCCAAGTAAAGGTGTGCCAGGCTTAGGATCATTCCTGAGAAAACATGAGTCACTTGTTTGAACAGTTAGAGAAAGGCTCTGATCTAACTGAATTGTCTATAGTTTTCATTTTTAAGAAAACAACTTTTTTGTATTTATTGAAATTGGTTTGAAGAAAGGTGAAAAATCCTGAATCCATGTTAAGATGTGTCTGGAACAAGACAGCATGTGGAAAACTGAAATGTGCTTGCCAGTACTTTGTGTGTTCCAGATAAGAAGTGAGTCAAGCATCAGTGGCTTTCATATGGCAGTTTGCATTCTTGACTGGCAGGTTAGGCATAAATTGATCTTGCTGAGTCAAATAAACATGAGAAAACATGATTGACGCCTAAGATTAAAATTCACCCAATTAAACTTCTTTGGTGCATAACTATACTCTATACCTTTTCCCCAAGATTTTGTGTGGCCTGGTGAATCAAACTCCGGAACGACCCTTATTCCCAACATCCTGGCGTATGAGATCACCCTTCTTACATCTGACTGTGTGTAGATATGAGTCATCGGATGGAAAGCCCCCTGAAACAGAGCCAGTAGTCTATTGTTAGGGTGGAGACTACTTCCAAACACTCCTAGATTAGCAAGCAGATGGCCTACAAATCTGAGATATCTAGAGCTAAATTTAATAGAGTTAAGTACTATTTTTTAAAGGAGAATAATTAATGTGGAGAGTCATGCTAGCTTGGTATCTCTTTTCATCCACATACCTTACTGGACAGGTCTGGAAATGTGCGGCTCTGGTAAGGGAAAGATTGGTCATCAACTATGTGCCAGTGAAACACATTGAACTTACTGTAGGCCATTGCATCCTAGAAAAAACACAAATGCAAATGAGAGATTATGAACTACATCTGTCAAAACAGAAGCTTAAGGTAACATTTCATTATCTCATTATTACCAGAGTTTTTAAAATTGCCTGCACAGGTAAATAATGGCGCGAGGTATCCAGTAAAATCCCCCTGAACTGAAAGCTGGGAAAGTCTTTAATGTCAGACTTATTCACAAAATACTGGGGAAAGGAAGACAAAGACCAAAAGGGAAACTATTAATCAATTGCTTTGATAAGAGTGTGTACTGAAGATATAATTCCTTCAGAGACTTGGTGAGTTTAAGAAAGACTTACTGAGCCAGAGTCATCTTGATACACCAGCTGACTGAAGGTTTCCAGACCTGTCAGAAGACATGCAGTATTTAAATGACGATCATTTAAGCATACCAATGTTTAGTTTCCTTTGTCAGGATCACCTCTTAAAGCACCCCACACGGTTTCTGCATTCAAACATGCTTGTCCGGCTGAGACGCTCAGATTATCTGGAATCAGAAGGAAATTACAAAAAGAATTGTTGTGGGTGTGGCCACTCTTAAATCTAAATGTCACCTATTTATACTTACATCTCTCAGATGAGTCCTCAGTTGGATAACTCTCACAATAGTGACCGTCAACAGCGATTTCTACACTAAATGGCTTGTCCTCACGGATCCGAAGTTTATCATTTCCTGTTGGACAAACTAACAGTTCAAACATAACCTGTAGGCCTTTATAATCAAAATTCTAAATACAAATATAGCACAGTATTTTTCTGACAACACAAGCATGAAGCTGTGTTAGTACAGTCCATTGTCCTGGTGTTTAGAACTGGTATGCTGACTAACAGGTAAACTGCTGTCTCTACAAAGCCCATTGATTTACTTTAAAAGGCACCATGACAAACAGAATACTCAAAACAAAACTACTAGGCACCTTGTTGTGAATTGCTTTTACCTTCTAATTACCTTTGTAAACATCTCTTACAGTAAAAAGTAGTTTCAGGTAAATGCTTTATTTACGTATAGTAGTATCTGTAATATCTGTGTAAACATGGATTATTGAGCACAACTGGAGCTCAATGAGAAATTTCTTGGTTTTTTTTTATCCTCAGGGTGGATTTAAACTTATTGCATGACCTACCAGGAGCGTAGTCAGGAAAAATAAGAGAAAAATATCTCTTAAAGGCAGCATCGAGAACGGGGCAACCCTCCAGTGCGGCTGATCGTCCTCTGTAACCAAAGTGGAAATGCTGGGGATTCAGTGGGTATCTCTCTGTCCAGGAGGTGAACGTCTGTGGCAACGGCCACACTGCGTCCACTGCGTGAAGGCCAAACTTGAGGATAATCAGCAGAAGGAAAACGTCGTTTATACGAAGGCGTCGTCTGACATCCACTGGACACATGACTGTCAAATAAGCCTTCTCAGTATTCGGTCAAACTGCCCCATCAGATGCGTGCGGTCATCTGACCAGGCTCACCTGTTTTGTGTTGCTTGTTTCTGCTGCTCTGCTGACGACAATACTGCTTTAAACTATTACTACCACTACTAGTAATACAAGAACAGTGTTATCATAGTAATAAACAACAAGGAATAATGATGACAGCAGCTAAGTATTTTTTAAAATATATATTTCTCAGTAATACTAACTTGGTTAAAATATTGAATGCAGACAAGGTGAACGTTTGAGTGGTGCAGTTCTTTTTTTTATTACCAGCCTTAGAGTATTGTGAGGCAATTATTAGTTAAAATTGCACTTAACATATTTATTCTAACGCATTCATTCAACCTTATTTCGAAAATTCAGAAAACTTTGGAATATTTTTCCTATCTTCTTGAACAGGCGAACTGACGTAAGGCCGTCGTCAGTTGGTGACGCTGCATCTCTTTGTTGGCTTAGTAGCGGCTACGTTTTGTTGTTATTTTCGCTGCAGCTGAAAAACAGGCTCGGGTAATTTTGGCTCTCGTATTGTTTCGCAAGTAACACCTCACACTTTAAACCTTTAGGTGTGCTCGCCACAAGCTGATAACCACTCTAGGAATGGACTCAGACGAGGGTTATAACTATGAATTTGACGACGAAGACGAATGTAGCGAGGACAGCGGCGAAGAGGAGCCCGACGACACCCTGGAGATCGGAGATGTGGAGTTGGTCGATCCCGTGGTAGCCGGTGGGGAAAGAGACGAGGGCGGCGAGACTGGTGTTGGGGGCCATGGCCCTGGTGAAGAAGAAGAGGAGGACTACCGTTTCGAAGTTTTAACTGCCGAACAGATCCTCCAGCATATGGTGGAGTGTATCAGGGAGGTCAACGAGGTCATCCAGGTAGGTATCTTGGTGTGCCAGCGTCAGGAAAGTCCGAGGTTCAGAATACTGTGAAGCTACTACAGGCCATGGACATTAGCTTAACCGTTAGCTTTGGAGGAATAGTTTACTTGCTCAAAGGTGGTTATTTAACAAAACTGGTAAGATCTAAAAAGCGTTTATTTCCCCAGTAATACCCTTTTAGTATTCATTTATATGAAAAAGGACGGAGTTAGTCGTTGAATAAACAACAAAATAATATTTTTCACGAGTTTTCTTCCAGGAAGTAGTCTAATCCCCGTTGAGAAGTTGGCAGCAACGTTTGCTAAGCTACGGTTAGCTTTCTTGCTACTTGCTATATTAAACCGTTAGCAATGCTAGTAACGTACAGGAATCCATAGCGTATTGGGTTCTAGAATTAGTGACTAAAGTGTCAGCTTCAACGAGATGACAGTTGAAGTGCATTGAACCATCTATTGAAGTCTGGCATAATTCAGTTTATTACATTTGTGTTATTTTTAATATTCTAATGGTGCAAGAGTGGCTTGGCCATTGAGTTGGCTAGCAAGTTTATATTTTAGGTTAGGTATAAGAATTGAAACATTTATTTTCCAGACATCTAATAACATCGGATCAGTCATAGGGAAAACAAAGTTTTTTTTGCTCAATCGAAGGTTTGCATCTTCTAAACACTGCGGATATATTCGTTTTAGCCCACTGTTAAACTTAGGCCTCCATTTCCTCTCACGGACCTTCACTTGAGCACAGAATAAAATGGAAAGTGATCGTGGTCGACCCGCCACCATTTAGATTTGAGAGGAAATAGCATTTTACATTTCGAATAAGCATACTGCCATCGAGCTTCAAAAAAACAAATCAGTTTATTGGTTTTATAAAAACTGAATATATGGAACAAATGCATTTAGAAGCAGCTGACATTTCTTTGAAGAATTATGTTTCTCCTTAATATAGGGTTGTACTGGTGGGACACTTGGAAACAAATTCCATTTAGATTAGTTGATGATGACTGTTTTTTTTTTCTCCCTCTATTTTGTTGGGTGTTGTCAAATGAGATGAAAGAGTGTAAAGGATACTTATAAATTGCACTCCTACTTTAGTTTTGCATGACTTTTCTGTGCGGTTATTTTTAAGATACTAAACACTAAAACAGGTAATCATGACCTTTCATATATTAAGAGACTTATTAAATTGGAAGATTTGAGAAAACAACACACCTCACCCAAGCCCCTAAATTGTGTACAACATTGATTTAAAACCTTTCTTAGAAGTTTTCATCAGATATTGAACATTGTTGCCCCCTAGAATCACAGAGTTAGTTTGTAATCTAATGTGAAATGTAACATTTCATGAATACCTAATGAACTTAAAACATTAATTATTGATATGTTATTATGAATGCCATGACTTCTTTTCTCAAGATGTATCCCATTTGGTTTTTCGTTTTAATGTAGTTTGACTCTGGAATAAATACACTATGCCAACTGTGCTTAAACCTGTACCTTTTACAGTGATCACTGATTTCCAGCTTAACACTAAATATGTAGTTCCTAATATATTAGATTTAATTTGTAGCAAAATATGATAAAATCCAAATGTGCTAAGCTCATCAAGTAAAGAATTACTTTAAACAGTAAAATCAAAATACTTCCCTCTGGGCTGCTACTCATTTTAGAAAAAAATATTTTTAGTATTGTTCTGCAATATAATAATAAATGGTTTGTTAATGTTATTATTTCTCCTGTCTTTGAAATATCATTATTTTAGTTGAAACTTAATGTGTGTGGTCATCACAAAAAGGTTTTTTGAATCTCTAACATGCTTTGTGGAAAGACTTTTTTATGTATACTTTCATTTTTTTTGCCCCCTCTGTCGAACACTTTTACATTTCTTCACTTCTTACACATGTATGTCCTATAAAGGGTTTTTATATGGGGTGCCAGGTAACCTAACAGGTTGAGTTGGGGATCCCATGTAAAGAGGCTGTAGGTCCGTATTACAGTAGGCTCGGCCTCCAGTTCTGGCTAGGTGCATTTTACTGCATGTCACCCCCCCTCTACCCACCTTCTAGACTTCTTTCACTATCTAGACTGCTAGAGCCAACCTGAATAAATCTTTTCATGTCAGAAACGAACATCTTTTTTAAAAATGAACATTTTAATCTTAATCATAAATACACATCCCTAAAAACAAAAAAATAGATACATAGATGTAATAGTAATGATTAGATCCTTTAAATGGTCCATGTTCTCATGGCCCCTCTTCTTTTAGACAAATTAACACTCATTTTCAAATGTTTTTTTAACTCTTGTGTAATGTAAACTCATGGAATTTTATCTTCATTAGCAATATTGGAACATATGCAGACAAACTCACTGCTAAAATGATACAATAACCAGGATATGAATCCTTAATAGAATTAGTAAAGATAGGTCACTTATAATTCTAGTTCCAAGTATGTGGGCTTCCCTAGATATGCAATTCTTTCTGATCAACCTTTGTCCTGGTTACTGATCAAATTAACTGGGACAAAAGCATGCCATTACACGTCCTGAACAATTTGTTCTTTTTATGACTGTTTTGATGTTTATAGATATACAATTTATATGAAGAATTTTGACAGTGGATATGGATATGAACACTTTTGGAAGATGTTTGTACCTTTTTACTCATTAAATGAATACCCTCTCCTAAAGTAAGTCACTAAAGTCACATATGTGTCTCTGAAATGTATTTTAATCATAGAGGCTTACTAATGCGCCATGTGGATACCGCAACTTGATGCAATGGCATATATCATCTTTATTTTGTTGGACTAAGTGTATCGCAGTTATTGTAGTGCAGTTTACCACACCATTAACAAGCTTCCTTATATTACTACAAATTTTTTAAGTTAAGGAAAAGGGCCATCTGATTGGAGCTCTCTATTGGCACAGTCTCTCTGTAAGTCATGTGTTAGATGCCCAAAGATGTTTTTTTTTTTAAACTTTTATTGAGAACCTACACCATCAGTTTTTGTTGCTTATTGCTTCTATTCCTCTTATCATTGAAATCTTACGATGCAAAATTTGACAATTGAGCTTAAAATATGACCAGCTATGTCTTGTTTGTTTGCTTTTTTAGAATCCTGCAACAATAACTCGCATCCTTCTCAGTCACTTCAACTGGGACAAAGAAAAGCTTATGGAAAGGTAAAAATATCTTAATTTCCTTCTTCAAGTGAAAAAGTTCCAGCTAAAACATGAAAGTCAAAATTCCTGGAGAGCCCAATGAACAGATGCTTTTTGTTTTAACACTGAGATATCTTATGTTTCAATTGATGTAGATATTTTGATGGAAATCTGGACAAGCTTTTTTCTGAGTGTCATGTCATCAATCCAAGTAAGAAGCCTCGGACCCGTCCTCAAATCAACACCAGATCATCTGCACAGGACATGCCATGTCAGATTTGCTATCTGAATTTCCCTAACTCTGTAAGTTACTTAGTTTTATAAAAACAGAGTTGCACAACATTATTGATCAGTTGTAGAGTTTTGATACGTTACCTGCTCGTCAGACTAGTATCATGGTGAAGTGGAATATAGCTCTTTTGCTTGACTAAAAGGGAAATACTGGGCATCCTCTTCTTGACATGTTGAAACAGCAGATTTCCCCTTGGTTATTTCTGTGCTCACATCAAACTTAATGTGTCTTTCTTGTAGTACTTTACTGGCCTGGAGTGTGGACACAAGTTCTGCATGCAGTGCTGGGGAGATTACTTGACTACCAAAATCATAGAGGAAGGAATGGGACAGGTACCATTTAAGATTTATTTTGAATACACTTCACTTATCTATTAATTCTGCTTTTAGACTAAAGGTGTTGGCGTTGGTGTTCAATTTTAACACCACATTTTGAATTGTAGCTATATAGCCATTTTATACAACATGGCCCTTAATTCCAAAGCTAAACAGAACAAACTAATAACTTGAATAATTGAAATAATTTCAAGTACTGCTTCAGAGACATACGTTTATTTCAGATTTGTTAAAACTGTATTTCTTGGGAAAAAACAAACTGTAGCGAAACCGATCAGTACGATTGGATTGATTGTGCAATAGTTTCTGATCACTGTATTTGTTTACTGTATTCTTATTGTGACTGACCATTATTTAAAAGTTGAAGTCATCACTATGATTTCTTTTCTTTGATCTTGCATTTTTCTGGTAAATAAGTGAACAGCTCAGAAACCCATAACATTTACTTGCATGGGTTATCATGGTCACATGCCAGCAGCACTCATCTTAGTGGCCCTGCTGCCAGTCACAAACTGTACAGGTAACAATGGGAACCACTTGCAGAGTGAAAACATATTCTGTCGTCTCATTCCTGACTAATTATTTTCATTCTGCATTGTCTTCTCAGACCATTTCTTGCCCTGCTCATAGTTGTGACATTTTGGTTGATGACAACACAGTCATGTGAGTATTGTTCATTTATTTGTTTTATGTTTGGAAACAATTACTGGTGCTGATCAACATAAGATACGCAGTATTCATTCAGAAAGCTCACAGTCTATAGTGACAGTGTATTTTGTCTGTCTTAAGAAAGTCCATGAACTTTGTCAAAATAGGTTCTATCTTCCAAATGAATGATCCTTCCGAATTGATTAGGCTTTTAAAGTTTTCCCTTGAACATTCTGATCTGGTCATCCTTTTTAGGACAATAAATGGTGTGTAGCCTTTGGTGAAATGTCTTCATTTTCAGTTTTAAAGTATTTTCTTCATGTTAGACGTGAATAATAATATTCCAACCTCCTGGTGAGTTATTTACCTGTCTAGATGTGTCGCTCTTTTTGTTGATTTATTTTATCTTTTGAATCTGCCTTATCTGCTGTTGGGTCTTTTTATTTTGTGTGGCTCATTGGGCTCTGTTTTGGCTCAACCTCAATGAAAAGAATAAGCCCAAACCCATCAAAGGAAGTTTAACCATTTCTACCTTCATCTGTTCTAAACAAAGCTGAGCAGGCTTTAAGCCCCCTTAATTACACAACTAGTTTTAGTAATTTGTTAAACAGATAAAATAACATATGCTTCCTGATGTATATTCCTGATATTTTATCATGTTGAATTAGAAAATTACAAAAGAGCCATTTCACATAATGAAGGTGAATAATATTTATTTGAATTTCCCTAGGCGCCTCATCACAGATTCAAAAGTGAAGTTAAAGTACCAGCATTTAATAACCAATAGTTTTGTAGAGGTAAGCATTTACTTTTTGCTTTTTAATCAAGTGTTTTTAAATATTAACAGTTTGTTTTTGTTTTCATGTTAAATTGTATGAATATTATTTGAAAGTCTGTAAAAGTGCAAGTTAAAATTCTGTCTCTCCTTGCTCTTTGAAGTGTAATCGACTATTAAAGTGGTGTCCTGCACCAGACTGCCATCATGTTGTAAAAGTCCAGTACCCAGACGCCAAGCCAGTGAGGTGCAAGTGTGGCCGTCAATTCTGGTGAGACTTTAGGATTCTTGTATGCTTACATTTAATAGGTTTATTTTACGTGAACTTGGTCTTATATGGGTGTCATTGCAGCTTCAACTGTGGAGAGAATTGGCATGATCCTGTGAAGTGCAAGGTATGCCAAACTAAAGTGTATGTATTATTTGACAGGAATGTGGAGCTTTTCTAGTATTAAGTATGTGAGCTTACTCTAATTCATGCATTTGTAGTGGCTGAGAAAATGGATTAAGAAATGTGATGATGACAGTGAAACTTCTAACTGGATTGCAGCAAATACCAAGGTATGAAATTAGTTGGTTTCTTTTCTTTTGTGATTTTTATTAGTAAGGCAAGGATTGCGATTGTGAAGAAAAATTCATTAAACACTTTTTTTAATGTCACTCCTAACAAATGTTTGGACTGCTATTTGGTCAAAATAAAAGGCCACTCCACTAGTGTTTTGGTTGACCCTAAGTCAGCTTTACTTGAGGATTTTAAGTTATTTATTAGCATATTTCCATCTTTTCTATGTGTGTGAGACGCAGGTTCAGAGAGTGATTTACAAAACAATCGCCTCTTTTACTTTCATAGGAGTGTCCGAAATGCCATGTGACCATTGAGAAAGATGGCGGCTGCAATCACATGGTCTGTCGGAACCAGAACTGCAAAGCTGAATTCTGCTGGGTCTGTCTGGGACCATGGGAACCTCATGGCTCAGCCTGGTGAGAAATATTATCATAAGTACAACAGATATGCAATAAGTATGATAAAATATAGTACGATCTTTGTTAATCATCAGATAACAAGTGCCTCATAAAACCCCTTTTACACCAAATCATCCTGTTATAAGTTAATGAGTTCAATGTCAATCTGAGGTGTCATTTTTGGCAATTTTTTAAAGAAAACAAATTCTCTCACAAACTAATTTACTTCTCACTTTATTTTGTGATTTCCCACAATAGAGAAAATCTAAGCATCTTAAAGAGCACCATACCTCAATGATACACATTTCTGGGGTTTTCCCCAAATGTCAATAAAACATAGATAACATGTGGGTTTTCATTTGTGTCGCCAACACAAAGAGTTTATAAAAGTTTGTTGTGATCATTCAGATTATATGAGGTTCACATGGGAATGGAACATGTTGTGGATCAAACTGTGGTATGCAGATTTTAGATGTATGCCACAGTAAGTGGGTAGTAGATGTGAGCAGTTTCATATGACAGCTATGTAGCTTTGATAGACCAATTGTTCTGCAATGCAATAATATTGTACAAACTTGGCGGATGTTTTCCACTTTTTAGGTACAACTGTAATCGCTACAATGAGGATGATGCCAAGGCAGCCAGAGATGCTCAAGAGGTAGTTAAAGATATAAAAGCCTTCTAAATCTTTTCACGGTGGATTGTTTTACAAAGATAGTGTATAATATTTGTTATATTTTTTTGTGGTTGATCATATTACTTAACATCCTGTTCTCTATAAAGTAGTCAAACATCACTGATTCTAGTTAACTGAAGGATGGTGTTTTTCAAAATGTCCAGAGTATATTTTCCAAAGATAATGTTCATATATGAACCCTAAGAGGAAATTCTGTATAGCGATGCCCTGTTCATGCTAGCAGGGTTGGGGATAGGTATCTGGGTAGAAAACATGACAAGAATTTGTATCTCAGTTATTGTCCAATACGTGGAAAACAGAATCAAAATCAGCAGTCAGAATGTGTAGAAATGAACCCTCCCAGAATACACACTTGCCCACTGTAAATTCTGTGTTTCAGTTACTGTGTTCAGTCACTCTGCCATCTTCCTTATATTTTAGCAGAGTGAGCTTCACAAGAGCCCCCACACAAGTGTGGACATTAACCCTCTCACATACGGCCCCTTCAGAACATACCTGGACATTTTCAGGCCGCCAATGCATGTATGGGAAAACAGCTTTGTAAAGGTAGATTCCTGTGTGTCTGAGCTTGAGCTGGTTTCGTCCTGTGTCTGCAGCGCTCTAGGGCAGCCTTGCAGAGGTACCTGTTCTACTGCAACCGCTACATGAACCACATGCAGAGTCTGCGCTTTGAGCACAAGCTCTACGCTCAGGTTAAACAGAAGATGGAGGAGATGCAGCAGCACAACATGTCCTGGATTGAGGTGCAGTTCCTGAAGAAGGCTGTAGATGTGCTGTGCCAGTGCCGCTCGACGCTCATGTTCACTTACGTCTTTGCCTTCTACCTCAAGAAGAACAACCAGTCCATTATTTTTGAGGTAAAACAGCAGTTGTTGGCTGACATGTAAGGAATATATTTTATGGTACTTGACAGACTAGAGCTATTTTTAGTCTCAGAATGCTAAATTTTGCATGATGGTGCGTGAGGAATTGCTTCTAAAACAGAATTACTGCTAACAGGTGAAACTCAATCTCTACATTTTTTGGGTCGTGCCCTGGTCTGGTTATGATCTTTTTTTTTTTTTTTTTTTTATGTTCCCATCATTGGTATTCACTTATTGTTAAAGATTTATGACATCTTAATTGTGCTATTAAAATCTCTTTAGAACAACCAGGCAGACTTGGAAAATGCCACTGAGGTGCTGTCTGGCTACCTAGAGCGGGACATCTCCCAGGATTCCTTGCAGGATATCAAGCAGAAAGTGCAAGATAAGTACAGGTTAGTGAAGGAGTTGTATTACTGTCTGCTGCAGTTTCATTTGTGCTCTCCTGGACTCTTAAGATATTTTATGTCTACAGATACTGTGAGAGCAGGCGAAGAGTGCTGCTACAGCACGTGCATGAAGGCTATGAGAAGGACCTGTGGGAGTACATTGAGGATTGAGGACACGTCCCAATGCAACGGACTATTGAGTATCTTGACAAACTAGAGCGCTGATGCAATTTAACAGGGCAGCACGGGCCTTCTGCCGCCTCTCCTTTGGCAAACCAACCACTTTTGCATCATTTTTTTTTCCTGGATTTGTTTAACAAAATCTTCAAAGTAAATTATATTTAAATAAAATGTAGAGTAATAAAAACAGTGTACTACAGTATTGTTAGCAACAGAGTGGAGTCTTGAGAAAGCAGAAAAATCCATCTTAAACAATTACATCCTTTGGCCTGTATTGTAATCTTCCCCTAAAATATCTTTTTTCATTTTTTTTGCTTGTGAATCTTTTCTGTTTTGATTTTTGACTTTTGTTTTTCCATTAGTGTGAAAACGTTTCAACACAGCTTTAATTGTCCTGGCCATGTCTGCAATATGTGGTGAGATCCTTGTCTGAATTGCTGAATATGGATGGGCTGATTGCAAAGAGCAGACATTTGAGGGGTAGAGGAGAGAAACGAACAAAACACAGCAAGTCTGTATTTTTCAATTTGTAAATAGTCCATTTGCATGGAAGTTAAAGAGCAAGAGTGGCACGTGTTTGCATAATTTTGAGATATTTATTCTTTACCAATATGAAAAAAGGTGTACTTCTGCCTTGTTGGTCGAGTGTGTGAAGTCCTTCCACAAACTGTCAGAGTTTGGAAGTGTTGGCAATAAGGCTTTCTTCCTACCATATTTGGTCGGTTCAGATCAGAGCACAAGTTACACCTTCAGAAGCTCCAAATGCAGACTTGAAGAATTTGTTTTAGTTGTCAAGCGATCAGAAAAAGGACTCTGTCAAGTACACGATCAGTCTAGAAAAAACAATATCAGTTAGTTCTACAGGTCAGAGGAAGGGTAGAACGCACCGGCCATGTCCCTCTATGCTAACCTTTTGCCGAACCCTCTTAGTTTAACACTTACCTATTTTTTTGCAAGAGCCATACTGAGTGACATTCACTCTTTTTTGTTTTTCTGACATGGCTTGAGGAAGCCCTCTTAAAACTCGGCTTGCACCTTGTGGATTGAAAGAGGGGATGGAATGTACTGACACCGCATCTGTAGTGCCGCTAATTTGGCTTGATCACTGTGGAAGAGGGTTAGGCATTTGTATCGCTCTTGGGGGAATATTTGGGCAGCCTGAGACCGATGGTGGCTGCGCCTCTTTGAAGAGATGTCTTGCCATCCAGTGAGACTTAACATTGCTTTAAACCCAACTGCACGGATGGACTTTAGTGATCCTAAACAGAGGAGAAATAAAGGGCAAACTTTAAGGGTTGTTGGGGTGTTTTGTAATGCTGTTATGCTTTTGCATAAGAGGCAGTGTTTTTCGTACATGGGCTGAGGCTTGAACATTGAAATATTAGTGCCCCTCCAGGTTTGCGTTGTTCTTTCTGGTGGTTGCTCTGGTTGTCAAACTCTCTGCTTGTAAATGCTCATTCATGTCTTTGCAGTTGGGCAGTCTTCCTTAGATTGACTGGGGGGTACATGATTACAACAGGCACTGATGCAAGTTAGAAAGATGACACCAAAGTGTCAGCCATCGTTGAAATACATCCTTTGCCTAGTTTCAGATCTTTGGGGAATTCTTTCCCAAATGCTTCTTATGTGTTCCAACTTATTATTTTATCCTAGCAAATTATAAACTGTATTGTTTATTTGAATAAATGTCATGAGAAATCTCTTTTTTGGGAGTACTGTGTGAGTCATTAGAGCAGGTTTGGTCACAAGCATATTAAGTAGCCAAACATCCCATGATGCATTTCTGCGCTGTGTACCTTGCAATGTAGGATACTACATACCATGGCAGACTGGGGTCTTCCAGAAAAGCATAGGATTCATTTGCAAACTTAACAGTTTTTTTAAGTAAAGAAAATACTTTTTTTTTTTTTTCCTTAATCTCTTAAGTTTACTTGCAGTTTGTAGGATTAAGGATCCGTTTGTTGTAACATCTCTATTGAATTCTTTTGGCCTCAAGTTACAAAGCGATGATGACAAAGGATGAATGGATTAAAACATGGGCTTGCTCTTGTTGTCTTGCAGCCACAGCAGTGATCAGTAGGCTCGCTGCTCTCCAGGGCTCACTCTGTTTTCATTCTGCTCGTAGTTCATGAACATTTCAACTTTACGTTTGAAGTAACAGAAGCAGCTACTTACGTTAAATTGAGACATCCCAAAAACTTTTAATACTTTTCTACATATCTTTTCTTTATGCTATCAAAGGTGTTTTATTTCCTATTAGTGTAAAAATGTGGGGAAAATTAGTTGTCTGTTTTGGAGAAAAATATTAAAGTGCAAAATGTTGCAAACATTGTTCTGGCACGGGTGGTTGATTACAGACATGTTTTTGTGATATTACATTTTGTTGTATTTACTAAAGCACTGGATCATGTCAGATACACCAATCCCTGGAAAAAATTATCCAGTCAAACTAGTCGAACATGCAGCTGTGTGTTACACCACCGGATGGGGACAAAGGCACCAATCTTAACCTGGCAGTGAGCATTTTTAGTGCAGTGAGTGTGGACATTTTTTTTTTACACATGCATTGATACTTTTTAAAAATACAATTTACATGATGCGTATCAAGTCTTAACAGTTAAACATGAACAATTTCACTATAGGATACTTAACGTCTTAAAAAAGGAATCCAAATCATTTAATGATCTATATAGCTTGTTAAAACTGTGCAGCGAGCAAAAAGAGACCTAGTAAAATGTAAAAGCTGGTTGTGGAAGTCTTGTGGATGGCGGGGATTGTGGCTCGGTGGGATTCAGCCCGTTTGCTCTCCAGCTCCTGAGATGCTGAGCAGACCTGCCCATGGGTGTGTGATGGGAGAGAACCAGAACAGCATATAGTCAACACTAAAAATAAAAGCCAAAGAGCTGTACTAGTTTGTGGGTGTAAAGTACTGTATGCCTCTTAAAAAAATAGATTTAAAGAACAGCTACGAGTGTGGACCAGTGGTATTACAAATATTTATTTGGAAAGGTAGTGGCATCAATTCAATCTTAAAAAAAAATATTGCAAAATGTGAGGGTTAGCATTTAATAACAATGGGGGGGGAACAAAGTCTTTCATTAAAAGGCTTCTTGAGCAGCTCAGTGATGAGTTCATTAATGCCTGTCCATTTTCTGTTACACCTAAAGAAATAAGTGACCAGGTTAAAGCTTTAAAAAATTCAGTATAATGACATACAAGTCAGGAAAGGGTGCACACCAAATACACACAAACACTGTTTGACAGTGAAACCTTTGGGGGAAAAAAGTTTTCAAGTAGCCAAAATTCTTATTATAAAGATATACATGAAAACATAACCGTGTCACTTACTTTACACTAAAGAGTGACTCACTAAATAAATAAGTTCACAGGTTTTTGAAATTCTTGCCATGAACATGTGTGACCTTCGTCAAACTGCAGTCTGTATAAACTAGTAAAGCGACCGTGCATCGAAGAGCTTTAAAGACGCTTGTTGGATTAAGAACCAATCCATAAAGAAAGCACCTTGTTGCTTCGTGTGACGAGGAATGTCGGCGTGAGCTCATTACAGAAACATCCGGTGGAACTTCATTCTTCACGCGGCCCGACCAAAACTACCTGGTTGCTGCAAACGTGGAGGCTACTCGTCAATTTTCAACCAGCCTTTTTTGTAGTCTATGAGCAGCTCCAGGTAGTATTTCCACTCGGGCTCACTGTCATACCTGACCTCAAAAATAGTCTGCAGAGGGTTGCTGTGGGCCTCGTGGACTCGCAGCACCTCTCCTCTGTACCACACCTCTGATTTGTCGTCCTCTTCGTAAAGATGGCGGATCCTCTTTCCCACCAGGTCGGGGTAGTAGAGCCTCATCGCCCCGCGAGCCCTCTGGACGGCCGAGCGCAGGACCCAGCGCCTCCGGTGGTCAGCGCTGTGGCAGGCCGACAGGTAGGGACAGAACTTGATCTTCAGAAGCGAGCCGTGCTTGTTTTTGGAGGAGCTCCTGAGAGAAGCGTGAGAGAAGCCGCCTTTTCTCCGCGGCCCGTGTTTAGCTTTGGACGTCCAGCGCAGGTCGCCTTGGTTGAGCGAAGCCCCTTCGTCCTCCGCCTGCTGGGGTGAGGGGTCATCGCACGCCCGGGCCTCCGACCAGGCTTTGTAGCGGGCCCTTTTGCCGTTCTGGCCTTTGCTGAGCATCCGCCTCAGTTTCAGAATCATACCCGAGCAACTCCTGGCTTCCACCCGAGCTCCTGAGGGCTGACTGTAGGGCAACACGTCAGAGGATTTATCAGTCTCGGCGTCACTGGGAGACGGGGGCGCCTCGTCCAACGATAAAGGACACATCCACGAATTCTCAGAAGCGGCGCTTTGTGAAATGGCAGGAGAATCTGGCTCTTGAACTGGGTGGTCAGTTCCTTCGTTTTCAGCCTCATCAGCAACACCTTTAACACCCGTCTTCCCTTTAACGGCGGTCTCGTCCTCATCTGACGAGTCCTCATCTGTAAACATGCGCCTCGAACTGCTCTTTATTTTGCTTTTAGTTCTACGCCTGCTCAAATGAGGCTGCTCTTGTTCCTTCACGCATTTCGGACCGTGCGGCTGCGATGGGGAGGCCGGTGAAGCAGCAACGTCTGAGGATGCGAGAGGCCTTCTGCTGTGGGACGCGTCACACCCTCCCTCCTGGTCTTTCACATCTGGAACCATAATCAATCCTGCAATGCAAGGAAGCTCAGGATTAGGGAAGAGGTCAGATCGCAGGTTTAGTGTTTATGATGGTTAGTTTTTAATGTTTAGTGTTACAAGATAAATACAAAAATAGCAGAAAAAGGAAATAGAAAAGTTAAGGTGTTAGAAGAATTTATTTTGTGCACAGGAAACACCAAAAAAGTAAAGACAATTGATCATTTTTTGTTAAAGAAAAATAATAAAAAGGCTCACTATCCGCCCCAATGTCAAATTTTCTAGTCTTGGCTGAAAAAAATAAAAAAATTAAATCAGTGCTCCCAGGGCTCTTCATGCACACAAGGACTAAAAGAAAACTAATATCAGCTGACACATGGTGATTAAACTGCATGATCCTCCACCATGAAACAGTCTTTGAGCGGAAACAGAAGAAAAGGCTGTGGAAGTAAACACGGAGGCCGGGAACAAAGTCAGCTGCTGCATGCAATGCCATCATTCAGGGACAAGCCAGCAGCGCGGCCAGGGCAGGACAAGAGCAATGTTCATACTCCAGAGTCAAGTGCTCCCAAAGCCATGTGAACCGCTAATAGTGTCAGCAGTGAGGGAAAATGTCATTAAGCCCCAGTCAGTAAGCAAATGCATGTGCTCATTAAAATAATCGACGTCGAAAAACAGATTTTTAGAAAAAGTTAAGTCTCTGCTCCAGTTATGATCCCAAAAAATTCCCCTGAAGAGTTACTGTACGCTCAATTTATAAAAGTATTGACCGGACGGGCCCTGATTTAACTTAATTTACATTATAATAAGTATGTATTATACTCAAAGTTAACCTCACATGCTTCTTCTATGACGCACCCAAGTAAAACTCAAATATTCTGCAGATTCTTTGAAGACTTAAGGATTTAATATGGCCAGCCATCTAAAAGCCATAAATAGATTGAAACATTTGGCTGTAATGCCTCACTAACAAGTCCATCCTCTGTAACAGAATATACAGGAGATTTGTCCCTTCAACCCAAACAATATATATTTTTTTAATGATGTGACAGGAAATGCCTCCCACTTTAAGTAAGACATTTGTGAATGAGAGTTTCATTTGTCAATCCTCAGCCCAGCAGTCCTCCTCCGTACCCATTCAACAAGTATAATCATGCAACCTCTTATGATTTCCTACAGAAGTTTGCAGAAAAGTGTCCCGCTATCTAAAGCAGAAAAAGCAAAGAGCGCTCAGATGGAGGGACAACATAAAAGCAATAAATATACCTGGAGTCTTTTTTGGACATCAGGAGAGGTTGATTCTGTAAAAAATAAATGGATTTTATATTGAACTCATCTGTTCTTCACAAAAGGGCCAGTTATATAGAAAGCTTAAACACAAAGTAAAACAAAAAGAAGAAGGATTCTTGATGGGTCAGAACAAACAAACAAAGGAAGCTGCGGTGCTAATAAAAATGTGTGTAATATGTTAGAGTTGGAGTCATTAAATCACACTGTATCAAAAGGGGATTTCCAGATATCTGAAAACCTATGCAGGAAGTTCAGTTTGGTAATCATCTTTCATTTACCACTTGATCTTATCAAACCAGATAGAGAATGTTTCAGATATGCTGGGATGCTGCAAAAGGTGAGTATAAAGGCAATCAACCCCTACACCTGACTGACAAGTGGACAAACACAACATACCAAACTTTGAAAACTGTTTTTTTTTCATGCTTAATGCTTCCTTATGGTGCCAGCCATCGGGATAAAAAGCAGAGTCACTAGAGGGTTACGTCATACGTGCTTTTGACATCACCTTAAAATAATCAAGATCTTTCCTTGTAGAGATGTCATCTGGATGACAGCACACATTACTGTAAAACTCATGAGCGTCACTCAGGATGCATATCTGACCCATCACAGGTGGCAAACCAGCCTGTCCCTCTCTACTTTAGTCAGGTGAATGCAGCATCCTGGATTTCCAAGAGGAACCATTGGTTTCTTTTTCTCCGCAGGCAGTAATGTTTTCCACTACCGGCGTGTCCTTTATGAAATGGCAAATGTGTGACAACACAAACGAGGCATCAGTGAGTGGAGAACCTATTTACTCCACTGATCTACACTCTGTCACCGTTTAAAGCGGTGTGTGTTTTAGTGCTTCCTGTGGTCTGTCATAGCTCAGTGAACCAATTCTCCCCAAGGAAAACACAAAGCTTTAAATCAGGCCTGACATGCAAATTGCACTTGTAGAAAATGCATCCTTTGAGTAGGCGAGTGGTGGTGTGACTGCAGATTACCTGTAAAACATTTTGAAACCTTCAAGGTACATAAATCCCAATCACAATTTATCTCTTACTGATGAATATTTGCTTGATTACACTGAACTTAAGAAAAACAGAAATAATAAATCTAAATAGATAAGTGTAACTTCACTCTTTTTTTCTTTTTTTTTAAAACTAACAGTCCAGGATAAGTAACGGTATAATATCCTGCCTCCTGGGGAGAAGTGAGCTAATCTGGCAAACGTGTGCAAGGTAAACCATTTCGGTTGGGAAAAAAATCAATAAAGGCAGCAAAAGTATCAAGTGTATCTCAGGTGAACGTGTACTCACCCAGATGTTTGCAAACACAGGTGTAGTACAGGAGGTTGACGGCGTCTGTGTAGACGTCGGGCAGGTGCTTGAGGGACATCAGCCTGCGGAGCCTGGAGGAGCAGGCCCGCTTGTGCAGCTGGATTAGGATCTTCTCTTCGGAGAGCGTGGTGGGCCGCAGCTCCACCCGGTGCTCCTGCAGCACCTTGTCGATGAAGCCGCCCTGGACCATGGGGAAGAGCAGCTCCTTCACCACCAGCATGGGCAGAAACACGGCCCCCGTGCGCATGACGTGGGGGAAGGGGCAGCGCTCCTGGGAGGTGTACTCCCCCAGCCTCTCCAGGACGTTCCGCAGCTCCGATTTGATCTCCTCGTTGACCCACACTTCTCTGGCCTTCAGCCCCAACAGGCAGGACACTTTCTGGCCTTTGTTGGACGGAGACGCCGGCTCGGTCATTTCCAGTCGAGACAACCAGCTTTTGAGGTCTTGCTCCGAGGAGGCCGACACGGATTTGGACACCAGCTTACACAGCGAATGATGGAGCTCCAGAAAGTGCTTGCGGACTGGCATTTGGAGCTTCTGGTTGGCGGTGAGGACGGTCACTGGCTGTGGGGATGGCTCCGGGGCCGGAGCGGTTTTACAGCGTTTTCCATCGGGGATGATCATCTTGTAGGTGGAAAGTCTAAGACAGTGAGGAGGAATGTTTTTGAAATGTACTTTGCTCTCGGGCAGCTGAAGCGGAGAGCTGGACTTGGGTTGAGGGGTGACCACCTGAGATGATGACTGTACCAGTGCAGTCAACTCTGCAGGTTTACACTCATTTAAAGTGTCATTCTCGCCTGTGCACGAGGGATTTCTTACGATTTCAACAGATTTGCATTTCTCTTTCAAAACGGACCCACAGTCAGAGTAACCACTTTCTTCAGGCTCCTCTTTGACCGTCACTGGACAGCAGCCACTTTGGCTCTCTGCAGAGCTGTCTATGTCTGATGGATCTACTTTTTCTACTTTAATGGTTTTGAGTTCAAAGACCTCATCATCGTCGTCGTCATCATCTTTCTGCACAGGGTAATCTGGGGACATTTCTTCCAAGGCTTGGCAGGCGACAGGCTGCCGGTCATTTGGATCTGGCCTCTTTTGGTCAACACTTTGCTGCGCGGGCATCTGGGGGGCTCTCTGAGGCATCCTGTCTGGATAGAGCACCGCTGAGGCCTGCAGGTGTGACTGGTACGGTGCCAAGCTAAAGACATTGTCGATAACTGGCATAGGAGGGGAGTCCGTTTTATTCCCTTCTTTAACGTTCTCTTTTTCCACCTTTTGTTGTTTGTTGCTGATTTCCACCTCGTATAAATCCTTATCCTCTTCTTCTGTTTTAATAGGTGGAGATGAGTGAGAAATGCCTCTCTTCAGGCCCCTTTTATGAGGGGCAGTTCCTGCATTGGATAAAAACCCATTGTGCTTACTTCCTGTTGGGACGGCGGGGGAATAGATGATTTTTCGAGCATTCGGCCCAGCTGCGTGGATCCGATCTGAACTGTGACAGGGAGAGCGGGGCAGCCACGATGCCGGGGAAACAGGAAGGCTGGCGGGCTGTTTCACTTGGACCTCGCAGGGGGAATAGTCCGAGAGGACGGAGGCGTCGATGTGCAGGCCGGACAGCGGGTGAAAGAACCTGCCCACCTGTATGCTGGACGGAGAGACCGGAGGTGGGTTCACTCCTCTGCCAGGGCTGCTCCGATCCACATGTAGGAACGCTGGAGAACTGTGTTGCGGGTTGACGTGCAAGCTGTTGCTGGGTTTGTCCACGGATAGAGGGTGATTCATGTGTTGGCTGGTTGGGGAAACGTTCATGTGAGTCGGGTGAAGCTTCGGAGACGAATGCTGCCTCGTTAGGGGAGATCTGATCTGGCTCGCGCTTACGTGAAATCTCGGTACTGCGTAGTATGGGTAGTCAAAACCCCGAATATAGGGATGGTTTTGCAACATTTCAGGGCAAGACAAAGGAATCTCGGCATGAAGCGGCGGCGGGAGTATGTAATGCTCTCGGGGGACTGAGACGGCGTGTTTATGTAGAAGAGGGACATCTTCCCCCTGCTTGCTGCCACTATCTTTACACCGTGTCATGCTTTCTACTTCCTCATTTGTCTGGGAGTAGTAAAACACGGGGTGCCGCGGTAGCTGGCCATATTTGGGCATTGCAGAGCGTTTCTGATAGTCCTCTGAGGTCATATGCTCGTACGTGGGACGGGAGGAATAAAAGCTGGGACAGCCTCCGGCAGAAGTCTGCACGGGCTGGCCGTGTTCGTTCAAAGAGGCGTAGAGCGCGCGCGGGGGGGGGCAGGGGTAGCCGTGGTAGGCCGGCTCCATCACGGGCGGCAGGGTCCTGGCGCTGCCCGGGCCGTACGCCTCGGCGGTCATCCTCCTCAGCTGCTCCGAGCTGCTCTCGAACTGCAAGTCCCTGTGCTGCAGCGGGGCTTCTTTCCTCTGGAGAGGCACCTTCTCCGCGTAGTGCGCCGCCGCCTGCATCCACTCATGCTCATATAAGGCGTTTGGCATCCTCGGAGAGACGTGCTCCAAATTGTACCGCTGCCCTATGACACAGCCCAGCTCATTACAGCAGGGGCTGTGTCCGTAAACGGGCTTAGGAATCGCTATAAAAACAGAGTTTTGAGAGGACAGGGATAGATTCTCCCCTCCAGATTTTTGGGGTCTGGCAGCTTCTGATGGATCGGCTGTGGGGCTGCGGGCCTGAGGGCTCTTGGGGTACAGCACAAATCTCTGTTTAGCCGGGTTGGGACGCTTAGAAGAGGAGCGAGGACGGCTCTCCTCAGATGAAGGCCGGTCCTGCTTGTACATCACGTGGTTTGGACCCTCCATGCCAGCGAAGTGACTCACGGGGTGTCTGCCATCTAACTGGGAGGTCTTTGAGGTGGTCCTGGGAGGAGTGAACCCCGCGCCGTCTTTCCCCCGGGGGTCGTACGTAAAATAGGCCCCATTGTACTGCAGCGTCTGCTTACCCAGGAAACCAGACAAAGTCGGTGGTTTCACCAGTCTCGTGGAGGGCACCGTGCCATCAAATAAGGGCATCTTGCTTCGAAACACTGGATCTGTGAGGGTCTTCATCGGATTGCAGTTCATCCTGTGGAAGCTTTATGTCGGTGCACTATTATAGCTCCAAACCTAAGAATAAAAAGACATAAATGGAAAAAATGAAAAAAGTTAGACTTCTGTTTTTACTGGAACTACTAAAAGAATTGATAAAAAGCATTCCATAAAAATGGCAACGTGCCACGCATCTGCAGTGAACATGTGAAAATCAGGATTTTCTCGTAATGTAAGTTTTCACCGATAGATGGGAAGTGAGTCACCAGACTGATTTTGAAGTCAGCAGAAGAAGTAACGTTAGTAGCAAACATACAGACTCCCCAATGACAGATCTGACAGGCCCAGACAACTGGAAAATTCTCTGGTAAGTGATGATTACCATTGAAAGCAACCCTCCCAGAAAGAGGCCATGTTTGGCAGCAAAGTTGCAAGAAAAACAGCCAAATTAAGCGTCAATACTGGCGTTTCCTCTCATCACTAGAGGCAGCCCGTAGGGCGTTGAAACTACGCCCGTAGGAGTGTGAACTAAGAAGCCCGTGCTATGATATGACACATGCAGATCAAGGCGTCTTCAGGTTCTGCTTTCCAGCATTTGGCTTCTGTGTGAAGCTCGCTCCATCGCAGTGAGCCATCTTTGAAGAACTAATTCACAAAGACCACTGCCCACATCTCTTATGAGCTATCACTTTATTTATTCATTTATTTATTTAATTTTTTTAAAATCAGGCAGGACAACAGGATCCATAGCAGGAAGATAAATACTTTCTTCCCACGTAACAGAGCCATCATTAGATAAGAGCCAGCTTGAGGCATTTTCGCAACCTTGATGAATCTTGTGGCTTATCACACAGGTCACACACCCCCCCTATCAGCTGATGCACATGCATAGTGTAGGGCAATATTTAACAAGTGTCAGAGAAGTTAAAGTAGAGTCCAAACAATGTGTGAGGATAATTTAGGTACATCAGAGAATGAAAAACACAAAAAAAACAAGAAAGAATAAGTGTTTTCCTACACAGAGTATTGTCCTTCTGACTCTGTAGTTGACTTCATATCCAACAGGCAACTGATGGCAATCTTCACTTGTAGATAAGATACACTGCAAATATGGGAAATAAATGACTAAGCGACTACAAAAAGCTTGAGTCATACATGACCTGATCTTCTCAGCCTTATTTTAGAATCCCTTATCATCACCAAATCAAAATGTTCAGCCAAACCAGAACTTATCCGCCCATCTGTCCACACAGCGATGTGAACTTCATGTTTCTATTCTGCACGTTTATAGCAGAAACCTTCACAAACCGTCTTACCACAGCTTCTTTTTTTCATGCACTTTCAGTGCTGCAGCTTCGTTTTGTTTTGAACTAAACTGCTGAGTGCTCCTCCAGAGAACTTAGTGAGAGGAACTACTCATCTTTTGTTTTTGGTTCAAAACCTCAAACTATCCAGTGAACTAACATAGGGCAGTTTGAAACAGCGAGTGTTTGATAAAGTAACTGAAATCATAAAGTCATACTTGGAATTGTTACTTCTTTTTTTTTTTTCTTGGTTGCCACGTCCGCAACATAAAAATAGAATATCATTTACAGCCAAAATGTTCCCATCATTCAGTTGTGCAAGTCCTCAGCTGGGACAAATTTAGCTAAATTTCAGAGAGAGAAAGTATGTTTTATTTATTAATTGCTTAAGGTCACAGTTAATTCCGTTTTAAAGTTGCCAGCTGGTGAAAAGCAGACACAAGATTTTGAAAAAAAAGTTTAATATCATGTCTGCTTTACAATCAAGCTCAACACACCTATGCTCTGTCCAAGGAGGTGTGTGTAAAACACAAACGTCATCAAGTAAACCAGCAAAAATAGACTGAATTATAGTTCAGTTCTGCTAGGTAAGTATAAAAAGTGGACAGTTGGCAGATGTTTGACGACCTAACTGATTATCATATTATATCCCACCTATTTCCTAATGGAAATATATTTTAATAAAATAAACAAACATCAAATAAAGACCAAACCAGTATGAGAAAATCTTTTTTTCTGAGATCAAATCTTTTTTTCTTTTAGAAAAGTGGATAAATGTCTTACTGGGAAAATACAAGCTTTCTTGAATGACCCATTTGGTCTTAACTTGAGTTCAGTTCTTGAATGTGGAATTTTAAACAGAGCAGAGAACAGAAAGTATACTAAAAACCTGATTTGATTCAACTTTTTACCTACAAGTACCTGCTTGAACTGAGGAGACCACTTGCATGGAACACTGAAGAAGAAAAACAAATCTGAAATTCTTGTTGCTCTCCAGCTTTCTGACAGCCGTTTGACAGCCGCTGCAAAACCTCAACTGTCAGAGGAACCTCTGAGAGCTGCAGATGTCCTTTTGAAGCAGATTCATCCAATCCACAGAGATTAAGCGTGTGTCAAACGGCATAAACCTTAAAAATAGCTCAACCCTGCAGGGCCTAATGACTTTTTGGGGCTAAATAAAGATCCAACTGTCACGTCTGGCCCACACTGGCCTCCTCCAGGTTTCTGCTCAGCTCCCAGTTCTGCATCTGTTGGAGATGTTATCAGCTCATCCTGTTGACACCTTTGAGAGGAGTATCAACAATCTGATGACTAATCGGACCTGCGGGGACAGACGCGCTTTTTTTGCGCATGGAGGAAACTGCGCGGGACTTTTTTTTTTATTTTGAACTGAAAGAGGCGCTCTGTTTAACGTGCACGGTGGCGTGTGTGTTCGTGCGTGCCAACACACACCAGAGTGTTTTTTATCCGGCCACTCCGATCGGTAGGGCAAGGGTGATGGGGCGAGACTTATGAAACTAAAACCGTCCAAACAGACAGGACACTAACCAAGCGAGGAGAGGGTTAGGCAAAAAGCTCCACGCTCTCCCACACTGTCTGGCAATCATTAATCAGTTTTGCTATAAACCAATTTGTCAGCTCAAGATATGTCGGGACAGGCCAGGAAGTTCACATGACGGGGCCAAAAAGAGAGAGGGGGGGAAAGAAAAGACATTATTTCCGCCAGCGCGTCTTAGAGCAGCTTTTTTTGTTTAAAAAAAGAAAAAAAAAGTGGCCTGCGTCCGAACATAAAACGGAACCTCAGCTCTTTAAAAGTTCCCTCTCAGTCTTCCTGTGACAACTTGCCGATTTGCATGTCATGACAAATGTTTATATGTGGGCTCGTTGTCCCGCCGGCATCAACAGCCGGCTTGAATTAATAGGAGAAGGCAAATTTTGATGGAAATGATCCGCGCGTAAGAGCAGGACTCTGGATTCATAACGCGGGCCATTTCCATACGGGCTGCGAACGCGCTCCAAACCACGCCAAAAACTCAAACCACACTGTGGCTACAAAACGCACCGTTCCAGCACACCCGTGGAAAGTGTGCAGCCGCTTTGATTGGATGGAATAGTTCCGCGCTGCGCCGGTCCAAAGGGACACGTCCCGTGTTTGCCAAAATTGCCCCTTATTTCGCAATCCCCCCTTCATAACCTGTCCGGTCCCCAGAAATAACGAGTGGTAAATAAATCCGCTCACCTCGCCGCTGTCATTGATGACATACAGTCCATGAACCGAAGCTTAGAAAGAGAATAAGGGGGAGATCCGGGAGTCGTTCAGACGCGATGCGTCAAAGTCCCACCGGCGCAAAACCGAGACACGCCAAAAGCTTTACGCAGCTGGCCCGCAATCCACGAGGCTTTGAGTGAAGTTAACAAAGTGGAGAAAAGACAAAAGGGAGGAGGATGGTCTTTGATCAATAGGCGGAGTCATACCCTCAGTCTAACCACGGCTTGTTTTCTCCACATGTGATGTTTTCCCGCTGGTGACTTCCTCGCTTTTATTGGCTGTATCCTCAATGCCTCTCTGCCAACTGCCACCAACGTGAAGCAGAAGGCATGTTTATTAACGTATTTATTTAATATTAGTTGTGTTATCATTCTTTTTGTTTACTCGCCGGCTGTGCTGGTGTGCTGTTGAGCTGGTTTTTGCTCTCCCTGCTTAACCCTCAGGGGAGTGGAATTAGACGGAATCAGAAATGGACATAATGTGACACTCATTTTAGCAACCGACTTAAGTGTAGGCTCTGTGTCTGTTATTTCCCATGGTCTACTTACTGAAAACTTTGAGGTTATTTCTAAAAGTTTTTTGCATATGGTTTGTTTTCCTTCCTCATATCAGTTGGATAAACAACAGGGCATTCCAGTAGGGATGCATTTTCTCACAGAAATTGGACATTTTTAGAGGCTTTAGTGGAGGTTTGGGATTCCAAGAGAAAAGGGATAAGGGCATCATATGGGTCAACATTAGCGGTTTGCAGCACTGTGAAGGAAAAGCTCTGTTCGCTGTTTGTTGACCTCATCCTGTTGTAGTTAATGGTTGACTTTTGCTGTCCACTGTTTCACTTGGAACTGATAATGCCCCACATTTGACTTCAGTGCGAGTTTGTCCGTGCCTTGATGGATGATAAGGTCAGTCCGACAGCACAGGGAAATCACCAATTGTTTAGCTTTCGCAGCCAGTTTGGGCCGTGACAAACCCGATCACATTTGGGGATGTTTAAATTCTTGTGTTCTTGTGTTCAAACCAACCTCTGAATGAGTCAATTTATTGTTGCGCTTGCATCATGCCTGTCCCTCCCCACCTGTGAGCCGGAGTCTAATTTCTGTGTCCCACTGGGGCTGCCACAGTTTGGTCTAGACAAGTTGGTGGCTTCCATCAGTCCCAGTGGCCCCGCAGGTACAGGGATGCTTGTCAGTGGGGGGTTTGACGGAAGAGACAGGGGTTATTTTCCCCGAAGGAGCTCCCTCATATCTCCCCAGTCTCCAGTTACCATAGTATTCATGCTTGAGGCAACACAGCACAGGAAATCAAGGGACAAATAATGGAAAATACAAGGCAAAACCAATGTATTAAACACATCGTTTTCAGCACAGCTGTCCGGCGTGTGGTGTATATTTAAGCTGTCTGAGAATGATCAGAAATCACATGACAGACATAGAGTTTGGAAAGTCTGTTAATTATTACACACAGTGAAGAGAATCTGACTTAATTTAAAGTCATACACTACCTTCTGGTACTTCATACTTGCATATATATTTACTGAACCAGCAGAGTGCAGTTCTTTGTTGTAATTTAGTCTTTTTTCTTTTCTTTTTACAATGCTTCATCATTTGGGTCATTTTTAATCTTGAGCATAGGGGTTGGGTTCACTGTCACATCACTTTTGCGCTTCATTAAGATAATTCAGAATGAAATATTTCCAAAGCCACAGGATCAACATCTTTTTTTTATATATAGTGCAAGCCACATAATTTTGAAACTGGAATTTTTAAAAGCAACTTACATGACATTAATAAAATATGTTATTTTATAACTCTGTCTCAGTAATATCTAATATGAATACAAGATAATAAATGTCCATATGCCCCAAACAGGAAAAGAATTAAATAATACATGAATGACTGCTGACTCCCAGGTGAGTACAGGTGATGTTTACCACTTTTAAGCATCTCAGAGGCAGTAATGTGAATTGAGGTGACACAAAGAGCAGAGCAGGTTTCCTCTCAGGATTCTGTCTCTAATGAAACCCTCTTTTACGCTCCCAGAGGTCAGAAAGTGCACGCTGAGCCTGGAGACTGATAGAGTTGCATCAGACACACAGACTGCACGTGTTCCTGCATTCTCTCTTCAACACTCTTTGACACACCACCTACCTAGATTGCTATCATAACACATGCAAGTGATATTTTTGGCATTACGTTTCTTGTTGAATGATGCAGCTTCAGCCCGAAGAGGCAACATCCTGTAAGACTGAGCTGCAGTGTCCTTTTGGAATTTGAATTAGATTGTCCTCTGTTATATGAACGTGTGCTAAAAAAACAGAACAGACGGAAATGTCAGGAATTCCTTCAAAACAAACTTGCATCTTCCCTTTTTTCTAAGAAAAAAAGCTCCTTACCTTCAAGCCTGATTTAAATGCCATTATATTATAAATGGTAAATTATGGTAGTGACTACTCTAGGAAGTAAGAATGCAGTGGTGTGAGATTTAATAGGGTTTAATCTCCTCCTATTAAAAAAAACAAAACATAAAAAGTTAAAGCAAGGTATTCAGGTTAGATAGATTATAGAAAAACTAAGGTAGTAACTGTTTTGTTGGAGGGCTGCCGGGTCGTCCTCATGTAGGCTTCATTCTTTGTCAAGTCATTCTCTGATAAGAAGGCAGTGCAGTTGTGGGTAAAATAAAGCATGCTTTGTCTTTGAAGGCTCACCTTGCATATTTCTCACATCCCCCCTGAATACTGGGTCTAAATTCTACAAGTTTTATCTCATAGTAATAGGAACACTGTGTTCATTCTGTGAGGTGCACCTGCTGGCTGCTCTGTCAAGGCCACACTCACACCTCTACCGTCAGAATATGCTTGATGGCACGTTCTTCTGGCCTCATTTACAGAATCGCGTTGCAGCCAATAGCAGCAGAAGAGGTAATGGCTCAGGGTAGGATGCTTTCTATTTAGAGAGCCATTCAGAGTGCTCCACGTGCACTGACCTTGACAGCTCAATGGTAACAATGCCCCCCGGTTATTTGCCAAGCAAATTTTCTTCATTGTCGCTGAATTTGGTGAGAACAGAGATAAGCCGCGATAAAACAGTCTTGATGCCAAAGAAAAAACAAAACAAAAGCAGCACAAGTGTTCATTGAAAAGCCTCTAAGGGTAAAAAAAAAATAATAAAAAAAATAGCAATATTACAAGAATACTTTGTGGATTTAAAAAAGATGTTTCATGTAAACGTGGTTTGCATTGGCTTGAGCTATTAGGACATTTTACCGATAATGAGCCTGTGTCTGAATAACCTACACAGAGAGGCAACCAATGCCTAAACCATCTAGGTTAACTTCTTTTGATACAGACAAAACTGTCAGTGGGAAAGACCAAGATCCCACACCTCACAGATTGATGATGGAAAAGTATATTCAGTTTCATGATTTTTATGTTTATACATCAAATCACTTTTTGTTCAGTGTGAATATACAGTATGAACAAAGACAAATATTCAGTAATTGGTTTTCAAAGTTTCTGTTAAAGTTGAACCTTTAATGAGGGATGTGCATGCTGCGCTTCATGGTAATGATTGCAGAAGACAGTATATGAAGCTTGTTGTCATAGACAAAAAGCTATCCTTTACAAAAAGGATTCATTATGCTCTCGTTAGAGCATCCTATAATGAAATGCCTACCATTTCTCGTCTATGGACTCGATTAGAACCTCTGTGACTGTTACCTGACTTTGTTCTATTGTACATATAGGCATTTTATTTAGGATTTTTCCAATGTGAGTTAGTCTTACCTATTTTTATTTCTGTACCATTCCTTATCGCAACAGGAAACTCGTTCAGCAGCAAATGTGTGACCTTTTTTTATTGCTGCGGGGTTGGAACACAGATAGAGCAGTTAATAGAAAGATACTCCAGACCAGAACAATTTCCTCCTTACTGCTGACGAAGGCCCAATCCATCTGTCCATCTCTCACTGCATTCTTCCCTCACTCTGGTACAAGATCCTGAGATCCCTTAATTCCACCTCTTTGAGGCAAAGACAAAACACTGGCCAGAAAGGAGGACTGGCTCTGGAACAAAGGAGTCAGATATGGAGGAGTTAATACTCCCACTGACCACATTGCTCTCTGCTTTGAAGAGTCTGGTGCTCACTGGGGGTCATATCTTGAACAACTCAGCAGAACCACATCATCTACAAAGAGCAGCAATAAAACCTTGAAGTCTCCAAGTCACATGCGCCCATATTCCTAACAACACTTTGTGACCGTTGACCCCTAAGCAGCTCCATAAGAGTGGATATATGACATTTAAACCGCTCCTGACTCTATGACATGACTGAGTATTGTGATTCCCAAATGATCAGAACACACTCTCTGGTCTACCCTTCTGAAAAATATGTCCACCTGCTTTGTGAATCAGAAATAAATCTTCACTAGTTGCTAACTATTACCAGCAGTGCTGAACAATCGCTGTTTCAGACCCGAGCTGGAGCAGTTGTGGTAGGGCTAGAGAAATAGCTTCTCTCTGTTTCTGGATTGAACAACACAAAGAATGGCAGGAAGTGTATGTTGACACTTTACATGATAGAAACCTTTAACTAATGACAACTAATAAAACAGTATGTTCTTAGTGAACATATTAAAATGCATGAACTGACCATATCCTGAGGAAGTCTTGATGCCTGAACCCCTTTAGGAGCTCGTAGTGTGTGGAATTTAAATGGAAGGAAGACTGTTCCCAGGAGAAAATTGTTTATGAAAACACATTTGTAAAAATCAGAGCCTCATGCTGAGGATTATTAAATATGGCAAGACCTATATTGTCAAATACCTTTTGGAGGAGAAAATGTTTATGAGAAAGCTAGATCCATATGGGAATGGATAAACAAAACTAAATATGGACCTAAATATAAGACCTACTAGCTGAATAAAGATGCAGACTGTTTTAAGAGAGCATTCATTTGTGAGAATAACACATTCCTAAGTTAAAGTAGATGGAGATAGATGGGCCCCTGTAGGAGGTCACGGTGCCTATAGAATGGGGGTAAAATATTTTGAGAAACATAATCAAAACCAGATGTGCCAAAATGTTTTGACCCCCCGAAACCCTTTAAAAGAGGAAGTGTTCAAAGTTAAGCAGAGATTCTACTAAATTTGGCTTCAAGAGCTCTTCCTATCTGATGCATGGATCTGTATTTGTGACGTGGGCCTGGTTGAAAATCAAATCGTCACTGATTGTAACTTCTGTCATTATGTTCATCTTTTTAGTTTGTCAACTTATATCGGAGTGTAAGTGTAAAAATGGCACGTTCAGGTTTTTTTTTCTATCGTCAGCCTGTGTATTGTGTAAACTTTCATCTCTTAAAAACATGTCCTGCTATGACCGGCACAATTAGGTTTCCCACTGTGCCCACATTCACTTTGGGCATCGATCCCACATGTATAGCTAACAAGCATTTAAAAACATTTGAAGGAAGCTTTAAGTGGTGACACTTTCATCTAAAACCTCCTTCATGAATAGTAGCAGTTTTATAGATAAATTGTATGATAACATATTTGTAACAAAAATGTTGCGTCTCGAGTAACAGCCAAGAAAAAAATGATAAAGAATAGCCATTTAGGATGACCAAGAATTGTGTGAACACAAAGGAGACTTTCTGATAACACACAATTCTAGAAGAGATACGTTTGTCAGAATTTTGAACTTCATGGAGGATAAAGATATACTGAAACAAATCTGACTTTGCTACATCTCAGTGATTAGATGAATGTGTTATGTGGTCAAGTAATCTCTTGTAATTAAGTAGCTGCTCAACAATAACTTTACATGCTTACACTTGACTGTAAATGGCAAACCTTCCAAATAAGAAAGTGCAACTGTCTCCCACATTTATCTATACTCAAGGTCATAAGATTTATGAAAACACACACACAAAACTAGATTAAACCAGGTTAGAATAGGAAAGATTTACTTACACATTGAGCAGTGTTGGTGTTTACCTGATTGATGGCTTCCATGTGGGAGTGACTTCCACAGAGACGGTTATACTCTTTTGGATGTCCATACAAACGATCTGTTTTCACATTAACATTTTCTTTCTCAACACTCTACTTTACCACCAAGTCTTGTCTAGTCTTCATCTTTTGGGGGTGATAAACGAGGGCTAAAGGGCCTTAATGCAACTGTGTTACATGGTGATGCACTAAATAGGCCACAGATGTGTGTTGGGTAGTTCAGGAGCCGTACTTTCTGTGGGAGAACATATTTCCCAGTGGTGGAGTACAGCAGAAATCACATACAGCAGTTTCCCTCTGAATAAACAATCTCTGTCTGGTTTCATTTGTGATTATCTTCTCTGTCGTCTCTGGACCAACTCCAGAGTGGTTCATCTCACTTTATTGGGATATGGAAGGTTTTCACTGAGATAAACATGTCAAGCATTACTGTGATTCCTGTTTTTCTTCGCTATTGACCTTTGGTTCTTAGATGGTTTTATTTAAAGGATTTGGCAATAAACCTCTGAAAAAGATTTGAAATAATCAGAAGTTTGGACAAATATGATAGGGAAGTGTGCTCACAAAGTCTTTGAAACTGAGAGAAACTAATACTTGCTGTGTCTGAGACTTCCTTACCTCAGAGGATGCCTTCATCTGAAGTTTCAGTTGTAAAACCATCTGTCAAACTGCCTTGTGGTCAAAAAAGGAAAAGAAAAAAAACTACCATAAGACCACAAAAGGTTGCTTTTTACAGTGTATGTAAAAAAGAGCCACTCAATACAACAGAGAATCCAACAAAAAAAGAATATAAGCACATTACCAGTTGATACAATATTAATCAACGTCTCTTTGAATCACAAAATACAGACTGCACTTCACCAGCTTTTAGAACATAAACTCCCCAAATTCCAACAACATGCAGATTGCAAGAGCAAATAATCTGGCTGTGAAATGCAAAAGGCACATGTGCACCTGCAGTTTGCAGATATGTATATTCCTGTCGTTGCCACGTCTTCGCATTACTGGCAATAACAGTCTGACTTCTCGAAAAATGAATGAATTGGCATTGTAAATGCCTAATTGAACACTATATGAATAAATGCATTAAGCAAATGATTTAACCCATGTAGTGCAATATTTATTGACTGAAGAACATCAACTGAAAGCCAACAACCTCCCTTAATATGTAGAATGTGTTTTAAGGCTGTAAATGAGTTTCAGCATGCTGAAGGTGCGCCCGCCCTATCTATGGATATATTATGCTAGATGGAAACACTGTAACCAGTGCTGCTGGGTCTCTTAAAATGTTATTTTCAGCATAGTCTTGTAGGTATCACAAAACAAGTATGGATAGATATTATCATTATCTGATAAGATATAGTCACAGTTCAGAACTGTTAATGATTTGTCGTCAGTTGTGAGAACGCAGCGTTCATTCAAATTAGGTACACCTACTGGACACAAATGCCACAGTTCTGTTGAAGCCACGCTACACGTTCTTCTACCTCATTAACAGAGGTACGTGGCAGCCAATAGCAGCAGGACAGGTTAGGGCTCGGGGAAGGATGCTTTTCATTTCAGGAGCCAGTCACAGAGCTCCATGTGCTGCAACCTCTACAGCTCAACAGTAACAATGCCCTCTGTTTATTTGCTAAGCAAATTTTCTTCAGCTCCACTGGATTTTGTGACACCACAGATAAACCAAGATAACACATAACTATCAGCAGGTTCAAACAAAAGCAGCAATGTGTCCCAGCAACGATACATAAAATAGAGACGATTTTCGAGGTGTTTTCAAGTGTACCTACATTAAATAGTAGGCATTTTAGATTGCATTAGACCATTATGCTGTTCTCTGATTATATTCTTGTACCATGTAATGCACAGCAGACAGTCTTATATAATATTAGTTGTACGTTTTCAACAGATACTTCTAATACTGCACTCGAAAATACATTATGATTAAAACCCATGATGAGCAGTTCTTAGCTTATTTTAAGAAGGACTGCTGTTAGCATCTGCTCCTCCTCACTGATGTAAGAAAATCGTCTGGCTTGATTTGACATTCTCTGTCCCGTCTTCTCTGGACACTCTCCAGACATATCACTCTGATAGCAGAGGGAAGATCTTCACAGCAATAAACATGTCATCTCTGGGTTACTTCACTGTTGACCTTTGACACTCAGAGTGCTGCTTAAAAGCGTTTCATAAATCATTTTTTTGAAAGCTGAAGTCATTTGAAAGCACAGGTATAGATGTTTCCCAAACACACCCTCTGATGCCTGGCCCAACAAGGCAATACTGAATGTCTGCTACTTCTCATCCTTTCACTTCCTGAGACACCCACACTGGTGGTTTTATGAATCCTGCTGTGAAAGCCAGTCTTGCAAGAGAGCTTTCAGCTGCTTTAAATCATTAATTCAGTTCCAACATTCAAACAACAAAAAGAAAAAGTATTTAGCAGGACATAGTCGACAGTCTCTTTTTTTCTGCATTGTCAAAATGCTACATCGTGAAGCTGACTGAAACACACAATCACATGGAATAAAAAGGGATAAAGCTCTGGCAGTAGAATAGATGAGAATAATTGATTAAATAGATCACTAAATTAAAGTTTTTTCATTTAACAAAAATGACCAGGACGCACAAAACAATAGTGGTTATAAATCTGGCTTTAATTAAACACAACTAACAACCATAACAAAATTTTTGGAGTCAAGTGACAGTTAGGGGTTCCAGGCCGAACAAGAATAACCGTCTAAACTGGAGATGTCAGTTTCCAGTTCAGGCAACTGTGACACAAAGCCTCCGTGTTTCGTTTTTTATTAGTTCAAGCTGGATCATGTGGAGTGATGTAATGTCATGTTTTCTGGGATGACTCATCTGTTTTCTGAATATATTGCTTGACGACACTGATAATAGTTGATACCTCTGCCATGGCACCTTTACCTATAGCAAAAGAAAGATGTTTTGTATAAAAAATTATTAATCAGATGACGGCAGCATTAAATAAGACAAATTTAAGTGTTTCACAAACCATGTGTTCCTTTTGCATATTTATAAACACACACACAAAGGTGTACTCTTTCCTGTGCACTGTCATTTGCTTCTAAATCAGTATAGGGGGAAAAATACATTTGATCATAAACCACCAGTGAGTCAAAATACTACCAAGCTAATTTATAAATATAAATGAACAAAATTGAGGCCAGATATTTAACCATCGCATTCAAACCTATTAAAGTGTGTAAACTGTAAGCAAACAGATTTCTTTAGAATTGTCCATTCATCTATTGTCCTCCAGCCCAAAGTCAAATAGTCAGGGAAACGGGTCCAAAACCCACACTCTCTATGCAGTAACACTCTCAGGCTCTTCCTCTGGGGTCCTGGAGTGTCAGAAAATACCCTCAGAAATTTCTGAGCAGCACACTGGGTCACTCCAGCACAGGGGCTTATGGAGTGAGTTCACAGTATATGTCTCAAACAGGAAACCTTAAACAATGCGCCGAGAATTATGCGAAGATATAATGGTTAAAGAGAGCGCTAAGTAGGCTGATATGACCACCCACAACGTTTGGCATTTACCATTTCCTTTGATTTGCACTTGGTTGCTGCGTGGTGATGCTGTTCTGAAACTAATGCCAGTTAGTCCGGAAGTGCTTTTTTTTTTAAAACATGGAGTGTAAGTCTTAAAGAAGCCCCCCCCATGTTACTGTTTGTAGCGTGGTGGTTTATACCCCACTTTCTTTCTTATCTAGTCTTGTGTTTTCTTTGGCTACTTCTCACAAAACTGACTAATCTCATCGGTAAACGTATTGTGCACTGTCTACACTGTGAGATGACAGTTTTCATGTATTTCCTCCTCCAGAATTTTACCAAAAGTGCCGTTTGTAGCCAATACCAGTCAGAGAAGAGTTTTTTTCAGAAATTCTTCCAGGATGTTGAATTTCATGACAAGAAGAGAATAGCTCTAAGTATTGCATTTACTTCAAAGAATTACTGTCATTCTCCTTAAACACTATTTGGACTCTTGGTACTGTAGTGTCTGGAGCTTAAACAGAAGTACATTTTCCTCATGAAAATGAATAAATGTTCCTTCCTCAGTCAGATTCACATGTGAGGCTTAATGCATGTTTATACATCTTCGGATGTAGAAACAAGAATAGACGTGGACTTTTTTTTTACTGGCTTAAAACCTATAAAAGAGGCTGCATCCAAATTAGAGAGGGGTCTTTTGGCATTCGGCTTTGAGTATCTTTCAGATTTGATGCATCGATCTGTACTTCTGATATCGGCCTGGTTGAAAATAAAATACTCCTTTGTTGAAATAAGTCCAGAGTCTTAGCATAACCTAGCATCACAAACTGAGAAACTTCCGCTCTGTGATTTGATGTTCTCCCACCCTTCCGGTGTGGTCTCTTATAAAAAGGGTGAGTCTCTCATCAGATATTGTGCCTCAGGCCAACCTGGACGGGTTTGGGTGAGTTCCATGTCTCAACTGAGCATGCTAAAACTTGTTTTTAAGACCTGTTTCCTAAAAATGTATATTTCATGGGAAATGTCTGTATGTTTGTTTGAGCTCCAGAATCTACAGCTGGTGCTTCATGTCAAGAAAATACTCGTTGAGCAATTTGTTATTGCATCTCGGTCTAGAGAAAAGAGAAGCAGAGCTATATCTGAGGGGATCGCCATATTCCTGTGACCACAACTGCTGATATGATCACAAATCTGAAGGTCCGTCAAACCAAACTGGACTTACCAGGATGTGAGTCAAACAGAAAGAAGAAATATTCAAGAACATTTCACAACACATAAAAAACAAGCTGAGGAGCAGTATCAACATAACAGTGTCACATTAGCATCTTTCAGCATAATAAAGCCTTGAAGATGTTTCACCTATTCCTCCCAATCCTTTTTGTATCTTCTTGATCACACCATCTTTTTAGACTACTTAGTATCATTTGGTATTGTTCTATTTATTGGGTAAAAGCATTTTTGTCGCCACTAAACTGTTTTCTTGTCTTAAGCTATTTTAATATTGACATCTATGCACAGTTGAGTATTTTTTAAAATATTTTTTTTCATTAAATGTATTTCTTGTGAAAAAAAACTTTCTTTTGTAAATCTTAAAACTGGTGTTTTAACTTGTTACTGCATGAAGGTGATTTTGTGATGTTGTTAAGTGATGAATTTGGAACCCACCTTCATCTCCACACACTAGTTTCTTAGAAATGCAAGGGATTTCCACATATCCAAACTCTTTCAGCCTCGATACCTGCTGGGATGTAATGGGATGGTGCCACATAGCTGTATTCATAGCCGGGCAGAAGAGGAGAGGTCGACTGGTATCCCAGGCCCTCACAACACATGTCTAAAAAAGGACAAAGTCTAATCAAGCCAGAAGTGGTTTCAGGAAGAAAGATGCAATATTGTTTAGCATTAGATTTTGTAGACCATCGCACAATAATTCCTCACCAGAAGATTATCACAAATGCCACTAGCAATCTTTCCAAGGGTGTTGGCATCAAGGGGGGCAATGACAAGAAGGTCTGCCCACCGCCTTAATTCAATGTGTAGAACAGGGTCAGATCTCTGTGTCCAAAGCTAAATGAGAGACAGAATGTTTGGTTAGCAATCAATGACAGAAGTATTTCTCAATTTCCTCCGAGAATATTTCACAATCATTTTTGGCCTTGAATGAGATATCTGTATCTCAAAATGATTAGAAATGACAAGAAAATTGTACAGCAATTACTTGAGAACCAGAGTTTTAATTATCTTAATCTGATTCTACCTATGGCATTCTCTTATTAAATTAATTTCAAAACCCGCTTAGAAAGATATGTGGACCACATAAAACTACCACTGAGTGTAAATCAATTTATCAAGAATGATTCAGAATAAAAATGTAAGAGATGTAAGAAATCTTCAGCAACATATCAGAATCTGAGCTACACCAGGTTTGAGAAACTCTGAGAGAAGACATCACATAATAACAACTATATAAGAACATCATACTACCTCCCATTCATCCTTGTCACTGTAGATTTTTACTGAGACATCTGCAGGATCATAAAAGTGTTTGGCATGCTCTGTGGTAACCACTCTTACACCCACCTGTGACAAAAAAACAAAAGAAAAAATCAAGGACATAACAGCAATTTCCAATGTACTTTGGAGTTTTGCTTAAATGTATAAAATTCTTTTAAAAATGAATTTGCAAGCAATGTTTTGAGACCCCATAAATACATTTGTATTTTTATACTGATTAGTGGGTTTAAAAGTTGACTTATTTGACCTCATTAACCAGAATTTCTTGGCAAATATTGCTTGAATGTGTCATACTACGTAGCCAAGAATGATTTTTCCGTATCCTACCAGTTTTGGTTATAATTTTCCTAACAGTATGTTTTTAGTTTTCTTTGTTTAATAATTGCCTGGCTGTGTATGTTGTTAAATTATTGTGATGTATGTATTAATGTGAATATTTTTGTTTGACCACCGGTCAGATGAAACAGATCAGCTCCTACTGTAAACTAAAGTAACAAAAATCAAGATGTCTAGGGACATGGCTGTATCTTCCTGTTTTAGTCTTTACTTCATGTGTGATATTCATGATACTCTCACTTCTTCAATTTCGCTTCCTTCTGATAGCTGATCTAAGATTAGAAATAAAGGCTAAGCTGACCAAGCTTGCTCAACTCTACTGATAACATTTGGGACGGTCTGATCAGTCTAATTACACAACATTTGACACACGTCAATCTGATTCGCTTTCTTAGACTTAATGTTAAATATCATACACATTAAAGTTAAAATCAAACAAATGTGCTACCTCTGAATAAAGCAACTCTTAACATTGACTTTATTCGGTGGTCTTGACTCAGAACTTGCTGTATAATGTCCCCATCTTGTGGTAACAGCGAGCCCATGCACATTACAGTTAGTGGATCAAAGAGCTTGTGGGAGTTTGGCCTTATAATTTACTGTAGTCTCAGGCACGGGTAGCGAAAATGATATCCTTGATGAATCTATTGAATATTTGCAAATGCAGCTCACCCCAGGGAGCTGAAGAAGCTCAGAAACCACAAGAGGGAGCTTCAAAGCTGCGACGCTCCCTGTGACGCCAACAAGAACTCGAAATGTCTCTGAAGAACTCGACAAATCAGTTTGTAAACATGATGCGTTCTCGTCTGCCTGCATATTTAATGTATCACCTTTACCAGGATAACAAACTGCAGCGACGCCGCGCTTCTGCAGACTTCAGCCACTTCCGTAAATACCCAGCACAAGCCAATCAGAGAGGAGCACATAGCCGTTTGGAGCTCAAGGCTCTTGCACGAGCACGGCGCTACGCTGACAGGCCGCGAGCGCGCACGACCACAGAATATTCTCGGTAGTGTCGAAATTCTCCCAGATAAGCTAGCATGTAGCAGTGCCCTTCATTCACTGGCCGCTCCGTGTTTTATTTATATGAGACGTGCTCTAGAAACACCCGGCCATGCCGCTCACTCCTCTCGTTTACTGGGCTCAACGCCACGAAGAAATATTTCTGCGAGTGGAACTGACAGATGCTCAGGTGAGCATGAACTACCTCCTGTTATCAACAGCGTTCTCTCTGAGCTTCCACGGCTTTGTTTGATGCATTCGAGAGTAAAGATTGGCGTAAAGGTCGTACGGTTGGTTCTTATATAAGCAAGTGTACGGTTTGCATGTTGTGAGGTGAATAGAGGCTCGTTTAAGTGGTTATTTATAACCATCAAACCTCCGTCGCCATCTCTCTAGTAAACCCCCACTAAACCCGTTCAATGGCGCGTGCAGTGATTTTATATCTATACATGCATATATGTATTTTTTGTGAGGTTTTGAGAGAACGCGCGTTATGCTTTTCAAATGTTCTTTCTTTGCGAATTGAGGAGGCGTCAACTCCCCCCACAGGCGGGGTTCTTTTCTTAACACTGTGTCAAATGTGTTAGTTATGAAGATTAGTTGCCCTCATAAATGCTCCTAATAAATGTCTGTCTATGACACACATTGTTGTAATCATTTCTGAATTTATCCATTACAAGATTTCTTCTTAAACTCCTGTATTATTAAGGGACCGTACTGGCATTCAAAGTGGGGCAATCAAAGGGTTATATATTCTATAATTTATTCAAGCTTTTTGTATACTGACAAACCAAGCATGTTTGTCATGTAGTCGTTTAATGTTCAGCGGTTCTGTGGAAAGTACAGGAAGTAAGGCGACAGTAAAAGAAAGTACACTCATAATTTGCCTTTTCTTCTTCAGAATATTGATGTTCAAGTGCATGAGAATGTTCTTAAATTCAGAGGTGAGATGCATTCTTTGCCTTCCTTTTCCATTTTAAGAACAATTAATAATAGAGGAGCATGATCTCTGACATTTGTTATGGTTTCTTGGGAGCAGCCCAGGGCCATGGTGCAAAAGGACAAAATGAGTACGAGTTCAGCCTGGAGTTTCTGTTGCCAGTGAAGACAGAGGTATGAATTCATTTCAGACTCTGTCTCCTCCTTCATACTTTGCCAGTTAGGTCTGTCTGACTGAACCCATCTGTTTGAACCTCTGTGCTCATTCAGGTGAACCATAAATCCACACAGCGGCAGGTGAACGTCATAGTGAGGAAAGTGCAGCGTGGCTGGTGGGATAGACTGACTGTGCAGGAGCGTAAACCGGTCTTCCTGGCTCCAGATTTTGACAGGTGGTTGGATGAGTCAGATGCTGAGATGGAAATAAGGGAAAAGGTACTTGTTTCTTTCTTTTTCCCACACCTGAGACATTTCCTTGTACAACGCTCTACGATGATTGCTGTATAAAGATTGCTCACTCAGACAAAACGTAACAAAATGTTACTCTTGTGGAAATTGTTCAATGAAATTCCTTCTACTGTTAACACTTGTACAACCATTAAAAAAATCTTTAATCAGGAGGACAGAAGGAACAGGCTGAGGGCTGCAAGACAAAGAGACGATGGTAAGTGTAAATCTTAATAACTGTTAAGAGGTTTACAATTAAATTTAATTTAAAAAGATTTATTGCCTTTTTTCACAAGCCTTTTTATTACAAGCTGAGAGAGAGAGAGCATTCATTAATAGAGCTCAGATCACACAACCAAGAGAGAAAAATGATAGATGAGTGATTTTATTCTTCAGTGCTTGGGATTTATCTCCTCTGCAGTTGCGTTTGAATGGCTGTTTTGCTACTAATCCCTCTTAGTGTTACAAGTATTGAACTGGCACAGCTGAAAAGCTGGTTAAAAGACCATTACGTTTTTAGCATCCAACTTCAAAAACTGTTCACATGGGAAGTATTTAACCTCTGCTTATTTTAGAAATGGATGCTTTCAAGCTGTACATGCAGAGTTCAGTGTTTCAGGAACAGATAATTATGATTTTTCCTGTTCTTGTTTTTCTTGTTCAGTTTGTTTTCCCACGTCTCCTAGAAGTTGACAGTGTTGTGTCCCAGTTTTCAATTACATGAACGGACTGCCTGATATTCTCCGTTTCTTTGAAATCTTTCAGGGTTTGTCAGCTTGAAAACAGGCTTTTTGTTTATGTATAACCTGGTGCAGTTTCTCGGATTTTCATGGATTTTCGTCAACATGACCGTGCGGCTCTTTATCTTTGGCAAAGGTGAGACATTTTAGCATGCTAGTAGCATGAAGGTTCAAGTTTAACTTATTTTTCTTTCAGCATTTTAAATGCTTTTATTGAAACCCTGTTTGAAAAAAACAAACAACTTCTCTTCAATTTGTTTCAGATTCTCTCTACGACACCTTTCACACGATATCAGATGTGATGTTCTTCTGCCAGATCCTGGCATCAGTTGAAGTCCTCAACGCTGCCTTTGGTGTAGTCCGGACAGGCGTTATTCCCACCGTTATACAGGTATGGAGCTTCTGACGTAGGATAAAGCACCCTCCTTTTTGGTGTTGGGAAAGAAAAAGTTTTTTCTTTTTCTGTTTTTGTAGGTGGTTGGAAGAAATTTTGTACTCTTCCTCATTATTGGAAGTTTGCAGGAAATGCATCGTCAGCCAGTTGTGTTCTTTGTCTTCTATCTGTGGAGCGCTATTGAGATTTTCAGGTAACTATGTCAGCTAAGTGCTAAGCTTACTGTGTGTGTGTGTTTGTTACCTGAAGAGAACATGTCACTCTGATTTCAGGTATCCATTTTACATGCTGGGCTGTTTCAATACAGAGTGGAAAACCCTCACTTGGCTGCGCTACACAGTCTGGATACCACTTTATCCACTAGGTGTTCTAGCAGAAGGTGTGCTGCTTTACTTTTCCTTCAACTCATCACACACATTAATGTACAGTAACATGCATCTTGTATCTTCCTGTTATACAGCCGTTGCTGTGATACAGTCCATTCCCATCTTTGAGAAAACAAAACTCTTCAACATTCCTCTGCCTAAAGCCATCGGGACCTCTCTTAGCTTCTCATACGCTCTATACTTTTATCTCGTCCTTATGTTTATAGGTAAGCACTCATTCATCTCTTAGCTTGACAGTTTTTGTCTTTTAAATTTCTCTTCTTTATTTGCAACATTTTTTTCTTTTTCCTGTTTAGGACTTTTGATCAACTTTCGTCACCTTTACAAGCAAAGGAAGCGGCGTTTCCGTACCAAGAAGAGGAAAGCAAATTAAGGTTTACCCTCACCACCATTCCAGCAACACCTCTGCTGCCTGCTGCTTTCTGAGCACTTTGTTCTGACCATCTCCAGAACATCATTCTGCTCTATACGTAATGTTTTTATTGCCAAGAAGCTGTTTTAGTTGGCTGCCACTTCAACGATTTACATTTACACCAACACCCTGCAGACAATGCAACATCTCTTTACTGTATGGACTGTCACATCCATGTCCGATTTATTGATCAGGACGGTCAAAAGCCACAGAGCTTTATATCCCGGTTCTTTTTCCCTTGACTAGATTTTTCCCATGTTTTATTCTTTCTTAATGTGGTGTTTGATGCTTTAATATATAGCCATGGATATATGAAAATACTTCTGAACCATCCCAGAAAACTCAGGAAGAAACACACTAATGACATGTGTCCCTCATCCTCAATAATAACCTGCTGAAAGTAGCATCAGTGGGGGGTTTTCTCACTCGGCTGCTTTATTAGTTTAAAAGAAACTTGATATTTGAATGCATTTTACATGTGTTCTGTAAATGCAGAAGTTAACATTCACTAATTCAATTTTTTTTAAAAAGGATCCCACTTAGAAACATGTAATAAAAATAAAAAAAAGTTTATGCTCCCAGTATCACTTTCAGTAATCCATCTGAAGAAAGTTCTCCAAACAGCATTGTGTTTGCATCCAGTGGTGTCCCACATTAGTCCGTGCTGCTGTATTTTCAGTTCTTTCATGCCAACAAGCTCAGCTGGAGAAGTCGGTGTGCATGGGAGCAATGTTTTGATCAAAAGCAGCATACTGAGAGTCGCCAGTGCTGGCTAGTTTGAGCTGCTGTGCGGCGTGGGACAGCTGGAAGGCAGCGTCAGGATGGGCTGAGTCTGGCAGCAGGGTGCACTCTCTCTCCAGTAGATCAGCCACTCCCTTCAAGAGCTCCCAGAAACCAAACGCTAAGGCTGCCTTCCGCAACCGGTTCAGCTCCTAACAAATCAAAAATAACAAAACGCAATGTGGAGAAAACATGCTGAAAATAAGATTTGATTTTTCTAGTGACTCTGTTCAGAGACATTTCAGAGTAACTTACCTTATAGAAGGTTTGAGTTTTATCTGGTAATTTCCTTGCATTCCTCAGGATCTTCTGGACATCGGTCTATAATGACAGTATAAAATAAATAGACAGTAACAGCAGAAAATGAAATGTTTTGACTAGATGTCATCAAGAGTAAGAGGCTCTGAATTTGCACTAACAACGCAGCTGTGTGTTTCAGTTGTATGGATGGATGGTAGCTTTGGGAAAATGTGTGTTATCAGGGCTTTGAGGTATGACTGCAGTATATTGTACATATGGGGTGTGTATAATATTAAAACTGCATCAATAAAGGTTGGGTTCATGACTTTGAATGCTGAATTTATTCTCATGGGATGATTCTGTAAAACATGTCATTGTTCTAAATACTGGACATAATATACTAAAGTTACTGAATTATCAGGGAGAATAAAATGTGTACTGCTGTGAAGGGGACAGACAACTATACAGCTAAAGCAAAAAAGAAAACCAGATTCATCACACAATTTAATTGTCCCTCACATTTTCTTCTGAGTAGATAGTTACATTTATAATTAATGAGATTACTTTAAGTCAAAAACTACATGTGGGCAGTTTTTTCTCCAATGATCATCTGAACACTCAAATAGAGATGTAACTGCACCTGTAGTCCACTGGCCTTGATCCACACAGTGGCATTCTGAGCATAGCTCCGTTTGACCGGTGGCTGCACAGGGAACGGGCTCTTGCTGTCATCTTCTCCATAGGGATTTTCAGCAGCCTCTGAAATACCAGAAAGAACAGGAAGCATCAGAGTAAGGTTTTTCGATCCACCAAGTAATGACCATTATTATTATTATTGTGTGAAAAAGGAAACACACAGTCCTTTGACTGATGCAATGTAATCATTAACCCATCAAATGGCAGTGTCAGAGGTTTAGTGTTAAATCTACACAGCATTCCAAAAATGTCACAAAGAAAGCTAGTCTGAAATGTAATGAAAAATGTGCTGAAGAAGCCATTCAGCCATTTGTTTCAAATGTGTACAAAACATCATTGGTGGGGTGAAGAATTACCTGAAATTGGTCCCAAATATGTAATCTTGCCCAGCCATGGCAGAGGCTCTGGACCAGGCTCAAACAGTGACATCATCAGGTTTGACTTCTTCTTGCTGTCTGCTTGAGAGTACAGCATACCGTACCACTCTGGGCTGGGATGAGAATAAAAACAAAATCTGGATTTAGCAACCATCAGTAAATACATTATCCATTACAATATAGACGAGCATACCAGGATACGTTTTTCAGAAAAAGAGCTCTGCGATATCTCACCCAAGCTGGACCAGTGCCACCATTCCCTCAACCTTCAGACTTCCATGCAGAAGGACACAGAAATTTGGGCTTTTTCCTGCCATCTGGCTGGCAGAGGGTTCCTCCTCAAGCTCCTCTGTGGCTCCTGTGCCAATTTCATCCACATCTGAAATTGAGAGCAAACAAATTATGCCAACATCATCATCATCATCATCAATAGTGTGGGCTCAAGGGTTTACTTTTGTTTGTCTCTTTACTCAAGGCATCAGGATCTCATTTACTAAAATTTGTTCTTGTAATAAAAATCATCAATGTTCTGTAAACAAATTCAGAGGAATCACATTAGGACTCATGTTTTTAACTATGTTCTTATTTCAGAAAGACTTTCTCTAATACTTACGCAGAATCATGGATATTTCACCCTTTCACTTGATAAGTATTTCAATAGAATATTGCTGAGAAAATGTTGGAACAAACCTTTGTTTACAGCAATAGGAAGTACCAAGTGTCTGGATATCACCGGAGGGCTAGAAATGTCAGCAATTTCAATGAAGCCTATAATTTCCAGATCTGAAAAATGTATAAAAGAATGAAGAGCTGATCAAAAAACATACCTCATAAAATAAATTAACCTTAACAGTAATTTAAACTCTTCAAACTACCTGTACTGACGTTGCGGGGCATGGGCTCCACCTCCTCATCCATCACGACGGGCTCAGGGCGAGGGAACACCTGAACGTCTGATGACAGGTTCCCACAGTGTAGCACCGCATGGAAGGGGGAGTATGCATGATCAATCAGCCTCCTGGAGATATGCAAACACACAATATGGCCTAAGGTGTCTCATGAGGCATGTCTGAGATGAAAACGTACTGACTCCTGGATCATTTTTAAATGAACAGCCTTACCCAAACATCGATTGAACACTTTTCATACAAAGTGGCCCATCCATGGTGAAGATCTGTCCGTCCCCTCCACTGAGATGAAGCAGCTCCTCTAAGTTGTCCATGGCATCACTCATTTGTAACTGCAATTGCAGAAGACAGGTGAACCAAATGTGCAGAAAAGAATGGAATCTGATGGCAGATTATGAATAGATTTACACCAGCTAATTATCCTGAGTAAATTCAAATTAAACATCATCCAAGTACAGTTCAGTACCTCTTCTGCATTAGCTATGCACATGATGAACATTTTGGTAGGAAAAGGGAAAGGAAGAGGGAATTTTTTGTCATCTCCTCTGTGTTTCAGGCTTTGGAGAGAATGACGGAGGGAACCCTTTCCAATGCCAAGAGATCCATCTGTAACAAGCACCACCTATAGGACGAAAGAGGGAGGCTCATAAACAGGAGCAGCTGTGGGGTAATATTCACTCTGCTGCACAAAAACGTTTAAATAAGTGAAAGTAAATCAATGACAGAAAATGAGTTAATAATTTATTAGTTTTTCATGTATTATTGTGTTCAAGACAAATCTGTCTCAATTAACATATTGGATGTCAGTTTCTTTAAATATTTCTAATTCACCAAGCTGGGTAATTGGATTGGTTTTTGTCATTATAAATATTGCTCATTCATTAATTTCCTTTACCAATTTAATCCTATTTAGGTTAAAATGTAGGGAGATAGGGGCGGCACGGTGGTGTGGTGGTTAGCACTGTCGCCTCCCAGCAAGAGGGTTCTGGGTTCGAATCCCGGGGGAACCAGGGCCCTTCTGGGTGGAGTTTGCATGTTCTCCCTGTGTCTGCGTGGGTTCTCTCCGGGTTCTCCGGCTTCCTCCCACAGTCCAAAAACCTGCATGTTAGGCTGATTGGAGATTGGGGAAATTGCCCTTAGGAGTGAATGTGAGTGTGAGTGGTTGTATGTCCTTGTGTGTCTCTGTGTGGCCCTGCGATGGACTGGCGGACTGTCCAGGGTGTACCCTGCCTCTCGCCCGTTGACCACTGGGATAGGCTCCAGTTCCCCCCGCGACCCCATCAGGGAATAAGCGGCATTGATAATGGATGGATGGATGGATGGATGTAGGGAGATAATTGAGGGAACAATCACAAACCTAACAACAACTGTAATTGAAAAAGAAAATACCTGACAGGGACAGGCACTTCCCCACTCCTGCTGAACTACATTACTAACTCCATTAAGAGCCGATTCAATACACGTCTTGTCATAGTCTTCCAAGCTGCTGAGTGCCTCCTGTAAAACATTATTTTAGAAACAATTAACAACTCAAACCAAGTCTTATTCACAGTAAGGCTAATGTCAGGGCAGGCAAGTACCTGTAATGCATTGTAATCCCTTGTAAATGGCACCAATAGCTCCCAGAGTGAAGAAAAGGCCATCAGTGACGTGAATTCCAGGCGATAGTTTGAGGCCATGTGTTCAAACAACATGTTGAGTCCGTGGACGGCCAGGTTTTTCCTCTGAAACTCCTCGCTGCCATCCAGACACACTGGCCGTGTCATGGACAGGGAAACGTCCATTAAGACCACTGTAGGCATGGCTCCTTGCTTTTAAACAAACCCACTAACGCAATGAACCTTAAATATTGTTCTACTACAGTGTCTGCAGTCACTGTCAGTGGCACAGCTTTGTGGGATGCGTTAATTTTGAGGTCAACAAACAACAAATATGAAAGATATTAAAAGCTACAAAGCAGGATCATGTTAGCAGAGGACCGCTAGCTATTCAAGGCTAGTGTGTTAGCATCCTACAACGTGATGAAAAAAGCCCAAATTGGGAAATGGTCTTATATCTTTTCATCGAATTTGGAATGATAATTATCCACATCAACAACCGTGAGATGTAAACCTAAAACAACATAATGAAAATGCCTGAAAAGTACAGACCGCTCTGTGTTTCGTTTGCTATCAAATGTTGTATTATAATGTGCACCAAAATCTCCGTCCGAGTAGGTGCCCCGAGCAGTAAATGCAGTTCCTATGTGGTGAAGATTATTTTCTAGCTAATCAAATTAAATGTAATTGCGAATAAAGAAACACAATGAGCAGACAATATATCACATTTCTGTCGTAATCAACCGTATTTATGTACATGATACATTTAAAAAATAGAGGGTGGGTCACTGATTTGCTGAAGAGGATGTCGATTACGTAAAACAGGAGAATTTTCCACGGCACAGTTACGGGCTGAAACTCTATTGTCAGGAAAACTATCTTAAGTCTTAAATTGGACAACACAGGAAATCATGAGATCTTGTCAGATGTGAGTCTTTTTATAAATGAACTAGTGTTTTGCACTGAAAAGGAAACGCCCATGTGAATTTCGTAAGACTGTTTACAATTCTTGGAAAACTTCAGATCTTTGCCAGGCTGTGATGATCAGTTTGATAATAAGCTATTACAGGTTACCATTTAAATATATTTGAAGAATTGTTATTTTTATGTCGAGGATTAATCAAAGGTCTGAACTTTTGATATCTATTTGTTTATTGAAGCCCTTATTTTTGCTCTTGACCTCTTTGTTTGTACAGTCTACAAGTCTGATGAAACTGTAGATTTAGGACAATGAATACTGCAAGACGGATGAGACTGCTGATGTGGAAGGTCCAGTTTCTCCATTTTTGGATATTTTTCATTACCCTTTCCCACCTGACCGTCATTGCCCAACAGAATATTCCATTGCCCACATCTCAGACTGGTGAGGATTATGAAAAAGGAGAAGAAGGAGTCGAGGAGACTAAAGTGAGAAGTGGAAGGTTTGAGAAACCTCATACGTCCACAGATGAAATGGAGCCAGAGAGACATTATACTAACGCAACTCAACGTTCTTTGGAGACGCATAAACCCAGTCCAGCTCCTTCTGTTAGTACAATCCCTCCCTCATTGCAAGAAGTTCAGCATATTAACAAAAACTACCCCGCTGATTTATTTTCGGTTGAAGAGCGCAGACGAGGATGGATGATCCTGCACGTCGTGGGGATGATTTACATGTTGGTGTCCCTTATAATTGTGTGTGATAAGTTTTTTATCCCTGCAGTGGGGGTAATCACTGACAGGTTGTCACTTCCTGAAGATGTTGCAGGAGCCACCTTCATGGCTGCAGGAAGGTCCATCCCAAAGTTTTTTGGCCTCTTAATGGGAGTCTTTATTGATGACAACAATACAAGCATTGGCATGGTTGTTGGCTCAGCACTCTTCAACGTCTTGTTTGTTATCGGAGCGTGTGCTTTGTGTAGTTGGGAGAGTCCTCATTTAACCTGGTGGCCTCTTTTCAGAGACATGTCATTCTATGTGCTTTGCTACGTCTTATTCATAATCTTCTTCCTAGATAATGTCATTGTGTGGTGGGAGAGTGTGTTGCTGGTGACCTGTTTTATTCTCTATGCCGTCTTTATGAAATTTAATTCCCAAGCAAAGCAAGCATTTGAGACACGACTCCATAAACACAGAAGATTTTTAATGGCCAGTACTGCCGAGGACCCCAACAAGGTAACTATTTTTTTCAGCCCAGATCCAGTAATAAATGGTTTTCCCTGTCTCAACACTCCCATATAACATTTTATTTGTGGTTTGATGTCCCTGCAGGATGTCCCTGCAAGAGTAAATTGTGCTGGAGACAGTGATGAAGATCACAGACAGAAACATTTTGTTGTCCTTAGCGAAAATCTGGGTAATGAGAATAAAGTGAAAGAAGAGGAAGCAGGAAAAAAAGATGGACCATTGTCTTTACGTTGGCCTCTCACGCGGTGCAAGCAAATTTGCTACGTTCTCCTTTTGCCCATAATCCTCCCACTGTGGCTCACAATCCCTGATGTTCACAAACAGGTGAGAATCAGATGGATGTTTTACCACATGGCTGCGTAAAATGTTTGATTATTTGACATTTCTGTCTCTACTTTTGATGCAAAGAAATCCATAAAATTCTTTTTGGTGACCTATGTCGTTTCCATTCTTTGGATTGGAGTCTTCTCCTATCTACTAATGTGGTGGGCCCATCAGGTCGGTAGTGTTGATGTTTGAGAAATTGTGAAAATACAGGAGCATCTGCTTAGTCCCACCAAACATTTGTTGATTTTTTTTTCTAAATGTAATAGGTGGGAGAAACCTTTGGGTTCCCTTATCTTTGGACCTTTGTGGCTGCTGTGACATGTAACACTGACCTCATTACCAGTCTGATCGTGGCCCGTAAAGGCCTGGGGGACATGGCCGTATCCAGCAATATAGGCAGTAACATTTTCCACATCACTGTGAGGTGAGTCCACACCCACAACTGCTATTGAGAAAAACAGATACTCATCACAGGAACACGGTAACATAACATCTTTTTTCTCACATATTTTCTCTGTTTGTCACTTTTTTTTATTCAAAAAGTCTGCCGATGCCATGGCTCCTGTACTCTCTCATCCATGCCTTCACACCGGTGGCTGTGAGCAGTGAAGGGCTTGCCTGCGCCACTGTGCTTCTCTTCTTCTTGCACCTCTGTGCCGTTGTCTCCATTATATCCTGTAAATGGAAGATGAACAAACTGCTGGGTGTCACTATGCTCGTGCTCTACTCCCTGTTCTTTATTCTGAGCATTATGCTGGAGTATCGCATCATTGTCTGCCCTATTGGTCCTGGTAAAAGGGCTTAGCAATTTTTAGTTCAGTTATGCACGTGCAAGGATGATACTTTGATTTATGTATATATATATTTTTTTTCACTTTTTAAAAAGTATCTTGAAATTGACCAAAGTTTCCATTTAAATACCTAAATGAGTTAAAATCCAATTTATGTTATTATATGATAACAAAACTATATATTGTTTGTACATCTTCTTACACATTAACAATTTCAACAGTCCAGTAGGAGTTAAAACATAATGTTAACTCACACCAAAGAGAAACTTTTCCATCTGTCCCATTGTGAGATTTTTTCTTACTGGAATACAAAATTGTACGTTGTACGTTTAAAAAAAAAAAGTAGATTTCATACTCCTGTGCCAACTGAAAATTGGGCAAGAAAATCCATAATGATTGTATATGCACATTCTATGTTTACGGTACAGATGTGCTCTGTACTCTGTTAATTAAAATATTATTTTGAAATTCTCCAGTTTCTTAATATCTATAATGTAAAAAATATTTTTATCATAATGCAATGAAACTAAATGTTTGCATTAAACTTGCATTGATCAACGCAAAGGTATACTCACGCAGTGAGAGTTAGACAATGTACTTAATCCTCTTAGAAGACTTCAGGTGTTAAGTATTATGCTGATCCATTGTGAAGACTTGTTCTGTGTCCTACATAACCCTCTGATCAATGCAAACAGTTTTTGTTTGTGCCACGTCTAACCCTGGACAACTAATTTGGGAGTTTTGTACCTCTGATTTTACAAGACATTAATTACATGGTAGGTCTATGTTTATGGTTTAAGTATGTTTTTTTGTTGCTCCTCGTGGGTAGGAGAACATAAGTGTAGTTCATGATAACAGAGCCTTTCAGTTAATTGACTGAGCAGTCACTAAAATGTTCCTAACTGATATTTTGTCTTAATTTGAATCTTTGTTTTTTCCCATTTCCCATTTTGTTTTTTTTCTTCCCAAATAGCCACTGTTAGGCAGTTACATGTAAAACTAGAGTGAATGTGTTTATCTTTAAAATCTTTTCTTTTATTTACTTTAATTTGACAGGCTGGATATTCCAAACAGTTGATAATGTGACATGAATCACACCACTGGAGTTTTGAATTTTTTTACCCCATGGTCTGCTGGGCAGGGAGCTGGACTCATCCAAAGCCCATTTATGCTGCTTAATTCAACCTAGCCATCGGCAACACTGCTTTTGAGGACAATGCATTGTACAAGGAGAAAGCGACTGCAGCTGAGCCGGGTTCTATTTCTCCTATCTGGAGTGTTCCTCTGTACCCTCTACCAGCTGACCATCAGTGCCCGACTGTATGAGCCTTTGCCTATGCCTCAGATCGGAGAGGATTTTGGAGAAGGTTCAACGGAGGGCGTGGAAGAGGCCACGGTGGAGCCTGGGGGCCTGGAGGAACCTCTCACTGCGACCCATGAATTAGAGCTCACAGATCAAACAACGCCTACGATGCAGGAGTTTAATCATACGGACAGGAATACAGATACAACCACAGATTTCAAAGCGTCCACCACGACTCAATCTCCACTGTTGCAAACCACAAAACGAACGATTGTGCACTGCATTTATGTGGCCCCTGAACCTCCAGCAGAGACCCCCACACCAGCTCCCATTCCTCCGGTTACCACCAGCCCTCCGGCTGCCCCTGATGAGGCTCCCTACGTTAAGGGTGATTATCCCGAAGATATCTTCTCGATCGAGGATCGCAGACGGGGATGGGTTATCCTCCACATTTTGGGGATGATATACATGTTTGTGTCCCTCGCAATTGTCTGTGATGAGTTCTTTGTGCCTGCACTGGGGGTAATCACAGACAAATTAGCCATTTCCGATGACGTAGCAGGAGCCACCTTCATGGCTGCCGGAGGTTCTGCACCAGAGCTTTTTACCTCTTTGATCGGAGTCTTCATCGCCCACAGTAATGTGGGCATTGGCACGATTGTTGGTTCAGCGGTTTTTAACATTTTGTTTGTGATTGGAATGTGTGCTTTGTTTTCCCGAGAGATTCTTCGCCTGACCTGGTGGCCACTTTTTAGAGATGTGTCATTCTACATCTTTGACCTCATCATGCTGATCATCTTCTTCTTGGATAATGTCATAATGTGGTGGGAGAGCATGATGCTGGTGGCCGGTTACTCTGTCTATGTTGTCTTTATGAAGTATAATGTGCAACTGGAACGAGCATTCAAGAGCCAACTCCACAAGCACAAGATCATTGTGAAAGTTATTGCCGTGGAAGAACCTGAGAAGGTAGGCATGCTTAGGATATGCTGTTGTGCATTAAATCAACCAAATGCTGAGTCTCCAGAAAAGTATTTTTAAATTTCTGTGTCTTCTGACTTTTTGTCAAATTGCCCAGACGTTTATATGGTGGAGATGACAAGACAAAAAAAATTACTCACTCTGGAAGAGTCATTAATCTTGAAAATTAAAACGATTAATTTTTTCAGAGACTTGATAATACAGTAAATTATACCTGTTTTGAACCTGTTAAAAAGTGCTCAACCTTAAGTAGTGCTGTCACACAACAGATAATGTATTAAAAATAAATGTGTTCCCATGATTAATCCAATTGACTTTCTCTGTAGCATCCTTCTGTCCTAAGGATCCAAAACGTGTAAGATGAGTATTGTGCTTGATAGTAGCATGGGCCTTGAAGAGCCAAAGGTGATCAGCCACAACAAATTAATCCTTTGAAGAGCTACAACTCTGCAAAAAACTGTAGCATCAACTTTAATCGCTGTGAAACTTATTGAGACTTAATTCCCTCAAAGTAACCCTGAAAAGTTAGTTCCAACTGTTCAAATGTGTTGATCTGGACATGCTGTTGAAGCAGGGTTGCCAAAGTGCAAGTGTAGTTTCTCACAGTGCTGGTAGCTTTATTTAAGGTGGGCCAAGGATAGATGTATCTGTGCATTTTAAACTTGTCAGTGGAACACCACTAAATGTATTTTATTGATATCTAGCACTGAAGTGATTCTGTGTGTGTACTATGTGTAAAAAAAAAAGCAAAAAAATGTATCAAATTTCATAGCAAATATGGCATGTATACATAATATTTTTACTTTACCAAAATGAAATAATTTTAGACTATCCTTACTAATGAATCATTATCACTGAAAAAAACATTGTTGCATGCAGACAAATGGGGACGATGAAGATAATGCCCCTCCCGCTCCAGAGGACAAGAATCTGTTAAAGGTAAAAATCAATCAAGTATCAACTATGAGACAAAAACCACCCAAATGCCCTATTATCACTTTGTTACTGATCGTTTGTCGTTTGCATCTTGTGTTTTTGCTGTTTTGCATTATCTACACCGGCCTCACTGCACATGTGCTCATTTTGATGCACTAGAAAATAAATAACCTTTGTACCTTTTGGGAACAGTAAATTGAAATGTCCAATCCGAATACTGTCTTAACCGTAAGCATTTTTTTCCGCAGTTAAAGCCATCTCTTCAGCGAGGGGGTAGTTCAGCTTCTTTACACAACAGCACCATGAGAAACACCATCTTCCAACTCATGATTCACACATTAGACCCTCTTGGAAATGGTGAGTACTGCATTAGGGCATAGAAGGGTCTGCTAACTGATACTGTGGACCTTGAACACTACTTGTATAGGGAATTGAATACTCATCCTTCTCACTGCAAAAGGGATTAGCAAAGTGTCCCGTATGAAGGCATCACTAAGTCCAGATTGATACTAAGCAGATAAATACCCCTCACAGTCTATAGAAGGTTTTTTTCTGTAGGTTTATCGTGTAACATATGAAAGAATCTCACCAATGTCTTCTTAAAGTCAACACAAAGACTGTTCTAAAACAATAACTAAAGTGATCATATTACTATTTCATTTAATGTTAGAACAGAAAACTGTAGACCATCAGATGTAATTATGTTTGGTCAAACAATATAGTGGAGTATTGAGATGGCTCCGATTTTCATTTTTCTAAAAATATTTCCATGTAAGGTTAGCAAGGTTGACTTCTCGTATGACTCTATGTAATTCATACCAGAGGAATTTCACAGAATGTTTTTATTATTCCTAATTGCCTTTGACAAGAGCATGTCCGTCTGACTGTATTTTCTGTGCTGACTGCTCTTGGTTTGCTCAACTTTCAGCCCTTAGGGCAATAAAACTATCCATGACTCCAACACAATAATCAGCTTTCGAATGACCCTATACAATATGGAACTCAGCTGGTGATCAATCAGTGCATACTCTGAAAGTGTCTTGTTACGTGCATCCCAGAAACATAAAAAGTATTTAAGGCTTAGCTTAATGCAGAACAGGCCTTTTCTATTTGACTGTGTTGTTTCTATCTTAACTCCAGTTTATTTATTTAAATTTAGGAAATAAAAAACACTCCAATTTATTGATTTAAAAAGCCATAGGAACCATTCTGTTTTCAAACCTTAGTTAGATCTGTTCACCATTTTATAGCTATAGTTGGTACCCTTTGCTAACTCAAGGTGGAATCTTTTCTTCCGTGTATCATGAGTTGGTAATTCTTTGCACCTGCTTGTTCATGCTTGTTTCTTAGGAAAGTTTAAAGAAAAGGCTGAGTCTCTGACAAATGTGGCTAGACGGAAGTCAGAATCCAAATCTCAAGACAAAGGTGAAGGTAACATGGAATAATATGATGGTTTATCCATTATTAGGTGCCTGTTTTCAAGTCGTCAGTCGGATCATCATCTGGTTTGCAAAGCACTGTTTCACACAAAAAAACAAAAAAACATTCCATTTATTTCAAACTTATTCATATGCATGCCAAACTAATGCAATGTAAATCATTGTTGAAATGGAATGTTCTTGCTGTTCTTCCTAAAAGGGTTTTTGGCATGTTTCCACCATTGAGACCATTTCTCCTTAGCGGTGATTTTCAAACGTTTTAGCCTTGAAAGGCATCCCGCCAATTATTCTGGTCTTTATTCAGGTTCTGGATAGGATTCAGTTCTTGCTTCTTGCTTATGCCACTCAGGGATGTTGATGTCATTCTCTGCACTCATCTCGTGATCACCACGGCTACAGATCTCACATCACTATCCTGAGGGGACAGAAGCTCAAGTGCTACACAAGACAACATTTTTCTGTACAGTGCCTGGGTTCTTTCCTAATAATTATCAAAAGAACATGCAAGGTCATTATGATTATTCTGGTTACCTATGTACCAATGTATCAAAAGAGACACTGGATATACAAAGAAGACTGAATGCTGAACAAGAACAGCTCTCTTTTCTGTCAGGAACACAGAAGCCTAGCAATTCCAACAGATCAGCTTTACAAAGAAAAGGAGGTTTGATTTAATAAAACAAATAATGTTTAGTTGTTTAGACACAGTAGTGGTGTTTTCCAAAGGTGACAAAAAATGGAAGCATTTAATCCAGCTATCCCCACAGTCAAGAACTGTGATGAAAATGTCATGCTCTGTGTTTGTTTTGTTTTTACCCAATGAGCTACGCAAGCTTAAGGAAGTAAAAGGCATCATGAAAAAAAAGACCATGTGATGCTTCAGGTTTTAGTAAGCATTAAGCAGAAAAAGTTGTCTTTGAGCAGCATTTGTCCTTCAACTAAGACATTAACTGAAAACTCTTGTCATGAATAGTGAAAGAGAAAACAGCATAAACATTTTCTCAGAAGCCTGGGTAAAGTCTGAATCTAAACCAGAAACTGAGAAACTGACAGAGGAACACAAGTACAGCATGATAGCAGCTTGCACTCCAGCTTCTAACATCTGGAGATGTGGAGATCAATGCTAAGTGATAGTGGTCTAAAATACCAGGGAATGCATCCACTGAAAGAGGAAAGAGTGTGTTTTTTAAATTTGAAATTGTTTAAAAAAGTTAATAGACATTGGTATATAAAATCATCTCTATCACAGTGTTCAGCTTTGCTAACCAGATAAAACACATTTAAATTGGCATGCCTATGAATGATCTCAGGTTTAATTGTTACCAATTGTTACTTTTAGCATTGTTAACTCTGCATGAAACTGTTTACTTTAGTCCAGCAACATAAGGTTTATGTTCATATAAATAGATAAGGCACAAAGCATCCATGCATCTATTGTTATATGCTATACTTTTAAATATTTTAGATGTAGTAAAAAGCTGGATGAAGATTTTACAACCTTCAAAACAATGTGTTCATTTAGCACAGCTGTTGCATAAAGACTGCAGCACACACTACCAATGCTGCAGTCTAAAATGGCATTCAAGTGCTTTGCTGAGATTTTCCATGATACAGACCAAGGAAATGAACAAAATGCTTGGGATTTCTTTCACAGGAAGTGGGGGGAAAACTGATCAGCCCAAAGAGCCAGAGGCTGCCCCGGCCGCAGACACAGAGAAGAAAGAACAGCCAGAGGACAAGAAGGTACTCCTCCTCCATGTCGCGATGGCTTTCAAAAAGCCCAGAAGTCAATCTTTGATACCTGTCTATGTAAGAATATATGTACAGAGCTACAAGCTTTAGCAACAGGCTCTTGGTCATCTGATTTGGTCTTTTTCTGTATCTCATTTGTGAACCTCTTCTTTTGTCCATCATGATATCTTCTCTCCTTCAGGATGATGTGCCGGCAGAACAAGGAAGCGACGATGGTTCAGATGATTCCAACAGTGATGACGAGGCCAGTGATGACGAGGCCAGTGAGGATGACAGCGATGAGTCCAGTGAGGAAGAGGAGGAGGAAGTGGAGGAAGTGGAAAATGTGGAAGAAGAGGGGGAGAAAGAAGATGAGCCTCTAACCTTGCAGTGGCCTGAGACTCGGCGTAAGCAAGCCACTTACCTCTTCCTGTTGCCCATAGTCTTCCCTCTGTGGCTCACAGTTCCTGATGTTCGCAACCAGGTAAAAAGATATGAAGGAGACAAACTCATTTTAGAGATCAGCTGTAGTACGTGTTCCAGTTTGTTTTACCCATATCCTTTTCACTTTGTCTAATAGAAATACAAAAAGTTATTTGTGCTCACCTTCCTGGGTTCCATTATGTGGATTGCTATCTTTTCATATCTCATGGTCTGGTGGGCCCATCAGGTCAGAGATGCTTTCATTTTCTTCTTCATTGTCATAACTTTCGTGGAACTGAATTTAGTCTTGGCAGAAAGGATTCTATTTCTGTCTCCACTGAAATGCTCCAGAATTGGACCCAGTAACAAGTTTCTTCAGCTTATTTTAACGCTGAATCCCGATTTGACTCTGTAGGTGGGAGAGACCATCGGGATCTCAGAGGAGGTTATGGGCCTGACCATACTGGCAGCCGGAACCTCTATCCCTGACCTCATTACCAGCGTGATTGTTGCTCGTAAAGGCCTTGGGGATATGGCTGTATCCAGCTCTGTGGGCAGTAACATCTTCGACATCACCATGGGGTAAGCCCTTTTAGCTTTCTGTCAACGTTTTCAATAGCAGTCTCGGCTCGCCGCATTAACTGTTTGTTTTTGTATCCCTCTTTTCTGTATTTTTGCACTGTTACTTTTCTCAAAAGTCTCCCAGTTCCATGGCTCTTGTACTCATCCTTCAACGGCTTTGCTCCAGTGGCCGTCAGCAGCAATGGACTCTTCTGTGCCATCGTGTTGCTCTTCCTCATGCTCCTCTTTGTCATAATTTCTATTGCAGCCTGTAAATGGAAGATGAATAAGGTGCTGGGTTTCACCATGTTTCTTCTGTACTTTATCTTCCTGGTGCTCAGCGTCATGCTGGAGGATCGTATCATAGTCTGCCCTGTTTCAATTTGAAAGCGTGAGCTTGCTTTTCCACAGCAGGCAGCCCTCCACGAGTGATCTGGAGCAAAGTTCTCAACTCTCATGTGCTATTCTCCCGGGGCTGAATTCATGGGGTTGGTTGTCATCTAAAATGTTTAGTGGGTCCTTCTTTTCTAGTAAATGACGGGAATAGTTTTAAATATTTGGAAACTTTTAGATTACTATATACAACCTCTTAGATCTTTACATGCTGACACCAGAAAGAGAAGGGAGGCCCTAGATGTGTGAGGTTATAGCAGACTGATTTTTTAAGTTGGTTCGGCACTGTTTCAAGCAAGGTCATGTTCTGCTTGTTGAAATATGTCAAAACATCAAGATGTATAAGATGTATTTACTCTTTTCACACAGCTGTCTGTAGAAGCCAGTCAAAAAGCTACAGTAGCTGCGCTGCCAGTCACATCATTGGTGCATTCACAGTTATAAACATGGTTCAACATTTATAGAGGCCATCACAGTGTATAGTTAGAACTGAAGGCCGAGTTTACATCTGTTTTTCTGTGATACTAGGAATTACAAAAATAATATGCATAAACTGTACATTTTGAAATTGACAACTAATACACATTATATATAGATATGTATATACATATATATCTTTATGTATGTGTGTGTGTGTTTTCTTTTTACAAGACAATGTATAAATGTAGAGGAAGAGAACTAGAAACATGTTATTGCCTCAGAATATTTAGGTGTCCTAATATGTATTTTCTATTAAATGCAATTTTGAAAATGTAAACAATTACTGTTTTATAACTGTAGTGACCTAGAAATTATTAGCATTGCTTGAACTTGGTTATAAACTAAAAGGTCTCATTGAAAATGATGAAACTTGAAATTCATAGGATAAATGTGTTTATTCATAAATGAAAGAAAATCATAGAACCACCCAGGTTAAGAAATGTGATTTCTTTTTTTTATATGTAAAAAACCATAAAAATTTGTCTCTGTGTTACAAATGATAAAGAACGTTGGACACATTGTTCAAACTGACACACTGAATTAGTGTAAACAACACATAGACATACAATTATGTTTTGGTTGGCAGTGTTTTTTTAGACACTGCAAGCTGGTAACAATGCAAATGTATTGCTGTGAATTGGTTCTCAGTCCAGACGCACAGCCTTAACTAATCCAGCATTTTATCAATGTGATCTTGATGTACCATAATAAGCACAATTAAAATGAAATCCAGGCAGCTTTTGTCAGTTAAAAGACAATACTGATTCTGTGAACCATCACACTCAATTTTAAAGTGAGTTTGAACAAGGGCAGTTTGGAGCTTTGATATTTCTTTAATAAAAGCAGTGCAAAAAATCCCCATCTGCCATCAGTGCCAGTATGTGGCTAAAATTATCTTTTTCTTTTATCTGTATGTCACGTTAAAAAGTGTAGAACCGTCCAGAGATCTAAAACTGGCATTTACATCATACAGCGAGGACCAAAAACAAAGTATACAAAATACAAGAGCCAAATACTCTGGAATATTATTCAGGGCCAGTTACTGTGTAAGTTCATTTTTCTTTTAAAGAAAAAGTAGTTGCTTATTTAACCAAATAAAATATTATTTGTCCACGACTGGTTTAATTGTACTGTTTTAAAGGAACTGTAAGTGGTGGTCACATGTAACACAAAAATCATTAAATCAAAGAATTTGAATTTCAAAAAGCTATTGCTTAAAAATCAGTGAATAAATTACACAAGTATTGTTCCCTTTTGGGGCTCTTTTGGTCGTTGTTAAAACACACAAACGAACAAATACATACAAATCACATATATTCACTATTTTAGTGTATTGTGAGTAGATTAAAGGTGCACATTAGGAGAAATATATGTAATGTAGAAACAAGTCAAACTAGAGGGAGCTGTTCCTGCAGAAAAGCAGAGAGAATGCTGATCTGCTGAATGACTGGATCAGAATAAGATGAAGAAATTGACCAATTAACTTAAAAGGCCTTGGAAATTTACTAAGTCAGTCTAAAAGGCTAATTTGTAATGGGTATGCTAAATGAATAGGAATACTGATTGTAAAAGAGCAAAAGTTAGATGAAGAGTTCATATGAAAAAGGTCAGTGGTCAAGTAAATCAAAACACTGACCTTCAACATAAAACTGAAACACAGCCAGAAGAGAGACTTTAAGTTATCATAAAATAGCTGAAGATGATGTTGTAGTAAGAAGATCTAAGGACGAGTGAGTGATTGTCAAACTGTAAAGCAGAAAAGCTGATTGCTGATAAACATAACGTGCTCCTGTGAATATCTGTAAGTTGTACCTGCTCATGTGTGTTCTGTCTGTCAGTTATCCTGCCCTGATCAATAAAACATGCAGGGAAGTGTGCATAAAGGACCAGGATTTAAGAGATGCAATAACCCAAAACACATACATAAAAGGACCCTGTCTGAACCTTAAAAACACTCCACTAATATGGCCATAATTTATCAAAGACAGACAAGAAAGAAAGACAGATGTCTGGCAGTGCATCATCATAATCAATTACTGCTTTGTGAAAATTTTAAATTAAATATTTTAAATGAAAAAAATTGAAAACAAATTCCAAACTGAAAAAAGAAATTATAATATTTTAATTATAAACTTTATAAAGTTTATTAAAAAAAACTGAAACTGAAGAAATAATTTTAGAAAATAGAAACAAAATCAAACAAATTAAAAAAATAGATTAACCTGAAAAGAAGCTTTAGGACCTAAATAAAAATCTGAGACTGAGATACTTCCTGGTCCTTCAGGCACACTGCCCTGTCTCTGATTTTAATTTAGTTTACTTTTTGGACTCTATTAGAATTTAGTTTAACACATCTAAATTCAGTTTAACTTATTGGAAGTTTGTTGTTCTTAGTTGAAAGTGCTGTTCAGCATTCTCACAATGATGCGGATCAGAATAGCAGACAGCACAGTAAAGCCCGCACCTGCAGACTTTCTGCTCAGTCAAGTAGCTGAAGAATATAGAGCTCATTCTGTCAAGGTGCTATTTGAAAACATGGACATCTACAGCAAGTTAGTGTAACACAGACACACGTACACAGACACGCACACAGAAACGCACACACGCTTAGCAACAGTCTTAACAAGGTCACCAGGACCACTAAGAAATTTTAACAAAGTGATTGTACACATAGTTTTACAGACTTATTCACAGCGTCAACAGAAATAAAGACATAAAATAGATCATATAATTTCTGAAGTGTGCTGAAAATATGGTAGATTTTCTAAATATTTACAAGCTCAAGGCCCAACGCTTCATACCTCTCAGCTCTGACAGTACAAGAATCTCATGGCAGTTGCTTTACATTGAGTGGAAATTCCTATTGTGCTTTATAAGAGCTTCATGTCCAAGTCAAATGAGCTGGTCCTGAGTCTGAAGAGCAGTCCATCATAACAGTAGCAGTGACTGTGGTTTAAGGAAAATCTGAAATAGACAGAAGATCACAAACTGGGCTCTCCAAATGTCCTCCTACACTCCATGACCCCTGCTCCAGGGGGTCTATCACAATTGTGTGTCAGCTTGACCAGGTTGGGGCTGAGGCGATCATAGGCCAACCTGTACTCTCGGTCAAAAGCATCTACAATGAGATAAAAGGAAAAAGATAATCGATTAACCTTACATGAAAGTACCAATTTTAGTTTTTACTAAAAACAAAACTAACTTGTCTACAATAATGGAAGCAACTCTTTAATTCCCTATACAGACAGATCAACGGCAGGAGAAGGATTAATGAAAATACTGTAAGGAAAACAAAATACTTATGCAAGCAAAATTCCCATATTATATGCCATTTTACAGGTGTTACTTTAAAATGCTCGATAATTTATTTAATTGTTTTTCTGCCTACCTGAATGGACATGTTAGAGAACAAAATCAAACAGAGACAATTGAAAAAGGATAGCCGAGAATGTCAGGGTTTTAAACTTACTGATATTAATATTGCTCTTCCCCAAAGCCACCAGCGTAAGGAACAACAAATCTCTGTAGAGACTCCTTTATGGAAAAAAGAAGAGAAAATAAATCAGTCTCTCCACCTATGTCACCCTTTTCTGAACAGTTCGACATATCATCTTAACATCTCTCATCCTTTTCTTTTCACCTCTGTCTTGTGAAACCCAGCTCAGGCCCCAGCAGCTGGATGATCTGGCTCATGGGCTGGTAGACATCACTTTTCTTAATGCTCCTCACAAAGCCCTGCAGCAGCTCCACAGTGAAGACCTGGCCCTCTTCACACAGCCCCGAGCGGATCAAGGAGTTGGCACCTAAAAAGACGTGGATAAAAAGACAACCTGTTCAAAGGCTTATTCATCTCTTCCACAATCAAATCAATTCTGAAAGCAGCAACGATGATGGCATTGCTAAAAGCCCCGAGCTGAATAATGCATCCTGTTCTAGCATCTTTGAGTGCATTATTCAATTGGTATGTAGATGTCTGACCTTACAGAAATTAATATAATTTTTTTTAATAAAACACGGCAGAGTCTATTAAAGCAAATGCATGAATGACTTACAGTGTGTGTTCCAGAGGACATAACAGGGTTGGACTTTGTCTTGGTGCAACCTCAAGTTGTCCCACATAATCCTCACGAGCACCTGCTTACTGTCCTCAGATGAAGTGATCTGAGATGTCTAGAGGGAGATGAAATATTTCAGAGATTACAATCTTAGTAGTTTTAGGCTTAATGGGTGGAATTTGAATCTTTAAATTCCAGGTGTATGTGGCTCTCATTTAGCATCATCTTTGACTGTTCTTTTTCTTAACTAACACTTGAAGGTGCCAAAGTCACAGTGGTATAACTGAAGAAAATATTTACTTATTATTCCTAGAAAAGATGAACATCTTTCCAGCCTTTTAATTTAGAATTACATTAAACATTATATAAGAACTGTTTGTGTTTTATTCTTGGCAGTCATTAAAGTGCTAAAGTTTGTCTCGTTTCAGTGCCAAGACTGACACTGTGCTGTCCAAAACTGAAACGTATTCCACAACAACAGAGTGGATAGTTAGCCTCCTTACACATATTCCATTTACCTGGTCTCCTTTGTTGCAATGCTGCGAGGCTGGGATAAGAGCTGGCAGGTTACTGGGCAGCTCCAACCTTTTGAAGTACCACACAAGGTTCCAGAAGACAATGGGGTGTTGGTCAACAACACTGGGGCAGGAGAGGGCCTGGTCGCCCTCGTTCACCAGCAGGCTCTCCAGTTCTTTCCAGAGAACAAGAGGGCTGAGATAGGGCACTGTAACCTGATCAGGGGTGGATGCTGCAGTCGAGGCTGCTGCAGTCATGCCAACACTCCCACTACTTTCCTGCCTCTGTGGGGGAGCTGCACACGACTGAGCTACACAGTCATCTGCAGACATCTCGGCCTCAGGACTGAGCAGTGGCGACGTATCCTCCTCTTTAACAGGATTACTTCTCACAGAGGACCTGCAGGGATAAAGAGAGGATCAGTTTAAAGGGACCAGGTGCATAATACATGTTTTGTCTACATGTGTGCCACTGCTATTTATGCATTCATTTATTTTCATGAAAAAAAAAAAAGTAAGGCATCCGGCAATAAATGATCAAGCAATATAGATCAAATATATTGGACCTGTCTTTATAGAAAACTAGGCTTGAAGTGCCAAAAGAAAATGTCTTATAACACTGGTTATTTCTCACCTGTTTTGGGGTCGGAGATCTTTGATTTCTATGTTGAGGAAAGGTAAGAATGCCGTTCCACAGAAGGGACAGGTGCTGTTGAGGTTTGAGTCATCTGCTGTCCAGCCAGCCATTATCTCCTCATCGTACACCAGACAGTCACATGTTTTACAAAGTGAACAGCTGGACATCAGCACCTACAACAGAAAACATCCAAACAACGGAGAAGTGGTTGCTTATTTCAGACTCAGTCACACTACAGGTAAGGGTCCAATCAGGATTCTGTATAAAAATACCTTACCTCCAAAGTGTAATTAGGAGAGGGTTGGAAGCGGCTCGTGTCAGGGGAGGAATCCGGAGTGTGAGGAGCTTTAGAGGAAAGTGCCAAACCACCTGGACACGACAGAGGATCACACAATAAGAAACATATTTAGGCAAAGCCAAGATTGAACTGCTTTTACATTCATACGCTTTCAGATAAAATAAAGCAATGGACATGGTGTTTTTTGGTGACAGTTTTTGTGAACTCGTCTCACATTTGTCCATCTGAGTGTGTGCACGTGAATGTGCATGCACGTGTACATGTTTGGCATGGGGCCTGTGGCTGGGTTCAGAAAAGCCTATACAAACTGAATCAGCCCTCATGCCTTTGGCCTAGATTTTCACAGAACAACACCTAACTCTTTCCATTGCTGAGCCCTACTCTTACTCTAAATTTAGACTGTCAGGAAGTGTTCTTGCTCATGCTAATACGAGCCCACAGTTGCAAAAAAAGCACAAGAAGCCACTAGAAAGACTGAACTGGGATTTAATTTACATCAGAGATACCTTCCACAGGAGTGTTTCAAACATGTTACCTGCTCTTATTTTATTTTAAGCTAATATTTTAATATAAATGTCAAACCAAACCTGGGTAATTTCAGTATTACATTTCCAAAAAGACAAAAAGCATATGAAACAAACCAGAGAAAGAGTTGTGTCTGAACACTCTGTTGGGGCTGCTGGGGCTGCCCAGGTTAGTATGGTTAGCCCCAACAGGGCTCCTCCTGAGCCGGGACACACTGCCATGCTGTGGGGAAGTGAAGCCATCGGGGTCCAGACAGGACTCATTATCGAGCAGCGAGGAACATTCTGCCTCTGCCGACGTCAGTGAGGAAACACTCATACGGTCACAATTTGCATCCTATAACACACAATGAAGAAAATTAATATTACCATGCTTGCACATTTTTCAGAGCCTGTTATTTACAATGTATTAGAAGTTTTTATTAAGAATATTATTCATCCCACCTGTGTTAATGAAGTCTGGGAGGACAAACGAGAGTAGAGGCGGCTTGCCCTCTCAGCCACACCTTTCCCTGCTGATATGACACTGCTCTTGAAGATGTCAAGAGTTGGTGTCAGCAGTGAGTCCATAGAGAATGAGGAATTAGAGGGAGTTGGAGATGATGGTGACACCAAGGAAGAAGGTCTCTCCCTGTCTTTGCTACACACACCCAAAGGAAGGGACGGCGACGGTCTCAGCCTCTCCTTCGATCGAACGGGCAGTGAGAGGTGTGTGCTGGAGCGAACCATGGTGGAGGATTGCGGGGAGGTGTGAGCAGACGAGGTGGAGCGAAGAAATGGGCGGCTGCCCAGGGGGCTGCTGCCGTCGTTCATGTACGTCTCAATCTGCTCAGCAAGGTTGCGACAGGAGGTGGGTGTGCTGCCGTTGTCCTGCACACATTCTTGTTCCGTTGCCATCTGCGATAGGGGATCAAACCCCATCTCGATACCTGTCCTCTTCACTGTCTGAGCATTGCAGCTGCCACTTCTCTCCACCACAGGTTTTTGTTCGTCATTTTCTGTGTCCTTTCCCTCTAATCCATGCTGTCTATCAGCAGGAAGACGGTTCAGCTTGGCTGAGCTGAGGTGAGGAACAGTGAGTCTCACTGACAAGTCGAGAGATTTGGGCCTCTGCGCCTTTGGCAAAACATCCCCCAGAGTCATGTCTCTACATGGACTGGAAACCAGTTTCTTGCTATTTCCTGTGTTGAAGACAAATGTCACAAAGCATACAGGTCAGATATTCAAGTGCTTTTGATGAACACTCATAATTGTATATTGATGATTTCTTTATATGAATAATATGTACCTGAATCCACTGATTTGCAACTCTTAGTGGAAGGTGAAGTGCTGCTTGTTGGAACATCAGTCTCCGGTGCTGGGGATGGAAATTATTATTTGTATGAAAATAGGCAGAAAGATATGTATTTTTTTTAAATTTGTCTGGTCTCTTATAGTAATGGATGATAGAACAATTCCAAAACTGTATAATTGTAAGTAATAATTGTAAAAGTTTGAAATTTGCATATATAAATTATTCAGTGTTTCTGCTTTCAACGGGAAAGAGGAAAGAAAACTAATGGCTGTAGCACACTATGTTCTGAAACATATATTAGGAAGCATTTAACTTCTGATAAACTGCCACACCAAAAAGTCAGAACTAACTAAAAGAATAAATGCAGATTTAGCTCACTATGTCCAAAACAAAATTCAAACAATCACTTGCTTATGTAACGTGTCGGAAAAAAAGGTTTTCCCCCCAAAACACCTAAATATAACAGCAAATGGGTGGCGAGAGCCCACGGTACACCCACACTGTGTTATCATTCCTCAGCTTTTAGAGAAAGAGTGTTCATTTTGCTGTTAGCTGTGACTCACTTCTGCAAAAAATTATCATAAAGTAGCAATGATCAGAAGTAAAACTTAATCCACTTACTGGACAGTCCTTTGTCTTCCACCAGAACTGTGGTATCAGTTTCTCTGCTGCACAACCGTTCCTCATCTTTGGACAATGAATCGTAGCCTTGGTCAGATTGTCCACCTTGCAAAAGATCAGAAGCTTTACTGTTATAAATTCATTATTCCTTTTTAAAATGATTTCAAGCTTTATTCCCATTTTCTTATTTCTTATTTTCCTTAACCATCTTCTTGTTTAACTTTTTTGGATTGAAAGTCTGCTATTAGTCTCCATGGAGATTTTATAATAGATGGTTGATCAGAGAGTTTATCTTACAGCACTCCCAGAATAGAACTGACAAAGAAGCAGAAAAGGGATGGCATCTTTTGACAACCTGCATAATATTCACGAGGTCAAAATACAGAGAGATATACAAACCTACTCTACAGCAGTTTGAAGTATTTGCTTAAAATGTTGCCTCATAAGAAAATGTTAATGGGACTGTGTCATATATTTACATCAGAAAAGTAAAAGGGATTTGAGATTTGAGCAAATATATAGTTCATGAATCACTGCCAACATTAAGCGGTGAATTAATCCAAAGGGTGCGAGAGAGTATCTTTAGGTTAATTATGAAACAACCAGATGAGAAGGTGTCGTGTTTTGTTACCTGTACTAAAACCATCATCGCTGGAGTCCATTTTAGTAAAATCTGTGTCGATGGAGGTACGCTCAGCAGAGTCATTGGCACTGTCCAAACTGCCATGGCTGACTGTATCAAGATCACTGCCGTCTAAAGAAAAATAAGAGAAGAGAGAGCGGATGAGAAGCTAAAACGGCGACACAGTCCAAACAGACCAGCATCAAGTTTAACCGAGTTGACAAGAAGCTTCTGGCCCCAAATGAGGCAGAGAGTTAAGTGTTATTACCTGAAAGCTGAGAATCTCTGTGTGGAATTGGTTGTTTCTTCCCGGCTTGTTTGAACTGAAATACACCACGAATTACATTCCTCAGCTTTCCCCAAAGAAAGTAGCCTCCTCTGGTAGTGGATGGCCAAGTGCTCTCCAACACCGCCTGGAGCAGAATCATTATACAACAGCATTTATATCAAACGGATAGTCAGACTGGCTAATTGCTTTGTGTTTTTGTTTACAACAGCAGCACACACCTTGTTGTAGTACCCATAGGTAATAGCATTGGGCTGAACACCAGCTTTCTTCATCTCAAACAACACCCTAACAGCCAGGACTGGCTGGCTGTACTGGCCACACAGCTGCAGCAGCACACGGTAACACACCTAGGATAGAAAAATATGTTTTTTTCAGAAAATCCCAGGCTAAAACATCTAAATTGCACTATTGCTCTAATGTGTAACAGATTCTTACCTCATCTGGAGCCTGCAGCTTCTTGTCTTGCATCCTTCTTAGTACATCGTACGCTGTTCGCAGAGCTCGCACTTTAGAGTGGCAGTTGCCAACAAACCCTGGCAAACAGATGAACCACAGGCCATAGCAGTGGCGCAGCAGACACTTGGACCACATCTGAGGCATAGATGAATGTGTTCTGGCCATCTTCTGAGCAGATTTGATCTCCTGTGATAAGAATGGGCACAAAGTGATGAGTCATTGCCCCTCAGCAGCTCCATTTGCATTTTGCATTCAGATTTCTCCTCTTATTTGTAAATGTGAGGAATAGCACAACAGGTACGTTTTTATTTAGATGTTTCTTTACAGAAATAGATGCTGAGAGGAACCCAGACAATCAGACCGATTAGACATTGTGTCTCTAAATGATCATATATTGTATTCATTTGTTTTCAATCAAAACCTTTGACAACAATATCATGGTTATTTCATCATTTTGAATTTCAAAAATAATTTCTCTGCTCAAATGGCTGACCTGTTTAGAGCGCCTAAATATGGCTGTGGGGCTGGCTGGGCTGCTGTGGCGTGAGGCAGTGCTTGTTGATGAAAGATTTGGTCCCTCCAGTGGCTCCAGAAGCGTTGGACTTAACACAGGGAACCCAGAGTAGCTGCAGAATAACATAATTTGAAATGCATCAGACGCAAAAACTGGAAAGGTAAGTAAAATGTGCAATAGCTTTGGCGCTAGACGGGAAACTTGAGGACTACTACTGAACATTCACGAGCCATGTTACAGCTAAAAATAATCACATATCCCGGCAGCAGTGGCAAAGTCTTCAACAACAGAAAGAATTTATGCTAATCCTCTCCTTTGGGAGCAGCAGGTTTGCTCTTCCAACATGCAAGCAAGATGTGAAAAAAAAAAAGGGTTAACTTTTATCTGCCATTTAGATATATATCTGTAGTGTGATACCTATAGCACAGAGGATGCTCTTCTCCCTGAGGTAGAGGAGGCAGTTCTGGAGGGTTGATATAGACCGTGTGCTCACTGTGATGGGACTCATCCAAATCAATCAGTCTGGTGTCCTCTGGCCGTTCTGAATCCATCTGGTTTGCAGGAGAGGCAGATATTTTTCATTGTTACATGTCCTTCCTCTTAGCTTTGCAATGAAAGCAAAAAATTGAGTTTATGTGCTGCTTCTAGTGTTGTGAGTATCTGATACTGCATAAGCCTTCAGATCGGATATGAGGGTCATAGAGAGCAAAGCTGTATTAGCAATGAGCACATCTACATCAGAAATGTGGCACTTGCCCAAATTCCATTAATCTAGAGGGCACTGCAAAACCAGACTTTTGGTTCTGTGAATCCCGCTAGACCCAATGGAACTTGATTTCAGTGACGTGGACAAAACGGATGCCATATTGCTCTAGAGAAATGAAACCATTTGACTGTGTTACTTTGGAGGCATTTTAGATACTAATCTGTTACATTAGTTTAAGCTCATATCTGACTGATCTGCTGTGTCGGGAAAGCTTCACTCCTTGCCTTTCAGAGAACAACCGAAGCAACAAACACACTATTTCATGTGAAAAACAGAGACTAGACCATACAAGCCTACACTGCTAATGTGCAGGCACTTAATTTATGGATTGCTAGCTTGTAGTAGCAGTTGAGAAGGTCCCCAGTGGTACTGAACTACAGGTTTTCTTCCACTCAGTTGAGTGGATGATTCAGTCAACCAACTCTAACTGACCCATTTGCCCCTGCCTGAATTTTGCTCGGAGCTTCTCTGCTTGTTGTTCTTCCTCTTCCACTCAGGAGCTCTTTCTCAATCGCACATTTGTTGTCGACCTCAGCACGAATGACGGTGAATGAATCAATGGTTCCACTTCTCAATAATAGCAGCCATGACACTGGAGTTCTAACTGTTTTTACAGGATGTAAATGTGACTTCCTGATTGCACAAGCTTGTTAGAACATATACAGTACACTATATGCACATATCCGTGTGCATATATATTGCTTTTTCATAGAAGGGGAGTGTTTTCTTTTTTCTGTGTTTGTGAAACAAAGCACGTTCACCTTTAAAATAACACGTCTACATCCCAAATGATTTAAACAAAAAAATAAAAGCAGAAACAAAACAAAAAGTTAGCTGCAGTACATAAGCATAAATAAACAATCTCATCACTTAAAGACTGGAATAAGTGACACTTAGACAGAACTGAAAATTGTTTCAAAACATCATCTGTGTCTCTGAAAGCTCACCTTATTTCCAGTGGTGAATAACTACCAGGCATGAGAAATAATGACAATTGAAGAGCAGGCAGAGATGGAAAAAGGAGAGAAAATGAAAGACATTTTCAAAAAGCAGCAAAGATCAGCCAGAAATAGCAGACGAAGAAAGCTTTTTCAATATCACAATCACTGTGTCATTAATGTATGTCTAAGCTAGTACTTCAGCCCAGTTTTTATCTATCATGCTTCAAATGCAGTGAGACCTGCAATAGGATCTTAGCAGAAATTAAAACATGCAAACAGATGCTTTCTTATACACAATAATGATTTAACTGGTTGTGACACAGACAAATTGTTTATGAGAGCTCAGCAGTAAACCTCACCTTATCAACACATTCATCAAAGAAAGCCAAGCTGGCATCTTTGTCACTGACAAAGGAGCACTCCTCTATGAAACGACTGAACATCTGAGTCTTGGTCATTAGAGTGTAAAATCTCTGGTGGGAGCGGTCTCTGCTCTTCACAAAGCCTATGGAAGTAAGCAAACACCGTTTTAATGACAATCTCTAAAGGTGAACCTTGATATTTGTGCAATTATTAAAAATGTTAGATCTGCATCCCTCAGTCTGTTATTTATAGGGTCAAGATGCACATTTAACCTTAATTTTAGGAAATGAATAGTGTGGTGTAAGACAAGTTGTTCTCCGCTGTGCTAGTTGCATAAGAGCTCACAGATGTCCTGGGTCATTGTGCTATTAATCATGCTGCTTCTCAGAAATTCTCATCCACCCTAATTTTCACTGCGGCTTAAATTAAATCGCCAGCACTAATTTAAGACAACATTTGTAGTCTCCAGTGACACTCTGAACTTAACCCTCCAACTTATAACAACTCTAAATTAAGGTTTAGAGAAGCAATTACTTGTCAGCAAGCAGCACAATTTTCTCATAGAACATCAGCCTGATTTTTATGTAAGTAACAATGATACACAATCCCCATCTGACAAAGATAATACCACAAAATGGTTTTACTCTTAATGTCTTCATTGTACACATCTCAGTTGTTTCAAAATCTGGACCTAAAACGTACCTTGGAGGTCAAAAAGTGAGTTGACATCAGTGGTCTTCTCAGATGGAGCTTGGGTGATGGGCTGCAGGTAGGAGCGATAGCCTCGGAGGATGGCTGCCATGAAGCGGAGGAAGGCCTCCTGGATCTCTAACTCTAGCGTATGGAGGCTTTTTCCACCATAAAGTTCACTGTCAGTCACTGTGTGGTCCATCTGAATATCATCATGGTTTAACTGACCACCTAAGAGAGCAAAGCAACATATATTTCAGAAAACTCTCTGCTAAAAAGCTATTAAACATCACAAAAAAACTATATAAATGACACTTTGAATGAATAACAATAAACATTAAAAGTCTGTCATTCTTTCTGCTAAATAGCCTAAAGAAAGTGTAAGTTAGTAAAGCCAAAATAACCTGCTATGGAGCGTTACACTGGGTTTACTTGGCAAAGAAAAACACAACCTCCTCTCTAAACAGTTACCTGCAACAGTGTAGGTTCACACATTAAATAGCTGTACAGTAACTATCTCAGTTACGTCTTCTTATTTTGAAATTTTACTCTCAACAATGCCTTGAATTTAAAATGCATATTGTCTCAAAAGTGACATCACAGTTCTGAGTTTGCAGCTAAAGTGAGTGCCTGGCTGAGGCAAATGAACAGATCCCATGATTCCTCTTTTTTTCTGCCCATGATTCCTGAGGTAAGGACACGATAATGACAAAACGTCTCTGGTGTTGCAGTAAAGATCACAAATTGCTTTATGTAACGGTAAGTTCTGGCGGTTTTCCTTTTAACAACTGGCTGACTCAACAGATTTAAATTATGCATGAAAATGATACAGCATCGAACTGAACTCACCCTCCGTGAGCTGCTGATAGAGCTTATTCAGAGTATTCAGAAGATGTTTGCAGGCTCTCCTGGGCAAGATTTTCCATGTCAAGGCCTTCTTGTCATCTTTTCTGAAAGCAGAGCATATGGTTTTCATTACATTGGGAGGACAGTGGAGAAACATTGAAAAAACATAACACAACCACTTACATCAGCACTGACAACTTAATCACTTTGCAAACTGTTGGGAGTTGATCTAGGAGCCAAGTGAGCTCTGTACAGTAAGAATATTTCACATTCCAGCTCTAGATATTGCATAAGAGAAACCCTCAATGACAAATACTGATAACCTTGGGGAATTGCTTTGAGAGCAGTCCGGGGTCTGCAGGCTGTCTAAAGTTGGCGGCAGACATTTATTACAGATTCCTACATTCAGAGTTCACTTACTGAGAAATGGTGTTGGTGTCTAGATCCACACAGCTGATATCAGCTGGAGGCACATAAAGGTCAAAGTATCTGGAGTCAAGACCCACAATGAAAGGACACGGTGCACTGAGCACATCAGCCAGAGCCAGCGGGCACAGGGGGATGTAGGGGCATGGCCAGTGAAAGGGAAAGATCATCTGAAAGAGAAGAGACACGTAGTATGGTGAATCAATACGTTCTGTAGGGATCAAAACATAGTCTGCAGACTTTCTTTCTTTTTCGGTTTTTAGAATAATGAACGGAGGAAATAAAGACCAAATTACTTACAGACACAAGGGCCTCTGTAACACTGGTGAGCACAGCTGGACGTAAAGAATGAATCAGAATCTTGTGCTCCGTGACAGCCAAGACAAGCAGAGTGGCTGCATTTTTTGGACCCAGATTCAGCAATAATGTGGATAGACTCCCACCGCTGCCATGCAAAAAACATACAAAAGCAGAGGTAAATGTAGAGGATATCTGCAGTGGTGTTACCCTACCATGTTGTGATGTTGGGATTTACTCATGTTTCTCTACCTGAGAGGCAGCGGTGAGGACACAGGTTGGCTCAATATCAGGCTGTCATGTGGAGAAAGCTGGGGAAGACATCCACAAAAGTGTTGATAAGTTTGCGCATTAGTGAGCAGATCATTTAGTATTCTGTGGCAGTCGTGTATCTCATTCAGAATTCATTAATTTCTTTCCATTTTAAATTCACCTGTACAAGAATGCGTGGTCTCTGAATAGAGGGAAACGGAACATTTTGCATGAAGTGAGAGATGTGCCTGTGAAAACAAAATATAAACAATTACATAAGGTATCATTTTCTGATCACAAGTCCAACAATGAAGTGCAAATGGCAATTCAGTGGAAATCTGTTAAGCTTGCTAACTTTTCAATCGGTAGCGCATGTGGTCCAGAGATAGAATATCTGTAGAGGAAGGTGAGAAAGCTCCTGAAGGACTGAAAAAAAGGCCAGTGGGAGAGTAGGCAGATGCTCTTGTTGCCGTAAACATTTTTGGTCCCATCAGGTCCCAGGCCAGAGCTGGGCAGCCCGAGCTGTGAGCGCTGGCGCTCGGACAGGTTCTCCTCAGGGTACGGCTCATAGAACTGGATGGCTGCTCCATACACCTGCAGACAAAAGAATCAGAATGATGATCAGCATTGAGTGCATGTGATCGTTTTATGTACATCCAAATGAAAGTCTTGCAAAGATAAACTCCGCATGAAGCGTGGGTCTTTTGAAAGATCCCATCATATTAAGTTGTTTTGACGCTTTAATAAGAGAGTTTTCAGCATAATTAATTAGTTCAACTATGCTTAGTCCTTTGAAGGTCCTTCTCCAAAATAAATGAACAAATCTTTCTGGGCTTTAAGTGCCGGGAGACTAGCCCGGTTCCAGGGAAGAGGGAATGAACACTCAGGCATTCAAAGTTGCACTCGAGACCAACCCCAAGTGGTGCATAAGATATCCATTATTCAGAACATGAGCTGCACATAAAAAAGTAAAAATCTTTTATGCTGCATTGCTTTTGAAGGCAAAAGGCCTTTTTAGGATTCCAAACACATACTTAATACCAATTTTGTAGTCCATTCAGAGTTCAGAAACTGACTGAAATAATCTTTTTTTCTTAGAATTAGTTCATCAACAAGATGAACCAGTAAAGGTATATGAACTGTGAGGGGCTGAGGGGGAAAATAAGCTAAAGAAACTGAATTAAATATGGCAATTAAGACTCAACTATGTGCATTAAAGCTGTTTCAAGGAAAAGCTGAAGGAAACTTTGAGGGAACCCCTTAACTGCTGTGATGACAAAACTGTGGTGGGAGGAATGTTATTATCAATAGGCAGGATAGTAATTTTCAACATGTCTGACGTGCACACATATGCGAGAGATATGAGTTGGTGGTATTACCTTTCCCCCAGAGGCTCCTGTGAGCACAAATGTTGAAAAAATGGGCAAAGAGTGTTTGGTGTGTGCTGGCCAGCACTCAACCATTGCTCCCATTGGCAGGCAGAACATAGGCACTGACTCAGGCAGTGGGAAGGACTCGTAGTCCTCTTCAGGGTACCTACACAATAGACCTGGTTGCAACACAACAAGTTAGAGTTTGCACAAGGATAGTGCTTATTACTGCTGTGTCCAAAACTGACCAATTTTTAAATGTAAATACTGCAGTCTAGTTTACCTGCTTTGTATGCGATCGCATTAGCTTTTGCCAGAGACTTCTTATAACAAAGATAAACTGAAGATCCCCACTGTAATACAAAGAAATACAAACCATCACAGATCAATGACAACTGGTACCATCTGTACAGACATACTCAGCAAATGTGGATTCTTTTTAGCTCACCATACTGCTGTTGAGATTTTTGTCCACCTTGCAGAAGGTGTGAGGGGGTGTTTCCCCCTTGCCAGGAACGATGACGCATACATCAGTGACGGCCAGCGAAGTGTGCGGCTGGCTCTTCGGAGCCCGGCGGTAGGTGATGTAGATACGCTGGGAGGACGAGCTGCTGATGTTGGCAGGGCGACCAGAGGGAGTGGTCTGAACAATGTGGCATCCTGGTTTCAGCTTCTCTTTCCACTCAAACAGAACCCTTAAATCAAATGTAGTGTTAGAATGTATGGCAGTTTGGGGAGCTTTAAGCAAAACTGATAGAGGGGATGTTAAGCCATAGGATATGTTTAAGAGAAGATTACAGTGACCCAAGGCAGAAAAGTGATTAGTGGTTGGTGAGCAAAAGGTCAGTGAGTGAGGATTACTCCTTACCCAAGATCTGTCAGTGGAGGCTTATCTCTGCCTCTCTTGAAGCACAAGAAGATCTGTGGGCCCCTGAGGCTAGCTCCATTGAGCTCTGCAGAGAGCCCTGAGGGGGTGCTTTCCACACAGGTAAAGCCCGGCGGAACCTCTTCACCAAGAGAACGGATCACCACAGCGACATCGGTGATGGGGGCTTTGGGTTTGACAGATTTGGGACCGGCGTCATCAAAGTGAAGATCCTCCTCCAGAGGCTTGGATGAGTCGGTGAGGCCAGCAACCACAAAGTAGTCGGCTACACGAGGCCCTTTATCCTCCATCATTTCCCATTCCCACACTCTGACTGGAGAGAAGGGGAGGGAAGAAGGGGGCTACCATTATTCATTTTATTATCAATGCAAAATGTTCTCCAGGGTAAAAAAACAACAAAAACCCCCAAAACAGGCTGTCATGAAATAACCAGGCAAAAGAGCATAAGCTGTCTTAAACAGTGTCACCTTCAAATTCCTCTTCATTAATACACTGCAATAATTTAGTGATACTTGATGTGTTATATGAAACATTGGGATGAAGCTGCACCACTGCCTGCATTACCAATACACATAAAACTTTAGAAATAACAAAACATAATGAGAGCATCTGGAAACACTCTAAAGGCATTCCTGCCTGCAAAAACAGTATTTCACTGAGAAATATGGAAACATTTAAGACCAGTGACCTCGCTACAGTATATACCATGACTGATTATGTAAAATGAAACACACGCCCCTGTGGAGAGAGGAAAGAAAAAAAGAAAGAATGTGTATGACGAGGACCAGACGTGTAGTAGAGCATTCAAAGCCTTGGTGCTTTGTGGAGCAACAAACAGCATTTTCTCAGCTTATAGCAAAGTTATGTTCAGATAGCATTTTTACGGGCTAGGCAATGTCATGATAAATGAAAGGAATAGCAGAAAGGAATAGCTGAAGCGCCTGTGAGTCAGCTTGTTATGGTTTTATCACCCAGCACGGAGGCCCACCAGCCCTCAGAGCGTCGGGCCAGCTTATTGTACTTCAGCTGAAGAGTCTGCTTTATCTCTTTCAGCAGTCCTCCACAGTCACTAGCAAACAGCTGCTTATTATTACCACCACTTTGATATGTGTCCGTTAGTGTCAAGTGTGCCCCCCCCCCCTCCGTACCGAAGTGTTACTGAACCCCGTCAGACGGGAAGCTGTGCCCATGTCTCACCTATTTAGGACTCCTTCGTCTGCCTCTATAAAGCTAATGACTCTGGCCCCTGTTCTCCCCTGTGGCTAGGTGATGGAGTATGACTGAAGCGTTTCAGCTGTCACCATGAATGAGACAAACTGAGCCCTTCATGACCTGTCAGTTATCCATCACACAAGATTTCAAACTAGTAAAGCAAATGAAGTATGGCCACCAGACAGATGGCCCTTTAAGTAATTTTGCCATCATGTTTTAATCCAACACATTTGCTGCTTCATAAACTTGTTTACCATGCACCCCCTGACAGTAATTCTATGAATTATGACTCATCAGCAAAAGGCTGCTCGTGGCCGTACAGCTTTCAACTGGCATTTGTTCATGTCTTCCCTTAGAAGCCAATCGCTCTGTTTTAATTTGTGTTATTTCAACTCTTATTTCAACTTTCCTCACAGCAAGAAGGTTCTAGGTTCAATTCCCCTGGGGAACCAGGACCTTTCTGTGTGGAGTTTGCTTGTTCTCCCTGTGCTCAGGCTTCCTCCCACCATCCAAAAACACGCATGTTAGGTTGATTGGACATTCCAAATTGCCTTTAGGAGTCAGTTGTTGGTCTCTGCGTGGCCCTGTGATGGACTGGACTAGGGTGTACCCCGCCTCTCGCCCACTGAATACTGGGATAGGCTCCAGTCCACCCCGTGACCCCATTTGGGAATAAGTGTTAAAAAAAATAGATGGATGGAACTCTATATTGTTGGGTTTTTCTGATGTCTGATGGCTCTGCAAGTGAGTCTCCAGCTTTTTTTCTCTTCTGGATACTGGTTAATTGCACAAATACTGGATTTAATTTAATTTAAAAAAAGCTCTTATATTCATCCGAGAAACTTTGGTGGTCTGTAGTCCAGGTTCTCCGAAGTAATTTAGAAAAACTGAATTTGCACGACTTAATCCTGGAAAACACAAGATGATGTGAGGGCAAATACTTGAGAATAACACTGTTTTTTCATATGACTCAACTGCCTTGCTGGAAATTTATTTATGGCTTCAAAAACATTGCATGATCACAGTGAAAGACAGTTCACAATATGAATAAAAGCTAGTGTGGTTATCTGTGCTGCCGAGACATGTCACATTAAAAAATGGTCGGGTTCAGTTTATTCAGCTCCTCGTTTTTATGACATAACAGTTCAGCCAACCTGTGAAACCCTCTGTCGGCTGTTGTTATGTGAGTGCTGATGTTGCACAGATACAGGTGATAGCGAGACAGATGTGTCACATAATGCTTGAAAGGTTTTGGATTAAATATAGATGTAATCTCCAGTTCCAACTACCACGACATCCATTGCGTGTATTCCTCCCCCTCAGCAGGAAGCACATGCCTAAAATTATATCAAATCCTCTCCATAGCAACAACATTAAAACTGAACTGTGAAGTGAAGATTGAAGAATTCGCTCTCTGATACTAAGAGACTCTGGTTATCATAAAGCAAACTGATGCCAATTTATCATCACACATATTCTATGTTTTAAGAAGCATATTACTCTGTTTAAAAACTTTTTAAAAAATCTTTAAATTACATAGATTTTCCATGACTGTTTCTTTCTCCTTCATTTCGGAACAGTTGACACTGTTGGATCAGTTAAAACAGGTGGATCAGGTGGTTTTAACTGCATATATTTCATTACTTTTAAAATTGGGACCTCCATCAGAAAGGGATTTTTCTTTTTTAAATCCTTTGAAATCTGTTTTGTGAAAAAAGGGCACTCCGGCTTTAGCCAAAGACTAGAAGTACATGACTCACAGTCTCCTCAGGAACTGCAAGCTTTTCATTCACCAGAGCTTTCTTCATAATAACTCTACATATAAGGACATGGCGGATTTCCTCTTGTTGCCAGCCAACAAACTAACTTCCCCATTAACATCCAGCATTGACATCATGAGTCATCTCCAACTGTCACTAACGCAACAATTTGGGCTGTAATGTTTTCAACATTCATTAGATTATTTAATTTCTCTAAAAGAATAAAGAATTTCACACATCAGATTTCTGCAGTTTTATATCTTGTCCTTTTTTGAGTTACTACATTACTGCAAATGTAGATCTCAACACATGTTTTAACACTGTTCTTTTCAGAATATCAGTAACTGAGTTGGAACTTCTTATGATCTTACATGGGGACTAAAATAAAGGCAGATTGTAATTTGTTATGAAAAGTTAACCAGGATTGCAGTGGAGACAAAACACAGCCTTGACAAAAGGAGGTTTTCAAGATTGAACTGCTAAAGTCTTTGAGAGTGAGAGTGTTTTGTGTCTTGAGTAGCTCAGACTACAGTTTGTGGTGCAAATGATCATGTCTCCCTTAAAAACTGCTATTTCTCTTTTACCCTCAATGGCTGAATAGTTAATATAGGGAACAGTTTTTCCTCTTTTTTCCCCTCAGAAGTTTAAAAATCGATTCTCTCTGTTTGGAGGCTTATGATCTGAAACAAAAATGATTACTTTAGAGCTGAATCGTGTTATAATTGTGACCCAAGAGACAGAGGCAGCGGCTGCTGGAGAGGGAAGCAGGCTGTGCACGGGATTACAGGGCAGTGTCAACAGCAGGGGGGGGGGGGGGGGGGGGGGGGAGGGAGGATGGGCAGTCTGAGGGAACCACCGCGACATTTATTTTACTCTGCATCTGTTCTCCCCCTGCCATGAGGGCAACCATTTGCATTCCTTATGTTTGACACAGGGAATCCTGCCCGCTTGATGAGGCGACCACACACACGCCTCACACAGCCAGGGCAGAGGGATGATGGAGAACATGCTCCAAGATGGAGCTAGAAATAGAAAAAACGCTAAAGAGCCAAACAGGATAAGCCTGCAAAGCTTGCATCGCGTGCCTGTAGGAATATTTGGTTCAATCATAAAGCCATCAAACGTTTTACTGACATAAACACCACTGACCACACCAGCTCTAGAGTTTCCCATTTGCTCAAATCTGAAGAAGCCATCTCACGGAGCATCAGGACAGGATGGCGCTCAGCAAATCACACACAAGCAACGATGCTCGGTATAATAAAATAATGAAAATGCTCGTGCAATGCACGACAGAATTTATGCAGCTACCATGCAGATATCATTTACATATGTTACACATATGTATATAACCATTCAGGAGAATCGCGTTATACCGACAGCAATCACTACAGTTCAGCCCAAACTGATTCAATTTCCATTTAAATATTAATGTCTAGAATGCTGGAATAAGCTTCGTTTATTCTTGTTTTCATTAAAAAAAAAAAGAAAATATAGAACATACTCACATCACGACGATGAGAAGATTATCTGTCGGATATTGGTGGACGTCCAAAAAACGGAGACTATGTAAATATTCCTTGTTATTTTTCTTCACTTGTTTTTCTGAATTCCCCTCCTTTTCCTTCGCTTGTATTGTTCATATAAAAGCAAAAACAATAAATCCCAGCAGGTTGGACAGACCCCGGACGGTCGGTGTAGTCCAGGGCAGCTTTATATGCAGACCTGCGACCGTCACGTGACCGATTACAACCCTCAACGACGTCACTGATGACACCGCTGGCAGCTGTGACAGAAAACCAACGTCCGAGGCTGTGAGGAAACATTTGGTGTTTCCTCAAGGAGCGGAACAACGCAACACGGTACTAGAGGCAGTTAAATAAGTTTTAGACTACCAGGAAAAATGCCCGTGAACCTAAACGGATGCCATAATGATCTGAACAAGAATATGAGATATCATATGACCCACTGCGAATAAAGACTCAAGCAACACAAACTTGTACTAAAGAGATGGTGAATTAACAAAAATGGGTCAGGGAGAAGTGCAAACGAATTTGGAAACAAACTGAGTACTTTCAAGAGGAATGAATAGTTCAGATGAATCATGTAGACTATTCACAAAGTCTTTTGTGTCTAAAAACATTGTCTACACTGTTAGTTTCTGATGACAGAATATCAATTCATCACGAGTCTAACAATCTGTCTGTATTTTAGACTTTAATATAATTTTTTGTTGTTTGGTTATTGCTCTCATGCCGTTCTGCTGACTGCTGTGTGAGGACCTGATGTGTTGCTGCTTTAAACATGTCTCTGGTGATATGTAAAGAGTTACTAACAGCTACAATAAGTTTGCAACATGCATTTGTTTAGGTCTGAAGTAGTCTAGTCTCTGGATTTGGTACTGAATATGCCATGTACATTATAACATGTAAAAAACCAGATCCTCGGTGTGTTGTGTCTCATAAGGTCAACCCTCAGCTCAACCTCTACGGATAATTGTTGGGACTGAAGGTGAAAATCCACTTATCTTACCACAAGTTACCAAGTTTACTGTGAGCTGATTCAGAAACAACCCTCTACTGCCCCCGAGTGATGATACTCCGTGCATGCAGAGGAGTTTGGGAGGGGCTCAAATATTGCTGTATCATCATTATTTTCTTATTAAATGCTTAAAATAATTATATTATTATTGTTTAGCTCTGTAGTGCCACAGATAAATGAAAACATGTCTTCCTGGCCATTTACAGATATGTAAAAGGTTGAAAACAAGTGGAGTGCGGCATATGTTTGAATAATTGTAAACTGATGAAGGCTTCTTGTTTTAACATTCAGAGTTTAAGGAGTTATAATTGGATTTTTAAAAGGAAATGAAAGTATAAATGAATCTACTAGGAGAATCTCAACGAAAACGTGAGCTCACAAAGTGAACTGCGTGCTCAGCAACAGCAGACAGAGAGAGATTCTCGTTTATCTTTCTGAGATTCAATCACACGTAGACAAAGGACCAATGACTGCAACATGTTATATCTGTGTAGAAACAGAATATGTCTTCTTTCTTATTCTGAGCCTCTGATCATAGAGAGTTCTTTACTGCCAGCACAGTCTTGGGTAATAAAATAAGGTATACTGGTTCAGTTAGTCTAAGTGAAAACACTGTAGTTAAAAAAAAGAATGATTTAGGCCTTCTAATGTAAATTAGATCTAACTAACGTAGACAGAGACATCTTGACAAATGTATTCAAATTTCAAATTCAAATTCAAAGTACCTGTCCATCCCAGACAAGCTGAACATATCAGAGTTTTTTTTAAACTGAAACTGGTTCTGCCTGAGCTGTTAGGTTTCAATATTTGATATGCATCATCCAAAAGCAATCATGTTTAATGCACTCTTCTCTTCATCCATTACTCAAGATGATTGAATCTTAAAAAAAATATTTGTAGCAAAAGATCATTTGATGTCACTGATGGAGTCAGAAGGAAGCGTTCACACAAGATGTTGTCATCTTTTCATGTTTGAAACCTTTGACAGTGGAAGTTTCTGCAGACACATCCATCCAGTGTTCTGACATAGCACGATGTTCTGATCTCAGCAGAGGGCTCAGAATGAGATTAGAATGTCTACAACAAAAAGAAGATTAAAAAAACTGCAATACTGCAGGAAGAAATCTGTCTTTGTAAGACTAGTGCCTGTGCATGAAGACCCTTTGTGTTTGGACAATTGTAAACGAGCGTTTTCTCCTTCACATTAAACATTTTAGTGTCAATCTGACAAGCTAGATTTCTGATCATCTATTACTGGCCTCCAAAAGCTCTTTGGCTATTTGAACCTCAAATAGCAAATCATCTATTCTCACACAATACTGAAATTATCCATTAATGAAGACAGAGCATCAAGTAGTTTAATTAAAAAACATGTTAATATGTCATCTTTTAAATATTGTATGTCTTTCCATGAAGTATGGGCAACACGGGATCAGTTACAGATATGAAAAGGAAACGCTCAGGTTCCACCGAGATTTGAACTCGGATCGCTGGATTCAGAGTCCAGAGTGCTAACCATTACACCATGGAACCACGTGTTTGCCTGCCGATTCCTGAAGAATTTAGCACAAGGACACAGGAATACCGACTTGGGATCTTATGAACCAATTCATCTATACATGTGTATATTAACATAAAAATCTATTGATATAAAAATCGTCCTCGTTATTTTACCGAAATAACCATTTTCTTATCTACGCCCTCAAAGACGTTCGGCTGCCGCCTGGTGGTCAATAGGGGGAATTGCATGGCTCAATTAGATAATACTGAAATGTTCTCCTATTTTGGAGAATCCAGCAGAGGAGGATCGGTATGATTTTTCATCTCAAAGTGATTAACACAATCACATTTCTAACACAATTGTCTTGAGACATAATGCTCCTGATAAAATTTTATGTAACTGAACAAAAGAGAATGGATGTATAATCAACACAAACATAAAACATTTATTTAACAGCTGTTGTCCCCTCTAACATTTGTTGTTACGCTTTGGGTAAGCTTTGGACAGTGTGTTTATGGTGTTTGTTGCATAATGTCTTGAAAAAATTGACACACCAAGGATACACTTGTGTTCCTTTCTTATTTCTAGATACAAAAATAATTTAGTAGTTGTTTGTGGAGTTACACAAATAAACTTAATAAAGTTCAGCAAGTGCATATATGGAGTTAAGACTTTCAATATTCTTGACTTGCTTGAGAATAGTCCTTGACATTTTGACTCTCATCACAACTTAGATTGATTTATATAAACAGTTTAATTGCTCTTCTATACTAATTTCCCTCATTGTAATGCAGGCTTATGTTTGTTGAAGCACAGCTTGATCTGGAATTGAGGGCAGTTATAGAGGGACTGAAAATCATGAGCTAGATTGTGATGAATACTGATTATGTATTAAGAACAGTGAAGTAATGATCCAGCTCTGGTCTGTTGGATCACCACAGTTCCTGTGGCAGGACGTGACAAAAATAAAGATCTGCAGCTGAGCTCAGCCATGGATTTAGCCTCAGCAAAGCCCAGCCACAAATCCATATTTCAATTAAATCACTGTTAACCCGATTCTGATGGCAAGTATTGATTGTCAAAATCCGAACTTTTATGCAAATAGTCACGAGTTGCTCTTTTCACATGTTTCATGCACACCCACCCTTTCCAATCCCCTCACAAATAGGCAATCGTGGCACTAAACTGCTAATGGCAGAGTATCTTGAAAGTGACAGGTTGTCCAGCTGCAGTGTGGTCAGCACCCAGGTGCATCCTGTCAGATCAAGCAGAAGTAAACCTTTTTCAATTTGACACCTCAGGTGAAAAACAGCTTTGGCTGAAAGAGAAAGCTGACAGCCAAAGTGCAGCTGAAGGGATTGTGCCTGAAACCTGCATAATGAGGGAAAGTCCCCACAACACTTCTTTGAGAACCTTTTTTTTTTACCATTTCAAAACTGAATGCACGGTCCAGCTCTTTTATGTAATTATCTTTAACTTCCAGTCATTACAACACAAAGGTGTTTGTTTACTGAATCCAGTCACATTGCTCACTTTGCACCATAACATACTGACAGAGTCATTAGTTTGTGTAATCACCTCTCCTTCTCAGGCTGAGATGCTAATTTCATGTAATTGTGGTAGAAATCATGGAGCCCATCCACTCTGTGCTCTGTATTAAGATGCATTCCAGTGAACTATTTTCTGTCTTGTAGGTGTTTACTGTCCTCACGTGTATTTATGTGACATTGAACCATAAATGATGGATAACAAAAGACACAAACAATTAGTTAAGAAGTCTTTATTAGTTAAATTTTCTCATTTACTTCAGTGAAAGGACTGAATGCATTTTTACACCAAAAGAAGACTTAATGTACCCAAGTATCTAGTTTAAGCAAGATAACTCTCCCCCAGTATGAAAATGTGGTAATACCTTCAATCTAACTTGTACTAGGTGATATTATGGGCATTTGGATTTGATATTTATCTATCTACCGGTAACTTAGCCAAACTACTGGTAACTAAAACTGTTCTAACAAATCAGGCTTTTTTCTTTTTGTACTAATAAGGGATGGTAACATATTTGTTTTCTATACTTATTTACTATAAGGCAATAAGGCAACAAAGATTACAACTGCTCTATGAAATCAAGTAGAATTTATGCTTCAAAAAGAAGAAACGAGTGCAGCACATTATGGTCAATGAGCAAGTTGAAAAATTGTGAATAAACCCATTATTCAATATGCCATGAACCCAGGGTAACTGTGCTGTATTGATTTAAATACAAGAGTTCTGAGCATTGTTACGATTAATTATTTATTTAAAATTAATACTGTCTTCATTTGGATAATATAAATTGTATTTATGGTAAATATGTCAGCAAAGAACAACATATACATTCCAGCTGACGCTGATTATTTAGATGAAACTGGGAGCAGATGTCTCATTGGGAATTAGTACCATTATGTAATTGCATATCTAATGGCACACTTGGATTTGAAATGTGAACCAGATTGGCCTAGAATGGCTCAGAAAATCAAAAACATATCATGTTTCTGTCCTGGGCCTCAGCTGAAAAGCAAAACACAAGTTCCCCTGCCGCAGTAATCAAACCTGCATCAGTTGCAGAAACCTGCATTCGATGCAGTTTGCAAGAAGTTAGAATTTTACCCCGCTCAACGTCTCCCCAGTTTTGAGTCTGACTACCGTTAAAGCAGGTCATTGCTGCATTTGACTCTCCCTGCCCATTTAAACTGTTAAAATTACATGTTTTTTCTATATCATGGAGGCATTCAGCAATCTACAAAATCAATATCCATCTTGAGAGCCCATCTGGCAGCAGTTTGATCTTGTGTTTTTATGTTTCTCTTTCTTTTTAGCGCCGTCCACACCTCCTGACTCAACTTCTTTTTACTCAGGGTTTGTTGGCTGTCATTTGGGTGCATGCTCATCATCTATAGCACTTTGGAAATCTGCTGCTGCTGAGCAACACCTCAAATGCAGAGAACTGGCTTAATGAGGCTTTGTCCAAGTACAAAGACGTGTCATTTATCCCATAAGAATAATTTATGACAGCCACAGTTCCTTAGTAATACATACTCAACACGTTCACCTTGCCTTGGACATTGTTTTCACAGCATGTGTTGCATGTTTAAATCAGTTTATTCAGTTAATGTTGTGGTTGAGTTCAGGTGGTTCTTGGAAATATGGCCTCCATTAACATGTGACAGTGTATGGTCCAGTATTGCATCAATTTAACTGCCCTGATGAAAGGTTTGTTTGTTCTAACAGGCTGAGTTCACATTTGATACTTTTAAGAAATCTAACTTTTTTCTTTGTGTTTCAGCGATGATGTATTTTAGCAGTGACATTATTCAATTCTAAACTGTGCTATCTGACAGAGATCCGCCCATATTGGTGGACACAGGATGATCATTTCCATGAAATTAGATAGAACTTCCAGCATTTAACACTTTATCTTGCTGCAGTGATGAACTCCTGATGGAAAACTGGAGACTTTCACCGTAGCTCATATGAGAAACTAGAAGGTGGGCACGGTCAGAGATTAAACAGACTCCAAACTTTCAAATGAGAGAGGCAGTGACAGGCTACTTTTTGTCTAATGTCAGTTGATCAGTGAATTATACATACAAAAGAGTTTAATTCCTGCACACATCCCACAAGGCTGAGGCAGAGAAATTCCTTAACATCACTTGGTACAAAGTATATACATGTTTTTAAAAAGCACTGTTGTCATTTAGGAGATATATTAACAAGCTTCTCAGAACTAGAACTAGATGTAGACTACTTTCAATGTAATTTCTTAGTCTAATAATTTTTAGAATACTTTTCTGAAATGTTTTCCCTCATGAGTTTGCAAGGTTTCTATTGAGAATTATTATGGTAAATTCCTCACTCAAAGGCTGTGAAGAGAACCCAGTAACCCAATCACGTTTATCATTACTTAGACATCCTGTTTTCTTCTTTTATCACATGTATTGACCTGATTGAGACAGGTTTCTGATGGCAGAATAGGTATTTAATTTGAAACTTAGAAACCAAAACAAAAACCATCTTTGATATGACAGCAACCAGAAAAACTGTCCTGAAAGGACAAACAATCAAGTAAAATATGGTGAGCCTTTTCTACGCTGGTTAAAGATGACATAATTACGTCCAGCAATAATGAAATACTGGCTGTGCATCGATTGTCAAAATGTTATTGCTTCAACAGAGAGTGAGATGGCATTCACATAATCAATGAGCAAATCCAGTTCCCACGAAGAAGTTAAATAGCCCAATGTAAACATAAAATCCTATTTTTAATGAATTTTTACATATGGTTACCTTGGTGAATGCTGCACAGGGGATTTGTGGGTCTTAAACTGGTCATATGATTTTTTTTTTCAATCTACAATTTGACAGAAAGAGAACATTTTAAGTGACTTCAAAAACAGCTCACAAAATGACACTGCTAATCTCACAAGATAAATTGTGTATTATCTACATTAGTGGGTATCCATTATCTGATCATGCTCATCTTTTTTTTATTCTAGTCACACTGATTAAAAAATAACACCATCAATAATATAAATAAATACTTAAAACAATTGCCTTTATAAATACAAAACATAAAAAGGTCAAAGCAATCAATTCTTAACATCCAAAATTCTGAAAATGTAAACAATGCAAGAAAAAAGCTTCCACATAAATAAAAAAACAACAACAACACAGGATTGTAGCACTTAATTTGTGTGGGAAAAAACAACTTTAAACTGATTCAGTGTCTGTGACTTTGAGTAATGTGATATATGCATGAATACTGGTGACCCAAATACATGTCCAAATACACATGGCCTCATTAACAATAAAACTTAGCTTACATTAGTATTAACTGTGTGATCATTACTGAACAGTGAACAGTGTATACAGAACCATTACAATATATTCCTATTTATCCATGTTTTCTCAAACTGGGTTGACTCTCAGCCATCTAACATATAGGACAGAGAAATAACTTCTTTTGCATTAAAAAGTCTTCACTTCAGGGCTGATGAGCACAAACAATTCACATTGCTGTACTGCAGTCTGCAGCTGCTGCACATCGGGACAACTCATACACAGATGTTTGCACATCATTAGTCTTTGCCCACTTTGACATAGTCAAGGCTGCAATCACTTCCATCCTGTAGGGACAATCGCTTCTGCTTCAGCGATATTATAAACACTTGGTTGCTCTTGAGTAATAAACCTATATCATGGGATAAAAATGAGTGTGCCCTGTAAATAAACTGTTCACCCATTTCATGTATTCTGCCCTTAGCTGTGTTTTGAACAATAATGTTCCACTTCAGGAGGTCCATAAACAGGCCAGGCAGCAAACTGAGTGATCAGTAATATAAGAAAATAAAATCGGTGAATGGTCGCTGGTGTGTGTGACACTCCCCCACCCCTTGTTTCCTTCAAGGGGAACTGAAAGAGTGCAAGTGAGGGAACCAAAGAGACTAGGTTCCAGAGAAGCTGTAGCTGTCACTCCATCTCAACATACCGGTATCTAATTGAACTCACACGGACACAAAGCAAGGGCCGCTGGCTGAAAGTTAAATTCCCAGCTGCCGGCATGCTATCGTTAACAGGTGGAGGTTGTACACTCTAGAGTAAAGAGCTGGGGCTCTCCGGGGGTGGCGGAGGTGTGTGTGTGGGGCTATGGCGCATGGGAAGAATGTCGTAGTGGCTGGGGATGTGGCTGCTGCAGGGAAGGTCATAGGGGCTCTGGGAGAAACCGGTGGCCATTCCATTGGGTCCCTGTAGCACATTCACAGTTGGCTCTGTGAGAGTTTAGGGAAAAAAAAGAAAGGATAAAAACGCACGCCACAGGTAAGTCAGCAAGATTTAAAAAACGCATGCACAGGGTAATGTCAAAGAGAAAGAAGTTGTGCGTGTAGTAGAGAGCCAGGTCATATTTCCTCTTGGGAGGGTTGAAATGTTTGTACAGGCCCACTGCATATGGCCAAATAAACCATAAGCAGGGCCCTGCTGAGTTCCACACGAGAGAAAAGACACACTCACCAACATCATAGACATTCCTGCTCACAGTGCCCAGGAGGGTGGCGGTGCCTCCAAAGGGCACTTCCCGGTGGGAGGGGGATTTCATCTCCACATAGCTGCTTTCTGTGTGCTTGCAAACCAACCCCGGTGGGTCTCTAATGGTGGCATATGGATTGTCACTATTCAGAGAGCAGGAGCTGTTGCTGCACATGGAGCTCTTGATATAATCTGTAGCAACCACAAGACAAAGACATACCCAGCATCAACAAAGATGATTGTCCAAGACTTAGAATGGTGGTATCGATACTGGAATCTAAACAGATATCTCGGAGAAGAAAAGAGAATAGAAATAAACCAAAGTCGCTGAACTTCTTTTGACTCTGATGGGTGACTAATGGCGGTATGTAGTAATCAGAATACAAAGGAGAGTCTGGAGGGACCATCTCATCCATAACAGTCTCATCAATCTGATAAGAGGCCTCATTAGAGGCCACAGCAAAGCCCTCTTCAAACCCTTGGGTTCCTCACATTCACCACTGACTGCACAGTGTAGGAGACAAAGTGACGTATCAAGCATTGAGGCATAGAAAGCAATTACTCTTCAAATAAAACCTCGGACCACCATGATCTTATCTTAAGTGTGGACAGCTTTTACACAAATCATATAGAACTGTAAGGTGTGAGAATATAGGAGCTGTAAACAGCAAATGAGAAAACCAGAACATGTTTTGTCAACCAAGAGAGGTTTAGTAATTATGCTCTTAATGAATTAATACATTTTGAATTGTACAAGATGCAAAACACAAACAAACAGTCCCTACAGTTAATTATTTACCTTTTCTTGAACTTCTTTGTGTCTGTGGATCTCCCTGTTGAACATCTGGAAGAACGCAAGAAGGCAAACATTGAATAAATTCCCCAATATAAGTGAACATTGGCAGCTAATGTCGGATGTATTATTTTTGGAAGAATATAAGCAAAATAATGGCTTGGTTGTAATGAAAATGTAATCTGCTTCCCAGTCCCCAAGGCTTACAAGCTTACATCAATGAGTACATAATGGGATATTTGACAAATAGCACACATAACAAAAGGAGAACGAGGATCATGTTAAAGGGTATTTGATCTATTAGATGCATTTTGACCTCTCATAAGAATCAATATAATATTTGCCTGGACACAAATTGGAAATGAGCAGATCAAGCCATCTAAGTAAAAGTAAAATATATCCAAAAATGGCTTTTAAATGTTTTCATGTCTTTTTTAGATTTCCTAATTTTTATGCCCATTCATTCCAAGTAGGGTCGCTGGAGCCTGTCCTAGCTGTCACCGGGTAAAAGGCGTGGTACACACTGGACTGGTCACCAGTCCGTCACAGGGCCACAGAGAGACAAATGAGACAGATAACCGTGCATGCTCACGCTCAGCCTAACGGGCATGTTTTTAGAAGATGGGAGCAAGCTGGAATATCAATGTATTAACAGGGAACATATACAAACTTAGAAAGGCCCCAAGCCAAGATTCTAACTAGATAACCTATTTGTGAGGTGACATCACTAGGAAAAGTCTATGTTGTTAAAATTGATCCGGACAAGGTTTTCCACATTTGCAGCTATTTTCTGTGTACTCACTGGTCTACACTACATGGTGGTCAGCAGGGAGAGTTCGAGTTGAAGCAGTAATACAAATAAATAATAGAACTGTGCGAAATATCTTTTTCATCTACACACTTTTTCAGACTGTAGGTTTTGACCCAATCCAAGTCATCATAGCTACTGGGTGAAGGAGTACTAATGAGTTCACAGTGACCCCGATTTATTCTAGTTTTATGTCTCTGTTCAACCCGGCATATCTTATCAAAATCAGAGCAAAGGTTACGTTTAACAAGAAACGCTATGGTTCATCTTCATTCGAAGCAGCCTTCTTTCAGTAAAAGGTCTATGTTAATGACACATCTTTTTGCCCTTGAATTGAAAATCTTGCACATTTCTGCCTCCAAGTCCAAAGTCAGTCAGTATGTGGTGTGAAATGACAAGAAAGATCTTTCCTAACCTATGTCATTGATGTTGCAGTATGCTCTCCATTCAGACCCATTTCTGCTTTTCAGGGTGCTTGACTGTGAAAAGGAGAGCATAAATGGTCATTTTCTTTGTGCTGTGATATTAGAAAATTAAATATTGTGTGAACACCAAAGTTGAATGTCCTTACTTTGAGTGTCAGAGTGTTATCCAGGCTGCTGGAAATGGTTGATACGACATTGCACTGAGCCACCGTGTGGTAACTGGGATTGTTGAAGCACTGGCTGCTGGCGCTCTGACCCTGGTTGGTGTCTGGGCCGCTGGTTCTCATTGCAACCGTACTGCCACACTCTGAAAAGTGTATAGGTCGATACATTTAAAATATGTAATGTAAACTCGTCACATTGTCGTGTGGTATTGCAACAAATAAATTATGATGCTACACATCACATGCAACACAGATAATATGATATTTAGAATTTAAGAAGATTTAAAAACTTTGTGTATGTGAATGAAAAATATATAATCAATTAGCAAAGCATAGCAGAATCTTAAATATCTCACCAGAAAGAGAATAGTCAGTGCTGTTAATTTGCATCGCCTGTGTGTAGGACACACTGGGCTGAATCTCATGGCCCTTGTCCCTCTGCCTCTGTCTGTACCACACAAACAGACTGAGCATGGCCATAATGATGAGAAGGAGAAAGATGATTCCCATGACAGCCCCTGCGGACTGGCGCTCTGAGACTCGTGCTGGGCTAATCTTAGTGTATGGGTTGAGCTCTTCCATCATCAGAGCTGCTACATTGAAAACACAGAGAGTGGGTAATCGAAATAATATAAACACATCGGCGTTTGAGCAATCGTGCATCGCAAATTGTCATCCAATCCCGTCACCTCTCACCTTGATCACAGCGGATGCCTTTGTATCCAGGGCTGCAGTAGCATGTTCCAGTCACATAGTCACAGGTAGCATTGTTCAGGCACTCACACAGCTGCTGGCAACCATATCCAAATGTACCAGCAGGACACTCTGCATGGCAGAGAGGTGCATTACCACATCCATCCAAATTAAAACACTTGTTGACCAGGAGCCAAAGTGTTTAGAAAAAAAAAACATAGGGACACATCTACTGGGTAATTTTACTAAACTGTGTTGGGCCTACTCAACTCTGCTCACAGCTCGTCCCAATGAAACCAGTTCGACAAGCACACTGGCCGGTGATGTGGTCACAGTCTGCTCCGTTCTGGCACCGACAGACTTCAGCGCAGTCCCTGCCATAGAACCCTGAAGGACAGCCTGGGACAGAGATGTATAAAATGTTTGGGTGGGATGGGGAATAGAAAAGAAAGAGAAGGGAAGACAGGAGTCAAGGTCATATCTCAAGGGAACAGAAAAATCAATACAATTCAATGTCTCTGCTGCATACCTAATAAGGGACAATGCGAATGAATGGAAATGAAAGATTTCCTGCTTCAGCAGAAATTCAGTTATGCTGTTAACATAACCCAGAGGTGGAGATAAAGAACAAGCAACTAGAAATGGTAAATGTCTGAGTGAGGAAAACTAAAAGAAACCAGTGTGATAAATGTCTTTTATGCACAATACAAAGATGTGGACACTAAAACAGAATTGAATAAACCTTCAGGGTTATGGATAATGGAAGAAAATTACAGTACCGATGATGATCTTCACTATCGCTCGGGTTAATGATTGAAATGTATCATGAGCATAATAATGAAGTGACTATTAGTTTTAGTTTTATGGTGCTTGCCCTTTAAAATTCTAAATGTAAAAATCAGATCCTCTAGTTACAAAAAATGTCATCGCTTCCTTGCTGGGTGGTGCTGTTTCTCTGGATGACCAGTAGATGCCACTGTGTGTCCGTCAACTGGAATGTAGAAACTCACGTTGTGTGCAGTAGAGACCGGTCCAGCCGGGGATGCACCTGCACTCCCCATCATAGGCACTGCACTGGGCTCCATTGTGACAGTTACAGGAGTTCAGACAATCAGGGCCCCAGTGCCCAGAGGGACAGGCTGCAGATGCCAGAGACACAGTCAACTTCATGGTCATACACTCGCCCACATTTACTGCCTACCCTAAGACTTGCTTGCAAATACTGAACACTTGTTTGAAGTCAAGTTGAGACACTTTCCACATATTCATAATATATAGTACAATTCCAGCATTCCCTGTGGAAAATCTGGAGCGATCATTACCCTCCACCCGCCTGTATCTTACATCAGACAGGCAGACATAGGTGTCAGTTTGAATATCTGTTAAGGATTACTTCTTAAGTTATTTTCATTTTAAGTACTGTACATGCACACACACTAAATACACATCAATTTCCCATGGCATGGCGGCTCAAAGCTCTGCTAATGATCTTTGGCCCATGGTGCACTAAATCAAAGAGCATAATGTATTACAACAACCATTTAAGCAAGCTATGTGTTTTACATCATCTGTGGCCGAGGGCAGCTCTTGTGAATGCGTAGGGTCATGAAAATAACCAATGTGTATGAAGGTAAGTGGGTGAAAGAACATAAAGACAAGAGACAGACAATGGAAATTTGGGAAATGGGAAAATATTGGAAACAGAAGGAGCGACACCATACCCTGAGAGCAATCTTCTCCAATCCAGCCAGGGAAGCATTGGCAGGAGCCATCGATGGGGTTGCAGGTGCCGTTGTTAGTACAGAGGCAGATCTCAGCACAGGCCCTCCCGTATCTGCCGTTTGGACAGACTGCAAAATAGGAAAATTAATAGAAATATCACTTTACAAACCTGAGCAAACCTGATCAGCTCATCACTGTGAAACCCATTAACAACTTGACATCTAACTTTGGTGCGTTACTGATAACATATTTATGGGAACAAACAATTCTGGTATATGTTTTGTGGACATTTAGTTGATGGGCCACGTTGTTGTATTTGAATTAACGTAAAGTGAATTGATCTGTTTAGACAAAAGAAGGAGATGATCTCTGCCTCCTGTGGCACTATTGCCCTATTTCCACCCACTAGAGAGGAATGAGTGATGCACCACAGTATTAAAATAGACCATGTACACACACTACTGTATAAATAATTCATGAAATTAATTTTTCAATACACTCCGGCACTCTTCCATAAAATATATAATTTCCAGTGAAGCCTCAATTGTGTTTTTTGGGAGGACCACGGGGCAAATGGTACTAAGGTGTATCTATCCATCAGCATCATGGAGCTGCAGCACAAGCCGATAGATTAAAGGTCTCATATAAAGAGAGTAGCCCAGTGTAAGAAATATCTGATAAGGTGGCAGACTGTGAAGGAGATGGGTCGGACTCATTTTCATGTAGAGTGATTTTAATGATTATATTTCTACTGGCTTTCCCTTCTTCTTGAGAGCTCTTTCAAGCTCCTTCAAGCAGGTTGTCATTAAGCCATGAGGTTGGCTCCCCCATGCTGCTTGTGGGGATTCAAGCCTCAACTCACTAGGAGAGCTTCATTAGGCTGGGACTTTGTGTGCTGGACGGAGGACAAGTGAGGACGCCGATGGGGCTCAACAAGAGGAGAATGTGCTTGTTGTTAGCCACCTTCGTCCCTTGTCGCCTAACGCCTGCTCAACAGTAATTATAGCCACGACAAATTAGGACTGGCTCTCATCTTTACTTTTTTCTCTTCCGTCAGCTAAGCTATTAAACTTTTATTTATAAGACACATCTAAAAGCCATGAAAGAGAATAAAAAAATCCCCCACTGCCTTTCTGTAATTTATGAAAAAGTGTTAAATTATACAAAGTGAAAATCTATAGCACATTTGAGTGTATGAGTCTTATCTAATGCTACAATTTAGGGCCAATGAGGAGCCACTAACAAGGCAAATACTGGATGTTTGGATACAAACTGTCACACATACGCAGATGTTGAGATGGAACATACCTATCAAATTTTGATGCCCGCTGAATACAATTCAGGTCCTGTAGGGGCTGTGGCTTATGCCAGCTGTCAATGGGGCAGTGGCTGGGTACACCCAAAAAGGGGTCAGTAGTCCTTTACCGTGCCAGGCAGACACAACTATGCACACAAGCCCTCATTCCTTAGGAGGATTTGCATGTGTATCGTGAGAGGAAGCCAGAGTATCCGGTGGAAAACATATACATGCGAAGGTGATACAAACGTCACCCAGAAAGAGCCCAGCTTGGGATTGAACTAGGAAAACCTCCTGCTGTAAGGCAATAACATTGCACCACAGCCGATCAATAAATGGACAAACTAGCACAACCAAACTGTGCTCGAAATAGTTTTTATGATATACATAAACAATTTACCCACAACTGTTTTTAATTCTTTAAACATTGTTTCAAATTGTGACTAAAAATGTTATTGGAGCTTATTTAAAACATGTACAATATTGGCTCAGCTAGTGATGGTTGATAGGGTGAAATTATACATGACTTAAAGAGTAATAGGTAAACTATACATATTTTTGCCAAAACCAAGAAAAATATAGTTTTTATTTCACTTTTCTTTTTTTTTTGCACAACAAGGTCTTACCATGTAATTAAATCATCACTGAGGCAATTCACTAAAGACAGATTGCCTCGGAATTAAATTCAACAAGAGGAACAGATGTGTCCATGAGTTAGCTCTTTGTCTTTGTATATTTATGAAAAGTAATTTACATGCTGCTCTCTTTGCTGAGGAAGGTTGAGGGACGTCAATATTTACACAACTTTTTTTTTTTGTCTGAAAAGGTGGGTCTCAGCAATTTTCAACTTTCTGTTTAAAGGCTAATTTATGTATTCAATTTGGAGTGCACAAACGCCACTACTTATTTGTAGTTTGGAGTTTAAAGATGCCAGTTGGATACAAAACAGTATGACATGTACATGTATGAAAATGTACAGATGTACTACGACAAAATGAAACAGTGACATAATAGATGTAGCTGACCCTAAAGCATTGGTAGTAATCTGAAGTATCAGCATTTAAGTAACATTTATCTAATTAGCAATGTTTCTCCAATATTATTCAGTTAATGTATTTAAAGTCAGACTTTTTGGCTTTTTTTTTTTTTACTATGTACATCACGGTAAAAGCATTTAACCTGTTTATATGCTACAAAAGGCCAGAAGGACTGCGAGAGATACTTGCCTTGGCTGCACAAAGAGCCAGAGAAGCCGGACAAGCACTCACAGTGGCCAGTGACATGATGGCACGGCCCGGTGCTGTGGACACACTGTGGACACGACTGGCTGCAGCGTTTCCCGTAAAACCCAGGAGAGCAGACTGCAGCCCAGCCGAGTGTGTCGAGAGAGGAGAGAGAATCAGTCACCAATGTTGGATGGAACAAGAGGTATATAATTATGAGACACAGCATGACAAGAGCGATCAAGGGAGTAGTGAAAAATCAAGGGCTGGAGGAAATATATCAGCAGAGAAAGGGAGAGAAAGAAAAGGGAGGGTGAGAGGCAAAAAAGTCAGTCTTTATTGTAATCACTGCCATTTTATCTGTTGCCACAGAGGGAATAGTAAAAGAGTTAAGAGAACTGGGAAAGTCTGTTTAATGCCAAATCTTAAAGAACAGCTTTATGATCTAAATATGTCAGGAAATAGACAACTGAGTGTTAATAATACAGATTTATTTTGAAAAATGTAAACCACGAGAGTCAAATGCTGGCATAAAGGTTCAGAGATCATCAATGTGCTGCCATCATGAGAGGCTTAGGTATCAGAGTTATTTTCCAGTTTCTTTTAGGGATGATTTATACTCACGGGACATCAGGGGTTTCCTGAAATAGACTCTTTTAGGAAACTGTAGTCAGGGCTACGGTTTGACAACCACTGTGAAATTTACCCAGGGGGTTCAGATTATTTTCAAGCGGCAGGTAGAATACATTTCATCTGCCTCTGGAGATGTAATCCTTCAATTTACCTTTCACTGGGAAAAAAGCCTCCCCCATAAACACTGAATTGCATTGATGAGGTTGTTACCTAATCAGTAAATTACCTGTCTAAATATTGAATTTGTCGGAGTATTCATTTCACATAGGGAAAGACTCGCACACATACAGACAAATTGCTTGTTTGAGTCTCTCTCTTATATTCTACTTAAATGGATGTTTACAGGTTTGTGACTGTGAATGTCTCTCCTAATCAGTGAGCTTCTCACTTGAGAGCAGCTTCAGACAGGCTCCTTGCAGAAACCGGAGTTGGCGCTCCCTGTGAGCATGCTCACTGATGAGCCTCAGGCGAGGACTGTGAGTCTCCCACTGTGAGCTGGTTGTTAAGGACAGTGTAGGAGGGTGTGAATTATGTGTGTTTGTGTGCATGTGTGCGTGTGTCTTGGGGATGCCGTAGGGATAAAGACACTGTGATTAAGTGATAGCTGTGATGAAGGATTTACGCTCGAGCCATTATGTCCGACAGCTGAGTGCCACTCCTCAGTGGGCAAACACTTTAACAGTTCTTTAAAGATCAAAACAAGGTCAGCGCTGTGATGGAGTTTGTTACTGCTCTACCCCCGACTGGCCAACGGCTCTTTCTTTGGGCTTTGGATTAAGAGAAGTTTCTTTGATAGAGAAACGGAGACTCACTTCTTTTGCACGAGGTTCCTCTGTATCCAGGTGCACAAACACATGTGCCATCCTCAGGAGAGCAGGACCCTCCATTCTGACAGGAACAGCTGACTGAACAGTTGGGTCCCCAGAAGCCTTGTGGGCACACATTATCGCAGTGGATTCCTCCAGGCACATTAACAAAACAAATATTCAGTGAATGCACACTAAGATGGCAGAAGACTGGCAAGTTGAAACCTTCCCAATCTGTAAAAGCACATCGTTACAGGGCTGTGTTCACAATGCTTGGCCTTAACAAACCTCTGCAGGTTTATTAAACCACCACGGATCCTCAATTGGTTTTAGTCCTGAATAAAAAATCTTCAGTTTGAAGTGAGGTTTTTTTTTTTTCATTTTAGCTCAGCCCATCTTTCACCCTCCGATTCTCCTTTCCAAACGTATTTTATATTTGATCTGACTGGGGCTTCTTGCCAGTGCACTGTGTTGATTAACAGGGTTGGGTCCCACGAGAGCCAGAGCTAGTCTCCCATTCTCTTTCAGCGAAGCTAGAGTTGTGTGCAGAACTGAGGGGATATACTGAGGCTACAAGAGCACAGTCTGGAAGTGTCACAGTGTGTTTTTTATGGCTCTGGCCAACAATTGAAAAACACTGCATCCATACAGGGTTTTCACTGTGCACATGAATGCATTAGCACATCCATCAGTGCAGCACGTTTTTTTCAACCTCTCAGAAAGATGGGATGAAAGGAGAAAAGTTACCCATGGTGTGCTACATACAGACATGTAGCTTCATAAAATGTAATATTCTGAATATCAGTGCGGCTGCACGTGCACGCACATTGTGACACACTTAAGCACACACATGCAAACTCTGCAACCTCTCAAGCACCAACTATGTTCGAAGCCTCATTTGAAATTTCCTTTGAATGAGAATATCTGAGAAAGGTGAGGCCATTAAAGCAGCATTAGTGCAGTACCTTTGAATTAAACCTGGACCAAACTCTTGGGAATAATGTTATACAATAAGCATGGCACCTTAGGGCTGGTATTGAGGAGCAAAGGAGAGGAAATGTTAGCACTGATGGGGTGGAGGGTGATTTAGTCAGGAGCCAAGCCGTGGACATCAAAAGGAGGGCAAGGCATGTGCAAGGGTGTTTGAGGTTCTGCTAGACCAGCCAGAAAAATAACTGAGACTGCCTTTGCTCTTAGAAAATGAATGCAGACAGAGCATCACATTTCTCAGTCTAATGGCGACAAACAGAGGGGCTCTGGATGTCTTGTGAGAGAGAAGAAGAAAGAGTGAGAGAAGCCAGAACTGAAGTCTCTTCAAAGGAGGATTTTTGCTGCAAAGTGCCAGAGGTCCCACGATCCAATTTGTACAGAGTGAGGATTGAAAAGCAAACTTCTCATTCCCTTTTTAGCCCTTGGTCTCAATGCATATAAACACACAATCAGTTTACCTGCTCTATGACATGGATTAGGATCTTAAAAGTAAGAGGTGAGGTCCTATTTAATAATGGCTTGCATGAAGTCCCAGTATCAAGAGTCTTATTACAGAGTTCTTGAATTTTTTTGTTGGCTGATGTCATGCTTACAAGAGCCCAGCAATAACTGTGTAGGCCAAAGACAGCTTACCCACTTGCATGTATACACTCCTAAAGTCAGGCTGCTAGAAAATCAGTGCAAACCTCACAATGAAACCAACAAGTAGACTGCAAAATGTCATTTCAACTGTGAATGAAGTTCACACGGTGTTGACATCACCGAAAAAAGGCAATTGTACTTTCTGTAAATAACCATTTCATTCCATCTCTGACTTGGTCCCGTGATGAATTCTATGGAGTCCTCTCCTTTGTGATTCAAGTATGTATGCGAGTGTGTGTGTGTTTGTCTGACCCAATGGACTGCACACTGCCCTGAGCCCTGCACCCTGGTGACTCAATTAAGGCTGACAGATGGTCCCGACCTGTGCAGGATTCAGAGCATGTGAGGCCCGTTTTTGCCGGATCTGTTCTTGCAGCTAATAAAACCCACATTGTTTCCCAGAATAAATGCCCTAAGCTCCGGGGGCTGAATGAAGTGGGCCTCTGAGAGCTCATGGGCTTGACCTTTTCTCCTGAATCTTTTCCCTCCCTGACTGCGTCTCTCCATCCAAACTCAGAGAGCTGGTCCTTTGCTTGTAGTTGACATTCAAATACAATACTTCTTTTTCAGGCATCGTCATCCTCAGCCTTGCAATGAAATTCGCATGTTTCTACTACCAACTTTAACCTTGTGATCAAATGTTTTTAATGATAAGAAACAGAGTACATATGCACATATAGAAAAGAAAAAATACAACTATCGTAGCCTGTGTCCGGAAATCAAAAGAGCATTCTGAGCCAATCATTTGATTAAGTCTTTAAATAGTTATCTGATGACTCAGCTCAGTCATTGTGCATAACCAATGAGCAAGGCTTATAAGCTTGCATATCAGCATTCAGTGTATCAGCCAACAGCTTTAATTTAGAGCTCAGTTCTCTACATATCTTATTTGACAACGCCATGGGCTCATTGGCAGAGCAAACCAAACATTTAATTAATGAAACGTTGCTTTGATATTCTGTAAACATACTGTACAAAACAAATCTTGAATGCCTATGCATAATTTCCTTTTTGGAAATTATGCCTGGTGCCTGACAAGCATCTGATATCTTTGATTTTGAGCTGATGAGGATAATTCATGCATACAGCTCTGATCTGTGAGCTCTTTTTGGCACAGGATGGGAGCTTGCTCATATATCTGAAGCAGTACTGACCTGTCCATCCAGGGTAGCAGCGGCAGTAGCCAGTCACGGGGTCACAGCCATCCGCATGGCTGCAGTCACAGCGTTCACGGCACTCCAGCCCATATGTGCCGTCCTAAGAATGAAAACTACGATGTTAAACTTTTAAATAGCAAAGCTTGGCAGCCAGTATAGATCGCAGAATGACCTGAAATGCTCAAGATTATTCGATCTTTCACAGCATTTCCCCCACATAATAAAGACTTACAGGGCAGGACTCATCACAGTGCACCCCCCTCCACCCAGGGGAACAAGAACAGGTGCCATCTGTAGGGTCACATGCAGCTCCATTGCTACACAAGCATGTTTGGTTGCAGACCAGACCCCAAGTGCCACTGGAACAAAGGATGGAACAGTCCACTCCCTGCCAGCCTTAGTAACAGAGAGCAAAAATGCATTAGATTGGTCCGCATTATTGATTCCAAAGCTTGCATTTGAACCCTGAAGATAAACTACAATTGAGTGGATCTAATTAAAGCGATAACCAAGAAAAAAGTTTGTTCCCAAGCTGGCAGCACAACTCTAAGACTGTCACTTAGACAGACTGATTATAGACTGATATAACTGTAGAATGACCAGGAAAATTTAGGAGAATTAGGCATAGTTACACAAGCGAAAAACAAATCTATTTGTACTTTGTTGAGTTTCTCAACATTTCTTAAGTTAATTCAGTTTATTCAGAGTGTTTAAATCATGTGTTATCAGGTCATTGGTAACCTCTATAAGATTTTTTTTTCTTTTGTGTCCTAAGATGTTTTCTGTGATCATGTAACTAGATAGATCATTGCAATGTTTTTATTAGGGTTCAGTATCTTGCAACTGATATTTCAGCATGTAGACTGGGAAAACTATTTTTGAAAATGAGGTGTGTTGGAACAGAAAAAGTCTCACTAAACACTAAACTGGAGACTGGGCTGCTGGCAAGTGTAGGCAGCTGCATTTGCCAAAGAGGATACAGAAAAACAACAAACAGCACAGACTACAGTAGGGTTGTGTGCTTACATACAGGATCTATTGTATGTGTATGAATGTTTACCCATGTGAGAAATCGATCTGTCAGGCCAGGAAGAGAGCAATAAAGTTAGTTCAGCACATCTCATAACATGAATGACTTGTTCCAAACTTCTTCCATGGGTCAATTATTCTTACCTTCCCTGCAGATGCAGGAGCCATCGATCGGTGAGCAGGATGCATGATTGTGGCAGGAGCACGTTGACATGCAGTTTGGTCCAAAAAGACCAGGTGGACAGATTGTAGCACAGTCCTCCCCCTGTAAAGGACACAGTGCGATGTAATTTAGCAAAGAGTTTGCAATGACTGCTGACTTTTGTGTACTCAAATTAGATACTATGGCGTGAACAGCTAAGGATCAAAGACAAAAAGGGTTCATGGTGTTTTTATATAGTTCAGTGACTTGCAGATAAGATGGATCAGCATACAGAAATGGAACAAATTGACTGTACATGTGAAGAGAAGTTCAAGGGAAGAGCCACACTTTATCACCCCAAGCAATCACTTGCTGCCTTCCAATTATGCACTCTGTGTATTCTGACCGCACCAAACTACAAGCATTACCTTTTGCAATCCTGCTTCATGCCATTCCTCAACTTCTTTCTTCTTGTTTTCCCCTTAGATGGGCTCTACTCTACTGGCTCTACTGGCAAGTGTCCAAAGCCCAGGAACTTACACTCCTCATCCACCCTTGTCCGCCCGATGAATGACTGAGCCTGCTTGTCAGTCAACCCATTTTCACTTCATTAATACAGCCATTTCTGTTCTCAGTACTCTGTATTTATATAGGATGTCGTCCTTGCCTTGTGAAATAAGTGGTGGAAGACTGAAAGCCTCTGTGAGCATATATCTCGTAAGTGTTTTTCAGTTCTGACATTTCGGGTAAGGCAGGGCTCAGAGAACAATATATGTGTGCTTTGTCTAGCAGTATTTCTTCTTACAATGCCTTCACCAGATGCATGTTACTGCTGGAGCTTTTAACTGGTTCATTACCTGGGGCCAAAGTGAAACTCCAAACAGTCTCAACCCATTTTTGATATATCTAAAAAACCAGATCTGATACACTTCAGATGCATGATAAAGAGTGATCAGGATCGAGTGGATTTTATTTCCTCATTCAGTCATCTTGCCTTATATAACAGTTGGATTCCTACAAGATTTGCTAGGTCACAAGTGTGAGAGAAACCATCTTGTGGCCATTTTTATAGGGGTTTAAAGTAATCAGCTGCTTATACTGGCAACAGCAAGCTGACCACAATGCCATTAATCTCTGCTTCTAAAGAATAGTTTATACGCTGTGACATCAGCACTATCAGAAGGTTAAAGTAATCCTCAGTTTAAAGGAAAGCAAATACAACAATTAAGGCTTTCTCCCTTGATTGGTTTAAGGGTAGTTTGATTTCTAAAAAAAAGAGCAATGGCCATTACAGCCAGTCAGTGAAAAGTGCCACCCCTTTTTCAAAAAGTTTGTACTAGTTCTACTTAACTTACTTAACTTTTTATAATGCAATAATTCTAGTACAGATCTTCATGTCTGTACTCGAGTTTTTTTTAATGCTGACCAACTCTTTTCACCTTTTTTCATAGTACTTGTTCCTGACTCTTTAAGTCTTAAAAAGCACCAGCCACAGGAAGAGGCAGTGTTGGTTCACCAAATAGTAAAGTAAACAAGACATTTAGAATTTTTTCTTCAAACACATGTTTCTAGAAGCGTGTTACTAGCTGCCAGCATCACATAATTTAATGGATGAACATCTTTTATTGGTAACATAAAATGAGGCATGGCTCAAGACTTTTGCTCTGAACTATGTTATTTGGTTTTGAGGTATTACTCTAGATAATCTTAATGAAAACAGCTAAATGTGGAAGAACATTTTCATTTTAGAAAAAGGGTTTTTATATTGCAGAAAGTGGTAGTGGTTATTTAAAGACTTGAAGCACTTAAAGGCATGCATAAATAGCTTTTCAGAGTTAGATCTGAAGTACAGACTATTTAACTGAGGTAACTATTTGTCATGTTATAGCATGGTTGTTATAAGTTAAGATGTGACAAAGACATGGTGTATATGGCTGATGGTAATTATTAGCCTAGCAATGTGAGTCAGCTTTGGCAGGGACAACAATATATGAGAAATTGACAACAGTCAAATGAGAAAACGGGGGGTAAAACCAAGCGGATACATTTCACATGGCAAAGCTGTAACTCCTGTGTATCCATGATAGACTGTTGGCAGCTCTCATTCCACTTTTAATGAGAATACCAATAAGAAACCAGCAGCCATGCCTTTTAATCCACTGCCATTGCATTTAGGTAGACTATCAAGGAAAGGACATTGAGTTTCCTATGTCCTCTCAGGCCTGCTGTTTCTATGATTTTTTTTCTTTTTAAAGGCTGAGCACAACCCACTTCCACTTTTTTCGTCCCACCCTCAGCCGGAGATCACAGCCAGTGAACGGGTTCCTACATCCTTCTTTTCAAACCCCACCTTGACTGACAGGTGACACAATGATTTAGAGTTCCAATTAGAGGCCCAGAGGAGTCCTGAGTTCTTGCTTTGCTCACCAGAGTGCTGTGGGACTGCTGGCTGCTCACTGCTCTCATTATCATTTTGAACTCAGTTTAAATAGGAGGCAGGAGATGTGCCAGTGGACGCCAGGGGCAGAACACACATCTTAAAACGTCTCTCCTCCCCGTACACCACATAAAAGCACTTGTCTCTGAATGAAATTTTTATCAATCGGCTGCAATAACCTTTGTTCTACCGGAAATGACAGCTTCGAGACTGCTAACAATAGCAGTTCAGTTACAGTTGTTAAATGCAGAGAGAGGTTTGACCAGCTGAGGGTTTGGGTAGGTGGGGGTGAGCTGGGAGGGTTCAGTCTTTCTTCAGAGCACATGCAATTTACTGGTGACTGGACTCATGGATAAAATGTCATGCAGCCAGAAATGACCACATGGATTTTGCTATATCCCTGGCTGTGTTGAATTCCAGTTGGGTTCACCCTTCTAGTGTAGATACCAGGAGTTGGACTGCTCTCCAGAGTGGAAAGGCAGCCCTCTCATTAGTCATCTGATTCATATTCTTTCAGAGCAGGGAAGGACAGAAGTCTGAATGTGGAGAATCATTATTAATACAGGGGCTGCCAGTCCACTGCACGGGAGCAGCAAGACCTTAAAAACACAGTTGATGGAAGCAGCAGCCAGACCTGAACCCCTCAGAGACAGCCAGGTTGTCCTTGGCTAAGGTACTAAATTCATATCTATTAGTATCTTAATGTAATTGGATTGCATTTTTCCCAGAAAGCCACTAGCTGACACACATCGATTAGGCTTTTACCCACTGAGACTAGATGCAAATGGTACCTATAATTACCAATCAGTTTCACTCCTTAGCAGTGCATTTAATAACTGGATGAGTGAGTGCAGATTTAAATTTCATGCAGCATGACAGAAAATGAAACTCTAAACCTTTTGATAATGTAAAAAAAACCTTAGAGATAGGCATATTATTTGTTTTCACGACTTATAATTGGCATCCATTTCTGATGCATTCCATTTTCATATACAGAGCTATCATCAGAACATGTAAAAGAAAACTGCATGAATCTGAGTTAATAAGCCACAGATTTCAGGGGACAAAGCCGAATAGGTAATATGTAATCACTTTGTCCCAGTCAAAAAGAGCATGTCCAATTACTAGAGCTAAATCAAGCGTGCAGGTGCTCAGTCTGTTCCAACACTTTGCTTGGTTTGCCCCCCGATGGGACTCAAGAACAAAGATGCAGTGGGAAGGCTTAGTCTTATCAGCGCTTCCCTGAGGAAGTGACTTCACTTCCAATCATGGCCTCAACACCACCACCAGCCACATTTCAACAGCTCAACATGATAATAATCGTGTACTATGCATGTGGCAAAAACAGGTAGCAGCTACACGGTTTCATGTATGTCTGTTGTTTGTAAGGGAGCAGTTATTCTAAAAGCAAAAAAAAAACAAAAAACTATAAGTGTTCACCTTCCCTTCTGTACTCACAAACACACCAATCCTCTATATGAACTCTGTCTGTTCCCATCTGACTGCATCCTTCTCTATCCAGCTTTTGCCCTCTAGGTCTGTTTAATAGATCTGGCAGCCCTTCCCAGCAGCCGCCAAAGAGAACAGGTGGAGCAAATTAAGACACAGTCTGTAGCCCCGCTCGGTAGCTCAATTCACCACAGTGGCCCGCTGTAAGACACAGGCAATTTCCACTGAAATGTAATATTGGCAGACTTGTACCCACTTGGTCTCTGTTGCTCTGTAACTTCAGATTGCAAAAAAAAGGAATACAATAGGGGAACTGACTGAAGTTACCTAACTAATTTGACAATTGTAAAAGGGGACAAAATGCCTGAACAAAACCTACTAAAACGGAAACAGTAAAAGATTGCATTTTCTCTCACTTGGTGCAGGAATGCAGATCGAAACCCACTCCCTACCTGTCAATTTGATTCTACAATTCCTCAGGTAACTGCGAATTACACTCAACTGATTGTTAATGTCTGCACAGGGTTGTAACAAAGAATTATATTGAGGGGATGTCCACTGGTGCAGTACAGCACATCCATAGTAAGGCCATAATAAAACACCTAACTTTGCTTTAGACCTTGTGCAGATATCTCCCAAAATTAAACTGGGACCACTTCCAAAACATTACCACAATGATACATACATTCTACAGCATCAGACAACATTAACTATAAATGAAAACTTGTACTTTCCCTAATAAGAATCAGTAGTGAAAGGGTAATAAAGTCCAGAGCATCAAGAAAAAGGTCTCCCTAAAATCTAAATATTACCTGGGTAAACAGATTTTCATGGGTTTACCAAAGATAACAAGCAGGGTTACATTGACATGCAGTTCATGTGAAGTTACTAAAATCAAATGGATGGTTACAGCCTTGAATTGCTGTTCTGGGCGAAACTAAATTAAAAGGCAACTAAACAGGTATGTTTCACTGTGTACATCTTATAAGTTTGGTAGTTGGTGTTGTGTCACTCCTACCACTTTAGCATGTCAACTTAAAAAGGAAACAGATCTGAAATTAAAGTCAAATTGAAAATTGAATAAAAGGAAAATCTCTCGCCCATTGACCCCTGGATAAAAGGAAAATCCAGAACAGTAATGAAATACTACCATAGCAGTGGCAAAAAAATATTAGTGAGTGTACAAGATTCTCACCATGAACCCAGGGGCACAGATACAGGCGCCTGTGACGGGATCACAGTCAGCTCCATTGGCACAGCTGCAAAACAGCATGCATCCCTCTCCATAGTATCCAGGAGGGCAGGTCTCATTACAGTACAGCCCTGTCCATCCTGTAGAGCACGTGCATTCACCAGAAAGTGGATGGCAGCTAATACATAATGAGAGAGAAATATGGGACTGTTACAGCAGGAAAAGGAGACGTGAAGTTTCAGCTCTGAAGCTATTAGAACTTCTTTCTTGAGCCGAATCAAAGTATTAAGCTTTTGCCAACAGCAGTTCATCCATCCCTGTGTCCGCATGCTTGGTTCAGATAGATTACCCTTTTATCCTTCGTTGGGAAACTATTTCTATGGCTGATGTCCAACTTATGCTGAAATCAGAGCATTACCACTGCATTAACTATGAATATGGCTGAGAAATTATGAATGAAGCAAAGGTTGCGATTAAAAGTTAACTAGATGACATGGCTGAGAGGTGTCCAGACTTTAGAATGAGCACAGGCTTAAACTAAGATGGGACAAAATTGAGTTACAGAAGCCTTAATTCATGTTGAGTTACGGTAGCTTGCTTCAGGCCCTGATCAGAATGAAGGTATGCCGCTCTGCACACGTCTCACTTACCTTACGGTGTTGGTGGTATTACAGGGGCAGTACTTGTCACAGATGAAACCATAGAGGCCCGGAGGACAGAATCTTTCTTGGCAATTAGGCCCTTTAAAGCCAGTTTCACAAAGACAGGCTCCAGTGATGTGGTGACACTTGGCACCATTTTGGCACTCGCACCTTTGGTTACACTGTGGACCGTATGTGCCTACAGGACAGTCTTCTTGACATCTGGATGAAAATGACAAAGCAATGACACTTTTGTTGTTAAAATGTACAAATGAAAAGCTGTCGTCAAGGCTGTAATGTGAAATCTGGATGTCAATTTGTTAACTATGTTATGATGATCTCAATTACATTCAATCAGATCTACAAAAGGGAAATCAGATGTCTCATGTATCCTGCATGAATGAATGAATTTGGATAATTTCAGTCTGGATCATTTTCCAAATTCCACATTTGAAGACCTTTTACAAATGAAACACTGTAACTTTGCATGCAACTCTCATCCTATTATAATATTCACTAATGTCTCATCCCTTTTGTCACTCCCACTCATTCAGCCTCTTGATTTATTTTAGTCTACCACAGCTCCTCTTTAACAGTACATTATTGCATTTTTTCATTCTTGTTGCATGATGCACCAGTGTCCACTTCAGCGGCCTATGCGCATTTACAACATAAAAAGCCGTATGTTTACAAGAAAATGGCTTCAAATAGCTATCCACGGTAGTGACGGCTATGGGTGGAAGGGTTCATCTGTACCTCTCTAGCTACTATATGTCATCAATGTTTAAATCTCAAATTTTCTTTTCAAATATGAAAATCAACATGTTCTTTTCAGGGAACCCCTAAATGCAGAGCGTGCTGTGAGCACTTCAGTATCTCTGCATGGGGCCATGTGACTACAGAAACTAAAATTATCAAGGAGTTTCCCCACTTGAAGGTAAGAAGTATAAAGAAAAAGATTTTTTGGTTTTACTTGTAAAATAACAACTGAAATATACGATACATGTGAGGTATCGGTATCAGGGGTTTACAGACCAATTACAAATATCTCAATTAGAGCAGCAAATGCTCAAATTCTGTTTCATGTTTAAATTACCTCATGTTTAGTTTCATCGGGGAAAACTGTATCATTATACTAGACAGCAGAGGGTGGGGGTTAACACAATCTCAGATTATTCCTGGCAGGTTAATTCATCTGCCTGTGACAAAATGAATGAGGGCAATTTTGCAAAATAATAAAGTAAAGGAAAGGTCTTGTAAAGGAAGTGTTTCCATCAAAGAGACAATTGCTTTAGCTGAACCAATAAATGCACGCTGCTCTGAGCAGTTCTGGCTGGCATGGGAAACTGAAAAGATCTGTGGGTTTCAATGAAACCTTAATATGAGCCCATTACTTATAATTAATGAGCAGGACCCAAACAGCATGTAGTCCTTGGTGAGATCATTGAACTGGCAGCGGGTGGATGTGTGTGCTGGCTAGAGACATGAAATTGTGCCGGCCAATGGAAAAATAAGTACATGAAATTCAACTATTTACAGCTTCCACTCTATAATCAGATGGATTAATTGGTGTTTATGACGGCTAACTTCTCTTAAGTGTGAGAATATTTGAACTTTCCCTTTATAGTTTAAAAGGAGAGAACGGTCAATTCAAAGAGAGAAAGTCTGTTTAATATGTAACTGTCTTCAGGAACCAATCATTACACTGAATGCAAATAAAATAAATAAATAAATAAATAAATAAATAAATAAATAAATAACTGTTGCAACTGTTTGAACTGTTTTCAGAAGTTTTTCTCCCAAAAGACTTTTGTGAATGATAATTTAATTCCCGGAATGTCAGCTGTTTACCTTCGTCCACTGAAGCCTGCTGCACACTGGCACTGCCCTGTGATGTGGTCACACAGTCCGCCATTGCGACATGAACAGTCTTTGCTGCAGTTGATGCCGTACTTTCCAAGAGGGCAGGGCTGGGCACACACTGAACCCTTTGAAAAGTAAAGGGCCGAAAAACATCACAACAGGCACAAGCAGCATTCCAATGCTTGGGACTAAAGTCATCAGAACTCCATCGTCACAGCGGAAAAATAAGCCGTTTCCATGCTACATCACCTCAAGTTTTAGCTCTAACTTATTAGGCATGTGTATTTAAAATTCATGCATGCACTGTTTAAAAGATTTTAAAAAGTGAAGTAAAGAATAAGCATACAATCTACTTCATTCCTAAATAACATAGAAATTTTATTGCTTTCAATGCTTGGGACTAAAGTCTAAGACTGGATAAATCAGACTTAGCACCTCCTGTCTGCCTGTTTGTATACTTTATCCTGCTACAACACTAGTGAGATTTTTATACTTAGAAATAATCCAAACTCATGAGTCTGCATGAAAAAACATATTTTTCAATTGTTATTTTCAAACATCAGATCTACATTCTTTTGTGTCTGAAACAAGAATGACATTTAATTATTTTCATGCCTGAGACTTTTCTTCTGTATTACTTTCTTGGTGCTTTGTGACCTACCGTCCATCCGGCAGGGCAAGAGCAGTCGCCTGTGATGTGGTGGCACATTCCTCCGTTCTGACAGGGGCAGCGCTGCTCACACTGAGGCCCATGACTACCATTGGGGCAGCGCTCTCCACAGCTGCCATCACATAAATCAAGGGTCAAATGTCTCAACAAACAACAATTCTTAAGAGAAAACCGTGTATTGCTGGTACTCACAAAGCTCCTGAATACCCCGGTGCACAAATGCACTCGCCTGTCTCATGGTTGCAGGTGGCACCATTGAGACACTGGCAAGGTAACTGACAAGCCTTGCCATAGTAACCAGGCTCACAAAGCTCCTCGCAACGCCATCCCTGGTAACCATCAGTGCAGACGCAGGCACCTGTGATGGGGTTACATTTAGCCCCATTTCGACACTGGCACCGATTACTGCAATGAGGACCCCAGAAGTCACTCTCACAGCCTGCAGGCACAAAGAGAAAGGGCATCAAATAGGCCGGAATAACAAATGAAAAGATCATTTGGACTCCTATTTATCCCTTGAGCACATCTGGAATTATGCTTAAAGCAAATAGAATAATTCAGTAATAAACAAACAAGCTGCGGCACTTATGACAGTCTATCATTAATAATAAATCTCATGGGAATTCATGCCAATGAATTATGTGTTGTACTCATTTAAGATATAATTATGCCATTCTGATGTGGGAAAAGTGTGATTTTCATGTTAAAAATGTAAAACCTTTGATATCATTGTCACTATCCAAAAATGGTATGCAAAGTGGACAAAAAATAGCAATGAAATTAAGCCAAAATGTTATTCCTGGAGCATAAGATAGTAGGTAATCTGTATCATGAATAACTACTTTGTGAGCTGCACAGTTTTAGTTTCTTAAGTCTCAAAAACATTACACTGTCATTGTGGCTTATGATTTAGCAAATTATTGCTGCGCTGTAACTGAAAGGAAGAAATTATGCCGTTTTACCATTTGAAGGAGATATAAGGAAATTAAATATCTTTTTTAACTCTTTCAAAAACAATGAGAATATAACTTTTTCAAACTTCTACTCCTGTTCAATAATAAATGAGCCTTTGACTGAATGCCAGAGGTAAGCCGAAAATGCAGGCTGCTGTGAGGCACAACACACACTGCTGTGTCGGGTGTGTTTATCTGACAGTAATGAAACTATAGCATGTCAGCAGCTTCATCTTTAAAATTCATTCTGTGTCTTCTCTCCTGATCAGGGTCACAAACTGTATGGGAACACATCAAAGTATGCCCCAAGCAAAATTCAGAGGACTATCCACAGGAGGTTTGTCATCACCGCCAAAGTTACAGTAACACTGTCAACCATGATTAGAAGACTTGGGCAAAGAATCAAAATTAGACGGTTGTACCACAGAACCTATCATTGTAATTCTAGCATCGGCAAAATTCTTATACATCAAAATATGTGTGTATATACAATATGTATACGTTTTTTTGTGTTTGAAAATGTTCATAATATATACATTAATATGATCATGAAAAAGTTTTCATCCTATTCATCTAATGTTGTCTAGATATGTTACTGGACTATCCCCTGTACGAAATACAATTTTAGTTCTGGACAACAGGTCAAACCATTCTGTCTGTTAACTGGTTAGTTATATAAGCAGTATAAACTATGGTTGCCGCATTGAATGAGTTAAAGTAAGGCCCATTGACACTAAGTGGTACCTTAGAGACAGCAGTAAAACAACCTCAATCCTCTGTGAATTGGTCTGTTTACAAAACTCAGTCAAATCTATAACTGCTAGCAAACTACTAATTTTCAAGGTTAAATGAACAACTGACTTCTGCTTGATGAACAATCAGTGATGCGATGGGATAGAAGGCAGCCCTCACTCCCACCAGGGTAATTGTTCTTCAGAGAAGAGTGGTGATTTAGGTGATTGCTGTGGCCCTATGTCTCTCCATCAGCGGCAGCAGCTGTATTGTTTCACACAGAAGCTCAGCTTGAGATCAGGCCATCAGCGCAGTCAGACCAGCAAATATTCCACTATTGATTTTAACATCATTGCAGACTCAGTTGTAAAAAATGTAAAGATACTACACCCCCTCATTGTATGCTCGCTTTGCAAGAGCTGTGATCAGACAGAGTAGGAACTTAATGAACCCTCTTTTGTGGGCAGCACTGAGGCCTGTTTTTCCAGGTACACAGCAGGATGATGATCAGCCCTTGGCTGATACAGACAGGTCTGCTCTGAAGGGGGTCTCTAAACGCTGGGCTAGTGCAGTATTACTTTTGCAGTTGGACAGACTAGAAGCTGCATTACAAGGCTCACACTGATTTGATCTAATCTGCTCCTGGCCTCAAGTCTGACATGAATGAGTTCCCTGAAGGCTGAGCTGCTGCCACGCAAACGACCCTGGCACATTAAGTGTGAGGTGTGTGCGGGCGGTCACGGTAATGGATGAGCAGTTTAGCTGAAGCCTAGTTTAGATGTCTATAAGCAGTCATCACAACCCCATCATCACAGCAGAAAAATAAGCAAGTGTCCATGTTACATCACCTCGGGTTTTAGCTCTAACTTATTAGGCATGTGCATTTTAAATTCTTGCACGTCACTTAAAATATTTAATATTGAAGTAAAGAAAAAGCATACGATCTACTTAATTCTTAAATAGCATAGAGTTTTGTCTCTTAGCAGCTCAACAAATATACCATTGGAAATTTAAAACCCTCTATGGCTTGGATTTAGCAGCCTCAGTGTATTGAGAGCAAAGCCCATTATCTTGCCGCCTCTCTGCTAGACAGAGGTTCTCAAACTTTACCCAGTAGTCTCTGACTTCCCAGCTCCGACAGCATTTAACTGTGATTAAGGAGTCAGAGTTCATGATGAGCCGCGGGCAAAAACAGAGAGAAACAGCAAAAGAAAGTAACATGTAGCATAAAGGCTTCACTTTCTACAGCATACAACTAAATTGTGTACAGTGATGAGGACCCCTGTGGGTTTGGGCTTGTGGGCAACAAATCCCAGACAAGTCTGTATCTGGAGGAGTTACGATCCATCTCATTAACTGGCCTGTCCTGGGTCAGTGTGCCTAACCGGAGAACACATGCCCTGCCAGCCTAGGCGCTTAGTGTTCATAATGCATAACTGTTGGAATGTGGCTAACCTCACACACACAGAGAAAAGTCCAGTCCCAAGATGCCAAGCTTAATCCCCTTGGATGGAACCAAACAGATCACGATTAAGGCTACAGTTAGGTACTGTAGTAAATTCGTGAGGGTGATGTCCAAAGATTAGGCTGAAAGAGATACAATGGTGGCTGCTGAGCTTTGAAGTGTGTTCAAAAGTCTTCATAATCAGAGACTGGCCGCAACAGGATTAAAACAAAACAGCTTTCAGAAGCCGACTTCATTCAGACATTCTCATGAACTCTGCCTCTACAGCAAAGTGTTGTCACCATTTTCAGAGAATTCTGAGCCACAGTATGCTGCCATAAGCTTCTCAAGGCTAAATTCTAAATGAGGATGTGAGTCAAGCTCTTTAAACAGAACCTTCCCCCAGTCTTGAGTTTTTTACTTGATTTATTCAGTTGGATACAAGACAAAATAAACCTTCAATTACATCCCAATCAAGTCTGGTATAAACGCTAGTCACTTGAGTATGTTGGTGCAGACGGCTCTGTGCCATTTTATGAATTCTATGAACAACAAAAAAACATTTTTGCAAACAGAATATTTGGCACACAGCATAACTTCGGTCCTGTCAGCCTGAGTTATTCATTGTCACATAAAGTACACTGTAAGCACTTGAGGGATAAGTTAAAGAAGGTCTGTGCTCTGG